ACGCAGCGTGATCTCGGTCTCGCTTCAGCTCAGCTCTGCTCGGACTCGGCTGCGCATAACGTCGGCTCGACCTACGTCGTCTCGGCTGGAATCCGACGAGAACCGGGCGCAAGACCGAGATGTATGCGTTCCCACTGGAACTGGACGCGAGGCGGCTCAACTTGATCGTGGCTTTGCTTCAGCAAGGTTGCTCTTCAATCGGCTCCACTCCAACGACCAGCGCTTCTTCGAAGCGTTGCTCGAACTCGGCTCCGTTCCGGCTTGGTTGAACTCGGCTTCACGACATCTCAGTGTCAAACTACTTCCACGCAGAGTGCCCTGTCTCGCTTCAACTCGGCTCTGCTTGAACGCATCTCGGCTTTAGCTTGACTGTGGTTCAACTCAGTTGGTGCTGACCTCGGCTGCACTTGTACCTGATCCCGATTCAGCTCGGATTCAAGACAAACCTCTGCTGCAATTCGCCTAGGCGCCACTTGATCCCCATGTTTTGTGGCTCTGCCACGAATCAACCCGGGCTAGCTCGACTGATGTCCACCTGGCATTGATTCCGCTTCAGCTTAGCCCAGTTGAGCAAGGTGATAGGCAAGCTCGGCTGAGCGAACGACACAGCTGGCTGGCTGACCAGCTCAGTCCCTTGGCGGAAGTATCCGCGCTTTGAAGGCGTGTTTCGACTCGGCTATGCTCGACCCCTGACCAAGCTCTGCTCATGTTGGCTCAATGTGAATACGACAGCGGTCGCGTGGAATCCATTCCTCTTCAGTCCAGCTTTGGATGTTGGGTACACTTTTGCGACGCCGTGACTCGGCGATTTCACCGACTCGGCTTCAGTTAAACTCGGTGGTAGCCCTACGTCGGATCGATTGAAGTCGGAGTCCATCTTCAAAGCAGGTGTCTGCTTCTGCTCAGCTACGGATCAACTCGGATCCCGTTCGAGATCGCTGGCACGTCGACATTCTCGGCGACGCGCCTGCCCAGCGTGCCTCCGCTGAGCTTTGCTCAAGTCCAGCTTTGCTGCAACTTCGGTTTGTTCACCACCGCCGCGCATCGACCGACTCGGCTAGTCGCCTCTCGGTAAACATGGAGTGAATACGGCCTCACTGGAACATCGTGCGAACTCGACTTCGCTTCGGCTTTCCTGCTTGAGCGTGGCTCCATATCAGCACGGCTTCGCGTCAGCACACATGCGCTCCAACTCAGCTTGAGCGCACAACGGGAAGATCGTTCACGGACTTGGTCGGAGGTCCCGGCGGTCGTACCCAAGGGTGTCGATCGTACCGCCGCATATCACACTCAGCGCCCCAGTGGGTAGCGTGTTCACGGACCCAGTGACGAGTCAACACAGCTTCGGCATCGACGGCTGACTCGCGCAATCTGTGCAGACGCGCCATCACCTCCCTCAGCTTCTTCACAGGGTCGTCGTCAGACCAGCTGGGCTTAATCGCTCAGCTCGGCAAATCGGCTGAGACTTCGATCCGAGATGCGGATTCCACCAGCCTGGTGGCTGTGGCGGCTGCGCCGACTCCAACGCTAACCCGGCGAATGGGCTTCTTGCTTTCCAGCTCCATCTTCGCTCACTCTATTTCAATATCATGTAATTCATATAATCCATACAGTTGACGCAGTATCATTCTTCGACTCGACCCAGCCTGCTGTCTTCACTGAGTCGGCGGATCATCTCTTTGGTGCAATAGCCTTAGACCGCATCTGCAACTTGCACCATTTGCAGACGGGTTTCGCATTTCTTCGATTGCCCCTAGTCGAGTGAAAAGGTTCCCCACGAGACGTTCGGCACCGAATCCCAACTCGAGCATTTCGCGCTTGATGCCCTCGTCGCTCGTTGTATCAGAGGCGGACGGTCCCCTGAAGCGACGTCTTGACTGTCGTCGTCCGCATCGTCACCGAGCTCGGCTGCGAGGTTTTGTTGGGCTCGTCGAGGTTTCTCCATGCGCCCAACATGCAGCGAGAACTCAGCTGCCCCGCTGAGCAACTCGGCTTTCTTCCATTCTTCATGATAATCTCCAATATTTCCATCTCTTCCTCGGTCTTGGGTGCGGTCGTCGCCAAACCGAACGGGTGGGACCGCTTCCATCGTCATGTCGGCGATCTTTCCGCCAGCTGAGTTCGGCTTCGTGTGAAGCGAACCCCCAGCCGTCGCTGGGCTGGCCCAGCTCGGCAACGTTCTCCCCTTGACCACCTTGCTCAGTACTCGAAACTTGGTTGACTTGGTACCAACGAAAACAAACCACCCTGCTCCCGGGTCGCGGCACCAGTTGTGGTGTAGTAGCACGGACAAAATCGTCAGATGTGGCGCCCTAGCTACAAACACAACAACAGCCGAGCTAGTCGGCCCTTGTTGGCCTGCGCTGAGATGTCCCCAGCGGTCCGGCCCTTCCGGGACAGTGATGTCTCGTCCTCGCCGAGACCAAGTACCCCAAGCCAGTCAATCACGGAAGCCAGCTGAGTTACCTGACTCCGGAATTAGAAATCCCGTGCTCTCCGCCAAAGGACGGACGACGGCCCTCGCGGGCTTTTACGGGTCGCCGAGAGCAAAGGCTTCTCGACTCAGCAATCAGTGCCCGGGACGTACGGGAACACTGGCTCGCAGCGGTGGCGAGACTTTTCCGTCGCGCTTGGCGAGACACGCGCCCAACCCGGGCCGACCTTAATCTCTTGGTGCTACCAGTCAACACCCTACAAGCTATGCCTCTCGGGTGCTGACAGCAGACATAATCCGGTCCGTGCAGCGGCTTACTGGAAGCGCGTGCACGTGTTGTGGACCTAGAAAATTCTGCTCTGTTGTTTGTTATCTCTGTCGGGCGCCCTGAAGGGGTGCCTCCACTATTCCTAAGCTCCTATACAAATACCAAATGAAAGTGGGCGGTTTTGGAACTCGGCCTACTCTTCACCGAGCTCGGCGACACTTGAGCTCGGCTAAGCCGGATAACCTGTCCGGATAACCCCTTGAACTCGGCTGAGCCGGATACTGCGTGTCCCGATAACACGGCGAACTCGTCGGAGCGACCCTTGGACTCGACTGGGCGACTCCCGGACTCAATTGGACCCGGTTATCGTATCTGGATGGTACGTGGGGCCGTTTAGCCGAGCTCGGCGGCTTGAACTCCCCATGACCTCGGCTGAGCGTGTCCAGTGCCTTCCTGAACTTGGCTGGGTCTTCATCACTGGGCCTGCCACGTGTCACCAGGTCGGGGCCGGTGTGCATTGAGTTTCTGACACCATCAGCCGAGTTCAGCTGTCCATCAGCCCACTGAGCTCGGCGGACGGTCATCCCGCCGAGTAGTACTTGGCTCCTGGTACGTTGTTCCACTGCGGTTTTGGAGTGTGACACAAAACTTGATGTTCCCCAACACCACACCTGTTACGGTTGAGGGACGCAGAAGAGCTGGAGGAAGTGCTACGAGCGCGAGAGCGATCGAAGTCTAGACACATGAAGCCGGCAGGAGGCAGCAAGTTCCGATCGAAGCCAGCAGCGACGCCGCAGCCGTCGGCACCCGCGCGAGCGGTACGAGCAATGCATCTACCAGTGTCGGACAGTGAGTCAGACACAGACGAGTCAGGATCGGAGGGAGAGCTACACCGAGCATACGTGGCCGCGACAAGCGGATCGCAATTGTAGAATAACACAACTCGGATCAGCATCCGTGGCCCCGTTCTCTTAATCCATTAGAGAACTTCTGTTCTTGAGTATTGGAGCATCCGCTGGTATAATAATTTATCCGTAATTTATCCGGATTTTATCCGGATTTTCCTTGTTCCAAACCCGGAGCTGTTCCAACTACTAAAGTTCTCTAATTTCGTTTTATCGTTGGTCATTCACATTAGGGAAGGCCACCAACATGGCGTCCGAGCTATTGTTTGTGCTCGTACTGTAGGCCACTGATGGTTACGGGAAAATGACCAAAGCGGTATGAAATCAATTTCTTAAAATTTAAAAATGCCAAATCGGTATATGTTGTGAATGAATTCTTGAGGTACGAACCACTAAGCCACGGACATCTTAGCTTCTTGCAGACTTCCAAACAAGTGCCTAAACTATTCTGACGAGTCTTACTGTACCTGTCATATCAGCGCGAACAACTGCTCGTGCTTATCTGTGATCAATACAACCTGGTATGCTGCCACCGAATTGCTGCACTGCAGGGCCGAAGAAGGTTAGACACAGAATTTACGAACGTTTTCTAGGGTTCTAAACGGCCTTAAGGATATATGTCATTTGATCGATCTTTCTGTCTAAAGAGGTCAGCAGGCCGGATGACCACAACTAAGCAAAACAGAGGCATCGGAGAAGATGCACTTGCTCTCAGGTAAGGATACGACGGAGCCAAGCAAGTAGTCCGCGATAGACAAGCTCACAACTAGGTATTAAGGTCGGGAGTCGATTGACTCAACCGGTATACGGGATTGGGGGGGGATTCTGCATTTAAAAATGCGATTTCATACCGGCTTGGTTATTTTCCCGACGGTTACTGTGCATTACGTGTTTTGGTACTGTAATAAGGTTCGGAGATTACTTGAAGCAGCACAGTATGCAGGTGAAGCCTGCGTCTTACTGTACGTACGGGATGCAATATTCGCCTCACCCCCAGACAATAATCGCCTCACCCGTACCAGTACTGTGTACATGTATACATGTACTGTACGTGTGTGTGGCTTTTGGCTACCGTTAACTTGTCGTGGCGCAATCTCACCAGCTCCGCGTTGTCGATCGCGTGAAGATTACGGTGTACGGGCTGCAGTTCCCCCAGTTGGAATCTTGCGATTGCATCTTCGGAAATGAAATTGGCCAATAAACGGGGGTGTCTCCCTTGCGAAGCCCCTGGATTGCTTCACCTTGTTCACGAAGGTTTCACCACGATAGTAAACATACGGTCCGAGTGAAAGCACCTGTTCGCTGCATCGATAAGGCAGAGCCCATGGCTCGGATTTGGGCCAGGAGGACCTCACTCTCCGATTTCGTTCCTGAGCGCAACTACAGTCCACATATGCGCAGCATTTTTGTGGTATTACTCGCTTTAGCCGCCAGTGTGGGCGCCTCCTCCGTGGTTACGGAGTCGAATGTGGCGACCGACCACGCTATTATGAACGGACCCAACCACATGGTAACCAAAAGGTTGCTGCGGACCGAGACGTTGCCAGAAGAAGAAGAAGAGAGGGCGAATTTCGAATTCGTCAAGAAGCTCAAGAACTTGCTCAAGCCGAAGTCCGTGGCCCAGGGCGTCCCTGCAGTCATCGCGAAGGAAAGCCAGCAACTCCAGGCAGTGGCGAAGGAATCGCAGCAGTTCCGAACGGTGGCCCAGACGTTGGCGATGGACAAGGTCAAGCTCCCGAAGGGTATCAAGAAAATGCTCGATGCCCAGGCATCCACGGACGATGTCGCTAAGGCGTTGAACATTAAGCATGGAGAGCCAATTGCAAACCTGTTCCGTAAGGAGGTACTGCCCACGTACGTCCGATACAGCGAACTCGCGAGCAAGAAGACGATAACCCCGGACATCTACGGCATCGGGTCTCTCCGGAAAGAGTTCACTGACATCGAGCTGAGTGCGATCATCAATGCTGGAATGAAAAGTTCTGATGAACTCACGTTCGCCGCGGCTGACCGACTACGTGCGGGCCAGTTTGACGATTGGCTGCGTCAGCGCACGACCCCTCATGATGTCTACCAGCTCCTGAGGGCGGGAGGTAAGACTATTAGCGACGCTGACAGGGTGAACTGGAGGAAGTACCTCAATAAATTTAACGCACTCCACAAGGGTTAAGCGCACCAAACATAGAAATCGTTGGTATCTCCAAGAAAAGAAATAGAATGTTCAAACTTGGTTCCTACTCGGCGAATTAACTAACGAGAACGATTGATTCGGTAGTTGCCGCAAAGCCGGCGGTTCGTTGCTTTCGCTAAGAGCGTGTTCGCTACGCAGCTGGAGATGGATATCTACAGGGAGTTGGTGCATCTCCATCTCCAGCTTGTTCGCAACAACAGAGCGCATCTAGGTAAAACTAGCCAATCACAGTGCGACTCGCTCTCCTTCTCCTTACTTTGCTGTTCTTCGTCGGCCGGGAACACTGTGCCCGAGACACCGGACGCGTGTCATGGACCAAGCTGCCGATGACGCTCCGAGAGCTGCGCCTCCGTTCCCGTCAGCCAGTGGCGACCTCGTGCTGGCTGCTACCAGTTTGGACATACCTGCCTCTGATGGTACGAATCTGTTCCTTAGGGCCTTGCGGCGCATCGTCGGATTCTCCTGATAGGAGGACTGCAACCTGTGCGACAGCTGAGCATGTAGCAACCAGTACAGCTTCCTCTTCGTTCATTGTGTGTGCGGCTGAACTGCCTCAATCTCCAGCTACTTTCTCCTTCTCCACCTCTGGGAGCTGGAGAAGGAGACGGGGTAATTCTCCAGTTGTCACGTTGTGAACTAAACTATTTTGACCAATCAAAAGACAAGAAATAGAGTTGATGAGAGGTCATCTCCATCTCCAGCTACCTAGCTACAAAGTGGTATTGTGGCTTTCATCCGTTTTGGCAAATCGGGTGGTCCAAGATCCGATATATCGGGCCCGATTTCCTGGAGGGGTCCGATTTAGCAGCAAACTACATGTATTAATACTGTCAGTGACTCAATAATATTATGTGATGGTGATCAAAACCAACACATACTAAGTACGTTGCATGCCCCCCGCAAGCTATAACTTGTATTATATTGTGCTTTGCAGATAAAATGTCGCCCCGTTTTATGGCCTAGATCGAGGAAGGCCGGTCCACAAATCAGGGCACAAATCAGAGGAGGTAGCATGGACGATCTCGATTTATTATAGATCGGCTCGAATTGCGCTTTTGAAAACGCAAAAGGGATCGATTTGCCGTAGATCGACCTCGTTCTGCTCAAACCTGCCAGGAGATCGACCTCGAGACCTGATTTGGCTTGTCGTAGCTCGAGTTGTTGGCCGGCTTAAATAGATCGATCTGTCCCTTTCTTTGACCTCGTTTTATTAAATCGACCTCGAGTTATTATAAATCGAGGAGAGCTCCAAGTCAAAACGACAAAACGTTTGCAAAGCACAATACTTCGAAGTTTATAAGGCCGTGTTCGAGATGGCACCCAAATAGCTGTTTCGTGCGCATTTAGTGCACAAAATAGCTGCTTTGAGCTTTTTGAGGTTGTAAACCTCCGTTTTAGTAAAACCTCAAGTACCTCGAAATCACTCCTTTTGAAATTCATGGTAAAGCTGTTTTCCACGAAGCAGCTATTTCGCTCAGAGCTGTAAAAAAGGCAGATTGTTCGAAATGGCTGGTTTTAGCGAAATAGCTCGAAATACGCTATTTCAACTCGAACACGGCCTAATATACGAAGTATTTTCACACCATAAATACAATAAATTCTCGTTATTTTAAGTCAAGTGAATCCTTGCGGCAAAAAATAAATAAATAAAGAAAAATAAATAAATATTATAAAGGGGCTCTTCATGGTGCAGCAGAACTTGTCCCGCGGTTGTACACGTATTTTCCCTGTGTTTTGTTTTGTTTAAACAGATCATACTGAACATTGATCAGTGAGGCTTTGCTTTGCTTAGGGTTGATAACGCTGGCAAACCAGGTCACTAAACGTTAAATAGCTGTTTTTCCACTTTCGTCATGTTCTTTGCACTAGTGAATCGTTGCGCTACACTTCACCACCAGTGGACAGAACGGAACTACATCTGCTTCGAAGACGGAGAACCGGACCCAATGCCCACGGCAATTTCAAGCATTCATTCAGCATTTTGCTACCACTAGCGCAGACTACTCCGGATTTTCAGCCCCGACATTCGTAAAGAATACGAGCGTGCTCTGCGGCAATTACGGCAATCCAAGCACTTAGGCGCGTTCATCCAAAGGAACGCAACCAACTTTCGCACACGGCATGTACAACTTGGTCTCACATACCGCACCGGCGTGGTGTTTCGCATAGTGGTGGATTAGTTTTATTTTCATTATCTAGTACGACTAGTACCAGTACATAGTATCTGTCCAAATCGAGAAGGACATTAAATCGGTAATCGAAGCATTCATTCATTTGCACTAGTGAATCAAAATTATTTGTGAAACTCAATTATGTTCCCCAGGGGTATTGATATAATGCCAAAACCTCTTGGAATCGCTAAGGTGGCTCCAAATTTTTCGCTTTTAAACTATCGAGTCCATAGGTTGGGCCTCTTGATATTTGACCTTGCCGGTTTATTTCTACTGCATGTAGTATTCTGCTCAACGTGTTCTTGCAAATGGCCTCGAACTTGTCGGGCAGATTATTGTAGATCTTGCCAAACTTGGTGCGCTTTTGCATGCACGCGGAGTTTGATTTCGATAATAGTACGACGGGTGTTTTTGCCTTGTGCTAGTTGCAGAGTATGGATTGCTGTACTGTAGTGGGCTACCGGCTCTCGACTTGTAGGGATGCTACATGTAGTGTTTGCAAACCGTGTTCAGCAAACATTTGGATAATATTTATTTGGGGAACTGCGGTTCTTTTCTTACCAAATTGCTCTCTCATGGGAAATCTCATTCGATTGACGAGGTCGTAAGCCCGCGCGCGGCGAATTCGCCGTCCCTTATGAGGATTTACGGTAGGATGTTACCAGATCAATACGCTTGGACGTATAGTAGTTGCCACAAAAAGTAATTGAACATTCACAAAGATGCTAGCGGAATACACACAAGGATAAAGCAAAGTTAGCAGGGAACGCTCACAACGCGCGCAGTTTAGTTATCCGCTCGCATTGGGATTTGAGCTTCACTTGTCACTATCCAAAATCCTCAGACACTGACGAGGCCCCCAGTACACTACCATGATGTCGAAGAATTTACGTACTGCAGGACCCTTGCATGATTGCATGGTGCTGGTGTGCATCCGGTGCAAGTGAAAGCATCTGCTTGCGCAGGCGCTACGTGTTGTGTGATGTCGGATTTGCTGTCCGGGGTCTTTGCCCACAACGATTGAACCCTCACGTGCCCTCACTTTCCAACTCCTTCGCCGAAACGACATTACTTTACAGAGTTCCATCAGCAACGATGCGTATGCTGCTTGTACTGCTATTCATGGCGGTCACTCTGGTCGCCATTGCGGAAGCTTCGTTGGTGACTACGGAGTCCGAGGTGGTGCAACCCAATGCCCCATTTGATCGTCTGCTCACGAGTGACAGCGAAACGAAGAGATCGCTCCGAACGGAGAAGTTTGCGGAAGAAGAAGACGACAGCGAAGAGAGGGCGAATCTCAACTTCGTCACCAATACTAGTATCAAGAACTGGTTCAAGCCGAAACAGGCCTCGAAGGCATCGTCGAAGGTTGCGCCGCTAGTCGCGTCTCCACGGGGTCAGCGGCTCCAGGCTCAGCTCGACGAGTTGGTCAGCGGTGCGAAATCTACGGACGACATTTTTTCGCTGTTGAAACTTGATAAGGCAGGCGCGAAGCTGTTCGAAGGCACGAGTCTGCCAACTTATGTCCGGTACAGTGAGCTCATGAGCAAGAAAGCGGGGAAAATGGACGACATCTACGGCCTGGAGACGCTCCTGAATCACTACGACGAAAAAGATCTGATGCTGCTGATTAATGGCGCGTTAAAGAGCAACGATAACCCCACGAAGACCGCAGCAGAGCAATGGCGGGTTGGACAACGCACCTACTGGCTGAACAATCGTGAAGATCCTCAAACGGTCTTCAAACTGCTGGGTGGGCAAGAAGATCACCGACACCAACAGGGAGACCTGGAGAACGTACCTTGGCGAATTCAACAAGAAATACATCACGAATGCCGCGTAAGCGCATGATACCGACACTGGGCGCACATTGCAGATATTGTGGATTATTTCTTGTCTACTTTAGTAAGTAAGGTAGAAAGACAATAGACTGCATTTTGATTTAGATGCCGTTATGAACACCTTATGCTGTAGCCTGCTCATAGGATAACCACCGAGGGACTCAACGTACTGCTAGCTCTCTCGAGCGCAGTAGCGGCGACGGCTACGGATGAGCAGCAGTTCGTGGTACAAAAGTTGCGCGAGGCATACGCACGAGAGCACGGTCCCAACCTCCAGAAGCACGAAAACCGGCCCCCATGAGCAGACTTGCACACAATGAGGGCTCTTGGGGTCGCAGCCTTTCGGCTCGTACTGGCAGTTCGCCAAGTATCCCACAAGATATTGAACCAACGCGGCACCGACGCTTCCAGTTCCATCGATGATGCCCGTGACCGTCGAGAGAGCCTCCGCGTTTCCTTTGATGCTCTCATGGGTACCTAGGTCCGCCGAGATGGCTGTGCTGATCAGGTTAGCTGGCCCACCCAGCATAAATCCTGACCCCACCAGTAGTAGCGCTGTCATCCCGTACGAAGCTCCATCCATGAAGTACAAGGTAATGCTGGTAGTACGCACAGATACTGCAGTTAGCAAACGACAAAACGCGTGCAGCAACAATGAAGCGGACACTTCTCATACCAAGAAAAGAGCAGCATCGTCACGACGACGGGTGATCGGACACCCATCGTGTCCGAAACGATCCCACCGACAAAACCTCCAAAAATTTGGCCCGCATCGTACAACATCTACAGCAAGAATGATTAGCCTCTATCACCCCGATGCGATCAATCACAAGTACGGGAACGAACCGAGAAAGAGCCAGCCTCCGAGTTTTCCATGTGAAGTGACACTGTCAGGTAGAACGGGATCCAGAAGAACAGCGCGTAGTTCACGGACTTGAGGCACGCGTACGACATCGAGTACGCCAGGACCTGCTCAACAACACCGCAGCGCGCAACAAATCAGTCAAAGGACGACACCATCAAGAACAAGAGCATTAAAACTCACCCCGGGGATGCACCAAGCCTCGAAGAATCCAATGCCCTTTCGCTTGCCATCCTCGTCCGAGTCGGCACTCTCCTCCGGGTCGTCTTTCTTCCTGGCAACCTCCGGCTTGGCCTCCTCCAGCGCCTCATGGCGGTAGGGCACGTCCTTCGGGTCCGGGTACAAGAAGAAATGCACGAGCAGCCCGTGGAAGGCCACGAGCGCCGCCGCCGCGATGAGCGCGAGCTTCCAGGCCTCGGTCCTGTCGAAGAGCGCGAACATGACGGCCACGAGCGCCGTGCCCACGATGTTGCCCAGACACGCGTTGCCGCTCCAGACGCCGAGCACGGCGCCGCGCTCGCGCTGGTCGAACCACTTGCCCATGACGGCCACGTTGGCGGGCCAGCCGCTCGACTGGATGAGCCCGTTGAGCCCCCAGAGCACGGCGTAGAAGCTCAGCGCGTGCACGTCGGCCAGCGCGCCCAGCCCGAAGAGCAGCCCCACGGCCGCCGTGGCCCACATGCCGCCCGCGATCATGCGGCGCAGGTCGTGCTTGTCTCCGAGGATGCCACTTCAACATGGGTACAGCACACACGTCACACATCAGTTAAGAACGCGACCCCATAACAGGTAGAAGCCCCCGCGCACCTGACGTAGAGCCCGAGCGCGTAGAAGCCCATGAAGAGCGTGTCCATGAGGCCGTACATCTCGACCTGCTGGTCGCGCGCGTAGAGCGTCGAGTGGATCCACTGCTCGTCCCCCATCTCGCCCTTGATGGCCGAGAAGCTCTTGCGGCTGGCGTGGAACAGCACGTAGCTGAAGAACGTGAGGAAGAAGACGCCCTTCTTGTTGGCCGCGAACTCGCGGCAGCTGCGCGCGGACGCCGCCGACACGGCGGACGCCTCCACGGCCGCCGCCGTCTCCACCACCGCCGGCTTCTTCTTCTTGGACGCCGGCGTCGCCTTGGGCCCCATATCCTTGCTTTGAAGAGCGAGTTTGATAAATGAGAGTGGTTGCTGCACCCGTCCACTGGAGTCATCTTTTGAATGATCCGCATCAATAACCTAACCACGCTTCTGACCTCCACCGAGCTTCGTATACGCGGTATACTTTCGACTTTCAACCATTCATTCCTAAAACTGCGGCGAGCCGCCACACGCATGAATCCCCCCCCGCCGCGCGGTCGCCCTGTTGGCCGTACAAGCATGCGCATGATGTCGACGACTACCGGTAGCGCCTAGTGGTGCTGCAGCGACACCTCGTGGCGACGATGACGTGGAGCGCTCCCTGGCTGGCTGGCAAGACTGCGGTCGGCGCAACACAAAAGGCGTCAGAGCCCCCCCCCCTTTCCTCCCTGCGCGCGTTTGAAGAGATGCACGAGCATCAGGCCACCTCTCAGTCCTGTCAGGCAAGTAACTGTTCGGGGGAGATCTATGCATCACTTGGTGTATTCATACTCGTGTCTGTACGCGCAGCGGCCAGCTTTAACCGGCGGAGACAGAAGGCACTTCCTGCTCCGCTTTCAAACAGCTTTATCAGGAGAACAAGCGAAAGAGCGCAAGCAGAATGCGTGAGACTTCAGCGTTTGGGATCAGTTCGAGGGCGGCTATCGTCAGTCGGGTACAGCGGTATCAGTCGGGGAAAATAAGCTTCCAGTTGGGCAGTCGGGTACGGTGACGGGTGACGGTGTTCTCAGTCGGGTACCGGTGGTGGTGTTTGTTGTTTGCTTCAACGCATGCGCTCAAGTTGTTTACCTGTACAAGACTACAGCTCGTGGCGTGGCCACAAGAATCTTGCGAGCTGTTGGTAGGAGTTAACGTAAGAGAACGATGGAAAAAACAATGTAATGGACTGTCCGAGATGTGTAGTGTCCTGTACTGTTCGAAAATTCGCTCCCCGTAAGCTATGCACTTAGTCATTTCACTTAGAGGCCTCAGAGAGACCATTTGCAACCGAAGCAAAGCATAGGTCTGCAATGTTCGGCGCGTGGGCCGGAAGGTATGCCTAAGTAGGAGTTTCTATCTAATCCAGATACCTCGCCTGGCCGAGCCGAGGACTTAGGGCCGTTCTTAAGTTCCCGGTCCCAAGTCCCGGGACGAAATAGAGCGATTTGATTGGCTTTCAGAAAGCGGGCTAGGTTTATTTCCGAGCTCGTTTTGTCCCGGTCCCGCATCATTTTCGCGTGGTCGGGACGTGGGACTTTCGCCCTAGCTACTTCATTTTTGCACTAATGCGCGCCAAGTGTGCACCACTTTGTTACGTTTCGAAAGGGCTATCTGACCATGTTCTTCTTTCACCGTAGTTCGCGGTAGTTCGCGGTAGTTCCCGAGAGTTAGGGGCTTAAAAAATGCTTACAATTATCAAGTTTGACGGACGAGGGGTATCGTCCCGTTCGTCCCGGTCCCAGCTCCCGGGAACTTAAGAACGCGCCTTAGCGTAAGGCTCGAGGGGGTGGGGCAGGTCGCGCAGCGGCGCCCCTCGAAGTGCCGTTGCTAAGTCCACAGGCGAGAGCCAACGTGAGAGTGTCCTACCCTCTTTAACATCAAGTAACAAGTGCTTAGTCGCTTTGGTGGTCGGCATTGGGCCTTCTCGAACATTCTTCATCTAACCGGTCTATACATGGAGTATACAACTTGCTTCAGTTTTGGTCGGTTCTTGACGGTCGTGGTCGGGCGCAAACGGGTACAATAGTCTCGTCACAGCCTAGTTTTCCATATGGTGGACGGGTGCAGCAACAAGTGTCTTGATAAATACGGTAGTCAATTTACATATTCCGCTAGTCAATTATACAAATCAACAGCTGTCTTGAAGAATATCGTGACTACAGTGTAGTCAATTAACCATTTTCAGTTTTACTTACTCTGCGCCAAGATGATGACCATGGAGCAGGAGGTGACGCCGCGGCGGCCGCACTCGGCGCGCGTGGGCGACAGTGACGACGCCGACGAGCTGATGGACAAGGAGACGGACCCGATGGTGTCTGCGGCGCCGAATTCGTCCGCGCGGCGCGCGCAGCAGGCGGAGAGCTGGGTGCAGTTCGTGCTGGACCGTATCTGGTCGCTTGCGTTCCTGGGCGTGGCCAGCTTGGGGCTGTACGAGGCCGAGTTTGTGCCGGAGCTGCTGCAGGCGCCCCACGCGCGCCGCGAGTTCGTGCACCTGGGCGTGCTCTTCGCCTCGCTGCTGGGGCTCTTCGGCGCGTACATCGAGGTCTACCGCGGCATGATCCTGGGCGAGCGCGTGCACTACGCGACGGCCAAGACGGCGACCCACGGGATGCTGGCGTCCATGCTGGCGTCCGGCTTCTGGTACATAGACTACCAGTTTAGTGCATAGTGGAATGTTAACGTTGGTGGCTAACGTTAATGATCTTGTTTGCTGCAGTTTGGCGGTCGGGATGTGGCCTGTGTGGCGCTGGCTGACGCTGCCGTACCTGTTCATGTGGTCCTGGGGGGTCGTCGTGCAGCTGCTGGTGATCCTGCCGCCGCTGCTGCAGCGCGTGGTGTTCGTCGGCGGCTACCTCTGGTTCATGCACGCCTACCTCTCCATGTTCCTGGTCGGCGGGCTGCAGTGATGCACGGCAGCAGATTAATTAACTGGCGGGCGAATTGATGCGCCATATATACATGTAGTTCATTGATGTGGCTTGTGTTGTTGATACTGTACCAGTGCTGTGCTGGTGGGTCGACGTAACGTTACATCGGTGGTGACGAGAGCATCGGGCACGGATCTCGAGGGTCCACGTGCAGCCGCTTGGCCGCCATGACGCAGATCTTACAGCACGCCACGGCGACGGCATCCGAGCGCGCGAACAAGCGCCGCTTTGCTTGGCACTTGTGGCACACGCGCTGCTGGCAGACGCCGCAGTTGCAGAGCGACGCGCGGACAAGCACCGACAGTGGCGGCCTCTTGCCGCACACGGAGCAAGTGTCACAAGACGATTTCTGTCGGAAGGACCCGCGTTGACCGGCGTCGGGACTCGTTGGCGCCATTGGGGAGGTGATCGTCGGGGAGGTAGTTGTTGTCGACTCGGTGTCGCGGAAGAATTCCTCCAGCTCCGACTCGTCACACTTCCGGTACGACGAGCAAGCAACGTACTCGACGCGCTGCAGCGCTAGGAGCGTCAGACGTTTGGCCTCCGCGATCTCCGTGGCGCTGGCGATGGATAACATCATACTGCAGGTGGCGTCGCTATTGCACAGGAACGAGGGAGGCACGTCCTCCACCATGTCGAGCATCCCTTTGGAGTACACGCGCACAGTTCGAGACGCCGCGTCTTCCCGGAAGATGCAGCACATGGTCATCTTGGCCCGAACGACGTCGTCACCCGTAGCCAGCTGCGGGTGCTCGGCCAGGTCCACGCTCTTGATCAAGCGGTAGCCGAAGCGTTCGCCTTGGCCGTCGACCCCTGTGCCCATCGACTCCAGCGTGCAGAAGTCGCGGTACTTCTCGTAGCGAGTGTCTCCGACCGTCTGTGTGAGCATCCATTTGAGCGCGAGCTGCTTGGACGGGTCCCGATCCGACCCGCTCTCGATCAATGACAGCACGGCGCACTTGACCTGACCTTTGCTCAGGAACGCGTTGGCCACGCGCATCTCGTGGCGGGTCTTGGCGTGCAGCCCGTAGAGGACGTCGTCCAGCGAGCCGTCGATGGTTCCGATACAAAAGCCGGTCGGCAGCCGAGCGAGACCGTTCTCATGACTCTTGTATACGCGAAGTCCGTTCTGGCGCTTGATTAACCTCCACTCGTGTGTGCCAGGCTCCGGGGATCCTTGGCGACGGTACTCGCACTCGTGGGCCAGCGTTCGAGACACGACGCTGTGTGCCAAGGTGCGGAATACCTCCGCGTCGTCGTCTCGAAGTCTCACCTTTGGTCGAACCACTTGGAGCTGCTCGGCGGCCTTGGCACTTGGTCGGGTCAGTCGCCATCTCGCTCCTATTTTCTCGCGCATACTCACGGGTCGCGGTCGCTCTCTCCGGTGGCGCTGTTCATCTGGAGGAAGTCGGATCGATTGGGAAAAGTCCATCGTGACGGCGTCTCTGGAAGTGGCAGTCGCGACTCCGCGCAGTACCGTACCGTACCGTACAATGCTACAATCGTGCAAGCTCTAGGCGGATGCAGAAGTCTGCATTGAAGATAATTTTTCAGGCGATTACTTTCGGCAAGAATCGGATGGGCAGTGGACAGCCGGACGGTGTGTCACGGGAGGAATTTCCATAAATCAATGATTTTCACTGTGATTTGACAAAATGATTGTCATAGCTTGAAACTACTGACTCAGTGATTTGGTAAATAGTAATACTACAGTAGTATTTATTCGCTTCTTTCGATTACTATATTATTCCGAAGTGTACCGAGAGGCTCTCGTTGGGTAATGCCCCAGTCGATGTGAAGGAAGCAGACACCACGACGAAGGCCGTAGCCTACTTAACTATGCGTCGACATGTTTCCCCCCTTCACAACCGAGCAGAGTTGCCGCGGTAAGAGACTTGAAAGAACTGAGTACCGATGGGATCCGACATATTAAACTAAGAACATGAACCGAAAACCTTGTGACGCACACAACGTTTGCAGGTGACTTTGTCTTTCTACGTTGTGGGAATCCGCCAGTTTATGAGTTGCCGATACACTAGTAGTAGTTACTATATCACAACACAATATAATATCATCATCAACGAGACTTTTACACGAACTGCGTTTATTTTTTTTGGTAAGATGTTTCTATTTACATACTACATTTATTCTGGGGTAGGAGTAAAGCGCTATTTGAAGCCGATCAAATGAAGACGAGAGCTATGCATAGGCTGGGATAGCTAAAGAACTTAGTGTGAGCATCTTCACCGCGGCCGCGCCGTCACTATCGCTACCGGCAATTCAACGCGCGCGACCGTTGAATTGTTGCTATGGCGATGTTATGTACAGTATTTGTGGAATGTAAATTTGCTTTCCATTACAACGCATCTCCTGCGCCTGCTTCGCAGCCGCAGCATCTGCTACATTGACTTAGAGCCTATCAGGATTTTTTATATTTATGAGCTTTTCGCCCGTCGACCATTATCATCTTCTGCAGACGCAAACTTTTTTTCTTTATTCTTTTAGTAGCCACCTCAGCAACGTAGTACTAGATGCACTTGAGTGCGAGGGGGTTAAAAAGGTGACGGATCGTTCGGGGCGTACTTGGTGCGTGTGTTCGGCTGGAGGTGCACCACTAAAAACGCGCGTTGTACTTCCTCACCTGTCAAGTGATATTAATACATGTAGTTGAATTTGCATCACTTACGGCCTCGTGGCACCGCTGATCCCCGATGTGTGGACTGGTACGCGGTAAGCCGTCGCTTTCGAGCTGTCTTCCATCCATCTCGAGCTTGTCTCGAATTAGAGCGTAGACAATCAGTTAACTTCAGTTACCGGGGCCAGTTTTCCGGCTTCAGTATTACCGGCCTCAGCTACCAAGGTGCCGCCTAATTAATCTGTGTTGGGCTGGCCATAGCACTCCCTCCGGGGTTACTGCTATCCCAGAATTAAAGATAACATATTTCATCTGAAGCTACTATCGATGCATGAAATCCAATACGTTGTGCAGATGACAATTTAATTTTAGTGAATGCACCATCTCCTGGGTCCTTTGAGCTTATATGCGTTGTTCTATCGCGAAAAAAAAGCTGGGTTTCGGCGGAGGTGGCAGATGCAAAACAATTGTGGAGAAGCTTGGACCCTTGTATTTCGCAGTGAATCCTCGAGACGACCAACGAATAAAGTTGCTTTAATGTTTGTGCAGAACACCAGACAAGTTGTATAGTGCAAAAAGTATAACCACCAAAAAGGCACTAAACGCAGCAAGCCCCACACCGGAACCCAGTTTGTGGCTGGTAGTTGCGAGCATCCCACACCTTAACCGCTAGAGGAAGGGGTCGCCTGTCTACTGTACCGTAGCAACCGGAGTATGTATTAATAACATCGACAGTAATACTATATTATGTAGTACTAGTTGTAGTAGGTAACATGCTATCTGCATGTACTATTTCTAGTATTACTATAGGTCTACATTTGACTTGCAAATTGTATTGACGCGCTAGTACGATACTACTGATGCTGCATCAGTGAATTCAGGCAAACTATCACAATCATTTTGTCAAATCTCAGTGAAAATCACTGATTTATGGAAATTCCTCTGTGTTACGGCAACAATACCGGCACTTACAGTTTTCGAACATGGCTACTTTTTTAAGTATCGCGCGAGGATATCGTGGTGAGATCTACGGTAGACGGTTCCGCTCCACAAAACGTTTCGTGCGTTTAAGCATTTGTATGTGGAGTTCGAGCGACTTGAAGAGACCACTCTTGGACAACGCAGCAATAACGTGTGTCTACCCGTACGGTATAATACGAATCAAGACGAAGTTACGGTAACTTAGCATTATACATGTACGTAATAGCTGCGTGGCAGGAATGCTGTCGGTGGGCCGTGAAGGCGAACAAACTGCTCGGGCCATAGCATAGCCTGTATCAGCGTCGCCACGAACAACAGCTTCAACGTACGGATACCAACACAGTGAAACCCTTCTGCTATCACCTGCTGCTGGGTGTGCGCTTCAACTTCCAGAGCTGCTATATGGGAAGTTGAAGACAGCACCACCCAAACTTTTAAGGATTCATTTCGTGGGATCACGTCAAAGCCTAGCCGCTCTTCGACCGAGAAGAAAAGCTCGACCTTCGATACTAGGAATAGAGCTTGGGTGAATTCATACGGATGAAGAAGCCGGCAATGGCCCTCGCGGCCACAGACTCGAGACGCAGTTGTCAGCACTGTATAGCTGTAAACAACATATTGTGCTTTGGATAGGTACTGTATGTACACTGAAGAGCTCCAGATATAAGTATAGGTAAAAAGTGAAACCATACAGTTGCTAGGAAAGAAGACATGCATACAATTACTCCACATTTGCTCTTCTGCAGGTACGGTAGACTCCAATAAAGCCCTGAGAATCACCAGAGCAAGGAGAGCGAAATGACAGGCATATGACCGCACAAAATGCATGCGACCAGGTGCTGTACCGTACAGGTCCCCACATCCTGGGCTTTGCTCTTCAGTCGTCAAATTGCTTGGTCGTTGTGGGCCCCTCGCTCACTTCTCGACCACTGACCGATTACCGACATGCGTCTTCTGTGTGGGGTATGAGACGTGATCGCTCTCGCCACGCTTGACGCTGCGTTTGCAGCCCCCAAGTCCGAGGTGCAGCCGATCTCCAAGATAGCGGCGCTTGACTTGGAGCCAACTCGGCCCAACCTGAGTCAAGGACCTTGAGGGTTGCTAGTAGCAAGGACGAAGAGAATGTCGAGGACGAGGACGCGAACACCGAAGAGAGGGGCGGGCTGGACAAACTCTCGGGTCTGGTCAAGACGCGAGTGGCCAAGTCGACCGAGAAGGTCCGGAACCAGCTGAAGCAAGCCCAGACCAAGACGTCTTCGCCCTCTTGAAGCTCGACAAGGCGGGCGTCAACCTCTTCGACAACCCTAAGAGGGTCAAGACGTGGGCCAAATACATGGCCATGATCAACAAGAAGAACCCAGAGGAGGCCATGATCGCCTCGCTAAGGGCTCGCTACACTGACGACGTCCTGGCCAAGATGATTTTCGAGGCCAAGGCCATGCCGAAGACCGCTAAGATCGCCGGTAAATTGGAGACTTCGCGGATCCAAGCCTGGGTGAAGAGCCACGAGACTGTGGACGACGTCTTCATGCTGCTAAAGCTTGATGAGGCGGGCGAGAATCTGTTTCGCACCCCGCAGTTTAGCTCCTGGGCCGCGTTTGTGACCACAAGCGCGCCGAAGAACCCGGAGGTGCCCATGGTGATGCTGTTAAAGGCTCGATACAAAGATGAAGCGCAATTAGCGAGGATGATTGAATCAGCCACGAAGGTCCCGAGAACCGAAGACATCGCTACAAAGCTGCAGACGGATCTGCTAAATCGCTGGCGTCTGGATCGTAAATCGTCGGGTGATATTTTGATGCTGCTGAAGCTCAACAAGGCAGGGGATGATATTATTGGACGCCCCGAGTTCAACACGTGGGCTCTGTACACGAGCTTCATCAGCGAAAAGGTGCCGGAACGGGCCATGATCTCGACCTTGACGGCCAGTTACGGAGATGAAGCACTGTCGAAGATGCTGGAGACGGCGAAGCACGTCCGAGAGACGAAGGTCATGGCCACAAATCTACAGAACGCTCAGTTTAAGAACTGGCTGGACCAAGACTTCACCCCCCAGAAGGTTCTCGAACTGCTGGGCATGAAGGATAAACTGCGGGAGCCGAATGCGATTGTTTGGTACGTATATAAGGCAAACTACGAGATAGCGCAGGCGGCCAAGAAGACCAAGGTCTAGCCGAAGTTTTAGGATGGCCGCTATTTCACTGTTGGGGAGGATCTTCATTTCTACGAAGATGCCAATCAAATTGTAGAAGTGCTGTAAGAATTGCAAGAAGCTTGTAGCGTTCACACGACCTCAAGAATAGCAACATAAGTAATATATATACATATGATGATTGGTGCAGCTGGATTCAACAACAACATTGCTGAATGAGAGGAAAACTGCAATTCAGGATCTCGCGGTAATGGTACCGTTTCACTCTTAGGGAGGTGCGGGTAGCTTGGTCTCATCCTCAATGACTGAAGATAAACTCCGTTTGGAACCTATGTTTTGTTGTGAGGTGTGTCTCAGTTGCGTGGATAGAAGACGTAGTACCCTTCATAATGACCGAAAGCTGTCACGTGTGGGACCATGTACAATACATAGGTGTTTCCGTGAGTGCTATATCTACGGACCTAGTATTTGGTTATTGACTAGGGCTCCGCGAAGGCTGGGATAGGAGGTTTTTGGTATAATCGCTTTCTATTATTATGAGGTTTTTTTTTTACGAACCACGGGCATCTCCTGCGCCTGCTTCGTCTGCCCGGTAATTCACCTCAAAATTGTAGATAGTGCTTATACACAGTGATAAAACGAACCTTGCTCGAGATCTGTTTGTAGCTTGTAGAAAATGAAAAATGTATGCTTCTGCAGCAGTTCGTCCGCTTCAATCATTCACTTTACTTCACTCCTACTATTCGATATATGTTACTGACTCATACCGGTTCAATCTGCCCACGCATATAAACCTTTTGGAGGGCCCAGTGCGGCACCAGAGCCGTACCGGTTTCAAGAAATATACCAGTTAGATGTTAAGAGGGGTCATCGTTTGACTTGATGTACCACGGATATAATCCTATTTGGTCTGCGATAGCAGCACTATCGTTGCTTCCTATCCCAGTAAAACGAACTCTAGTATCCAGTCGCGACAGTTAACCAAGATTGAAGGAATGCCCATTTGCTAGTTGTGAGCCGACTCAAGAAGGATTATTTGAAAATAGGAGAGCTCTATTTAAGAAAAGTGTAACTACACCTTTGCCCGGCCATAGTTGGCCTAATTTGCAAGCAAAGTTGTCATGAATATTGGAGGTACCAGAGAGTACATTACATTCCCTAAAGTATGACTTTCGTTTCATTCAAAGTTGTCTAATTCCCACCAACGACTGTTGACGTAATACACATTTTCCCTCGCAAACTCAAGACCTTTGGCGTACTCTGATAGAGTGCGAACTTCGCACTGCGAAGTGACGCCAGCACAGAGGCAAGATGGCGAAGGCGAAGGCGTGTGTGCGTGCGTGCAGCTTCTTGAGTGTCCGATCCGCGTCTGCATGCCCTTCATCAAGCGGCAGCTGTACGCGCGCGATCTCTCAAGGAGGGGAACATGGGGGCGCGTTGAGACCGCCCCTCACTGAGCAGGGGGTGAGACGTGCTTTGCGGCTACATGTGGTGCATGTACCTCTCGATGGGAATTAGACAACTTTGAATGAAACGAAAGTCATACTTTAGGGAATGTAATGTTACTCTCTGGTACCTCCAATATTCATGACAACTTTGCTTGCAAATTAGGCCAACTATGGCCGGGCAAAGGTGTAGTCAGTCCTGTTCAACAAACTACACTACACATTTGGACACGCCATTCATCTTTTATCTCGTCTTCGGTGTCATCGATCATTGTGCATAGGCAGATAAATAGCTGCTCGAAGCTGAAAGTATCTGTCACAGCCGCAGCTTACACCACCAAACTGCTGATCTTCGGTGAGCGCCTCGCTGGCTGAGGAAGCTGGCAAAATTTGAGATTTTGTACATAGTTGACCTCATTAGTACTAAAATTGAATAAAATCGCAGGTGGGCGGGAAATGCAGTGGTTCTGGTCCACTCCGACTAGGCAATATGTAAGATCTCGTTGAGCGTCCAGCGCGCAGATGAAGAACATTTGCTGCAGGGGAGCCATCCCAACTTGGGAAAACATCCACTTGGGCAGTTCATTCGCCAACTTATCAATGGCAGTCAAAAACGAGTTACCATACATACCATCGGCAAAAGCAGAAGAAGAAGAAGGAGTTGATTAACTACTGTAGTTCGTGGACATGCCGTTTCGCTAGCTACGAACACTCTTAGTAATAACTACTTGGACACCTTGATTATTGGTGCTGAATCTAAACAACTACTCGGTTGGAGTAAACTTATTGGTCTAGGTGCATCGAAGTCCAGTCGCTGAAGAGCCGAAATGATTTCATCGCTGTCCACCTTCAGTTCGCTGGAACGCTGGAACATATTTTGACAGTGTCGACAGGGGTAAGCTCATTAAGGTTTGAGGGCTTGGTTGCTCCATCAGCATAACGTTAGATGTAGATTGCTTCTGGTCAACATTACCGCTCACGGAGCACGAAGATGAAACGATCGAATCGAAAAATAGTAAGAAATAATCCGAAATGAACATCTAGTTTGTTCACATTTTCATGCATTTGAGGGAGCAGCAGAGCCGAGAACGTTGTTTGGACTCCAAACTTTGGAGTGAGCAGGCCATGTCGCTTGCCTCATTGCTTTATCCTTCTTTCATCCCATATGCTTTGCAACTTCTCCCAGTTCATTATGCATGACCCGATATTTGTATGCTCTAATTATTGTTGAGGGTTCACAAAGGCACGTAAATAGATAAGATCACTTTTTATATAAGTACTAAGATGCTCTTAGAGCATCTCCCCCCGCAGCCAATCCCAATAACGTGCCACCAGTCGGCAGGTCCTTCCTCGCTTCGTCAATCAATCGAGACAGAGTTTTATCGTCGTAGTGTTTCATGGACGTAGCGATACCCGACGAGTCTTTGATGCCGAGCTGCTGGTTGTAGCACTGCCTGTACTCGATCCAGAGCTTGATCTTGGGGCTCTTGAAGAGGTTGTCCCCCTCTCGGTGAAGCTTGAGCTTGGTGAAGGCGTAATCTGGAGACTTCTGGTCGTTGAGCCAGTGGATGAGCCTGGCGTTGGCGATTCTGCTCTTGACCCCGGCGACGGCGCCCTTGACCTTCGTCAAGTCCGGGAGAATGCCCCTCTTCTCGTCCAGATTGGTGGCCCTCAAGGACCTCTGAGCAGCGTCGGCGGTGGGTTGGTGGAGTCTCGTAGCTGCGTTGGCGCTTGCCGTAAGAGTGACTACTGCTATTAACAGCGCCAGGAAGCCGAGACGCACGGCCATCGTCTGCGGAGTTGACTCCAAGTTACGAAAAGGATGAAAGCCACAATACTTGTTATCCAAAACTACTATTTTACAAGCCAAGCGGGGCCTCGCAAGCACAAGTAAGAAACTGGTGAAATCAAAATCTACGTGTATTTCACACTTCAACGCTAGCTACACTTTTAACGCAGGCGTAACCTCTGACACCTAAACTCGGCCAAAACTTAGAGAGTTACGGTAAGGCTGGCCCTACAGCCCATGTTTCGAAATAGGGTTAGGGATAAACGCATGCTAAAACCAAGTAAGATCTCCAAACACGTAAAACATGCTGAAATCATGGACATCCATGTTTCGGTTTTCAGGACGGGTGTCATGGCACTCAAGTCTATTGCAAATCCTTGGGAACTGGGTAATCGAGCTGCTAAATGTGGCTCTACCTGTCCTTAAAACCTTTAGAAGGCCGGCCCAGCGCTAGGCAGGGAACTGTAGACCTAAGCCTTGCTTCGGGGCTACGTTTGCGGGTTGTTCATGCTTCTCAAACGCCACTGATGCCGATTTGGACTCTGCATCACGATAGATTTGCGGGCCATTTCACCCCCTCCAATCCGAAAACGTGGGCTGTACATTTTCCGTTACGGTAACGACCACAAGACGATAATTACAACAGAAAAAAGTCCCATCCTAGCTGTGATCACTGCAATCTTGGGATCACGAACAGTATATTTGAGATACGTATTCGCAGTTATAAATTGTGTGGTAAATACGGTGCGACAAGAAGATATCCCGTCTCAAAGATTGCACTTTGCGATCGTTACTTTCGTATTATCGTTGACTCGCCATAGGCACTGATGGTCACGTACCAGTATTGGCAGAGCTCACGTTATCTCTCACTTGTGGATTGACTCTCGAACGCGTAAAGGTCCATTACCGATAAGTGGCAACGGCAGCAGCAATGCGTTCGTACTGCACCGCAGTGCTATTACTTGCAACCGTTTTCCTCGCAGCAGTTAATGCTGCACCCGAGTCTGCCACCGCCAAGGTAAACCCAGCCAAGTCACCTTCGCATCTCCGGTCCATCGCCACCAACGGTCGATATGTTCCTCCCTCGAGGCTGCTGAGGAGCGCCGAGCTGCCAGCGGATGAGGAAAGAGCAATGAAACTGAGGCTTGTGAGATGGCTCAACCGCTCACAGCAGACCAAGATCTCCACCGTCGACACCAAGCAAGTCAAAAAGTGGGTGAAGAAAGATGACTCGATGGCGAGCGTCTTCAACCGTCTGGAGCTCAATGCCGGAATTGAACAGGCTCTGGCCAACCCTAAGTTGAGGACCTATGCCGCCTACATTGACCAGCTCAACAAGAAGAACCCCTCGAAGGAAGTGTCTATGGTCGAAATGTTCGCCAAGACCTACGGAGACGAGGCCGTGGCCAAAGCGCTCGAGGCGGCAGCGATCTCCCGCAGCACAAAGAAAATCGCATCGCGCTTGCGGACGGACCTGCTGGACACGTGGAGCCTCCAAGGAAAGTCTGTAGACGACGTGTTCACGATGCTGAGTCTGGATAAGGCGGGATCCGACCTCTTTGTGACGCCCCAATTCAAGACGTGGGTTCGATATACAAAGATGGCAATGCATACCCCCGAGCACTACATGCTCTCGGCATTGAAAGCCAAATATGGGTACGATGGGCTGTCCAAGATCTTTCTTGCGGCCCCCCGTGCCGGGGAAATGGGGACCATTGCTTTGAATTTGGAGAACAAGATGGTGAACACGTGGCTGAGCCAGATTAAGACCCCAAAGATGATTCTTAAGCTGCTGAAACTGGACGAAGGAGTGGACAAGCTACTGATGAACCCGAACGTGAAAATGCTCAGTGGCTATCTGCATCTGTTCAACTCGAAGTATCCTGATCAACAAAGGACCTTGGTGGGGGTATTCACGGAGTTCTACGGGGTCAAAGCTGTGTCAAACATGTTGGAGGCAGCCAAGAAGGTGCCAGAAACGAAGGGCATCGCGACACAATGGCACGCAGAGATGCTCAAAGGTACGAAGATTCAGTGATTCTAGCACTCCGAATAGAGAAACATAGAAGTAAACGAAGACAAACATTTGCTCGCTCTCCTCTCAAAATTGAAAACTAAAAGTGTGGACTCCGCCTACGAAATCTTGGAGCTTCTTCGTGCACAGCTAGAGTCGATGAATCAGATCGGTTAGGTATGAGCTGTAAGGCAATCGCTCCTTAACTCTACAATAAAGATCAGAGAACATGAAATAGATCATGTTGACGGCCACACGAACACTGAGGCAAAATCCAAGATACTCGGCAAAAGGGGGCTTTTTCAAACCTCTTATTATCGAGCTTTCACGGCGGTCGTTAAGGCAGCGTCAAGGTTGTTGGCAACCAGCAGCTTTTTTACTTTCTCTAGCGTCACCTTCCCGCTCTTCTCTGCTGCAAACTGCAACGTGTACGCCTCCAAAAGTTTGTATCCGGAGTCACTTTTGGGCAGCTCCGGAACTTTTCTTCAATCTTCAACAAACGGGCGACGTCCTTTGGCTCATAACCCACTGTGGTCATCCATCTTTGGAACAGATTCCTCTCCAAGCTGTCGCCGAGGCTTTTCAGGTCCGGAATCGTCTTAAGTGACTGGAAAAAAAACTCGCCAGTTTTATCTCCGGTGCATGTTGTCTTGTCTCCAGCAGGATTTTCAGCGTTTGGCGGTCAGAATAGGAAGTTTCACGTAACTTAACTTTGTACCTCTCAGTGAAGCGGAGCCACTGGAGGAACACGGGGCTGTCCTTCGGTAGGATATTGAAAACACTCTGCGGAGTTTCTCCTCCACGCAGCCACACCTCGTGCATCCACCTGTGTATAGCGGGCGCTGAAGTTTCAAGCACGTATCGCTGCATCGTCTCTGCTGATTTCTTCATGTTTGAAACCAGTTTAATCGACTGAAGAAGAACTACCAGCTCCGCATCCGGCGTCGTCGTTCTCAAGAGATTAAGCGCACTGATGTCCGTGAACCAGGGTCCCTCTCTCTTAGCCCTGTACATGGTGACATACTTGAGCCACTGCAAGAACTTCGGATTATCGTCGAGCCTTGTCAGGCTAGCCTCGCCAAGACGCAGCGTCTTGAACACATCCCTCGGGTCGGTTAGAGACTTGAGCCACACCTTGTTTGCGAGGTTGAACGAAGATGGAAGTATCTTCGCTGCCTGCTCCGCGATTTTGGGCAACACAGGAATACCAGCTCGCTCTTCAAAGCCCCCACCCTTGGCTCTGGTATGGGCCGTGAGTGATCTCAGTCTACGAGCACCTCCGTTCGCTTGGTCGAGCGCTAAAGTGACACCAAAAGTCGCGAGAAAGACGGAGAAGATGAACAGGATCGCACACTGCCTGTGCATGCTTGGACGTTGTTGACACTTGCGGGAAAGTTGTGAAGTGAGGATCTCAGCACAAAATGGGATTGACTTCAGTGGCGCCCTCAGTCTCAGGGTCGTTCTTTACAGATGAATTGGTTGATTCCGTACAACCTGGCAGCGCAATCGTCCACGCATAAAACGCGCAGTGGGTTCGTCGATGGAAGTTTCACGAAAATGTGGGGTCCTCTGTTAACTTGATGTACCCCGGATATAATTCAATTTGGTCTGCGATAGCAGCACTAACCTTACCACCTATTCCAGCAGATGTTCTATATTAATACGCTAATTATAAATATATGCTGTTGTGGGGATTGCCCTCAGGCTCACTCAGTTTTCATAGGACGTTTAGGGTCGTTTTAGCGCAAACAAACCTACACCACGCATCCTACAACAATAACTTGATCCACTTTCCTTTGAAGACTGGTAAAGTCTTGGTCTGTAGGAACACTTGATTTCCTGCACTGAGAGCAAAGGTACACACTCACTTGAAAACTCTCATGACCTAATGAAAACGAAAGCGCGAGCTGCCATTGGCCACTGAGATCAATGCTCAGCAACGAGAGCAGGCAATCAAAGTGGCCCGTTATGCACAATAACGGAAATCCTGTTGACTTGGCCGCCAAGCTGTGTCCACTTAAATCCCACCTGTCGTTCAGAAGTCATGGTTGAAGTCGTCGACTTCAGCTTCTAGCTTCTACGTAGATTATTCAAACTACTGAGTAGGACTGGACTGAGGGCTCCGAGGATTCACAGTTTTTTTTTTACATCTGTCTGTGTATAACGGAAATCGTTTTTGTTACCTGTACTTCATTGCAGTATTATTACACTGCCACAACGAAGTTAGTTGCTAAACTATAGTGACATCTCGTGGTGTGGGATGCGGCCGAGTTTATCTTCGCTGCATTGTACGGAAAATAATAATAATAAATACTCCAATACCCAATTATTCAGTGACGTTTCTCTGGTTGAAGCCCGTGCAAGGTAAACCTAGCACCTAAACCATTCTGCATGCTCGGGGGGCTTTATTCCTTCACTTTCCACAGGAATCGAGAAGTTCGACAGCTAGAAGGCCTTGAACTCGTTTGCATTCCCCTCATCCAGTTTAGTAGATACGAGTTGAACGGTACGATATTCACGCGTTTCAGCAGCTTTAGGGGCTTCCTTCACACGTGACTTTAGCCGAGGCCGCAACCAGTTCAATATCACAGATTATTGGTCCGTGGGGGTCGTAAGTACATGATGCCACTCTGTATACTGCAATTAGCGGCGCAGTACAGTATTTCGTGCGAAAAACACTGATGGACTACAGTAGTCTACGTGTGTATCAGTGCTTTGGAGTGGCTGGCTGTAGTCAGCAAGTGTGGCATCCTCGAAACATGCTGAAACAAGATACCTTCCCGGTAGGATGCCACTTCAACGGCGAACTGAACAACATTAATAGGTGAACAAAACGAGAAAGAGAGAGATGCACGCAACAGACGTACACGTAGAGTTCTGTAGCCAATTTCATTAACGGCTCGTAGTGTGTAAGTTGCATATTTTCTCTGTATTAAGTTCTCGGTGTAAATTGACCTTCTATTTCAGCTTAATCACTGACCTATAGAAGTTAACTATGTTTTTTTTAAAGTTAGTGCACCGTAGTGAATATGTCAATCCAACCTCAGTTAGTACTTGCACTAGAGACCTATAGAAGTAGTAACTGTAAGGTAAGGTGCCAGCTGCGTGCCTACAACCAGTTCCGTGCCTACTTGTTTTAGCCAATTAGCATCTTCTCCTTGTTAAACTCTCGTAGTCTATTGGTAGATTTTTCCAGCGTCACATGCAATTTCCGGTGATGAGCCTCCTAGGATTTGCATAGCATACAAAAATGCTATCAAAAAGAGGCAGGAAACTGGCAGCTCACTCAAATCAACAAGCTTTTCAAAACAATAACAAGAAGTTCTGCAAAATTTACACGGACCAGCGTGAAGTACATAAAATCAGCCCAATCGCGCAGATTTAGCGGGTGCAATCAGATTTCAGAATGGACAATTCAATGAAAAGTTATGCCACAGCAAGTCCGCAAGTTCGAAGGACGGCACGAAACTGGCAGAAGACCTTAGTGGCGAATATTCATTGCGTGTATTGTGGGATCCACTCAAAATTTCCTCAGGCGATTTGAAGGGTCACTCCATACCATCTGCTGCTGCTCGGGCGATTGACAAATAACTTGGCCTTTGTAGAGAAGCGATTCGTCCAACCGGCCCCAATACGCAATTATGGCCGGAATTCACAATACTTAGTATGCTACTTCTCTGGGCCACCTAAGAAACAACATTGAGGTTTTTAGTATAGCGAGGTTTTTTCAGGGCTCACATTCATTTGTCAAAAATACGTTAGGGTTAGGTTACTTAGCGCGCGCTAAAACGTCGGGGGGGCACCACACAAACCAAGTTCCCGCCAAGCCCCGAGCACTCAACATCACAATGGGACGTCACCCCAAGCAGCCCAACCTGTCCTCTCAGAAGAAACTCGCCATCCTTCTCCACCTCTCGAACCTAGCCGTGGGTGGCCGACTCCCCTTAGGCGCCAAGGCCGCCACCAGCCGTTACTTTTTGTGTCACCGGGACACGGTCGCGCGCATATGGGACTTGCGCCACACGCCAGACGTGCTGTTGCAGCCAAATCGCCGCCAATCAAGCGGCATCCACCACCCCGACATCGCCACCAAGGTGGCAGCAGTGCCGTTGTGTGGTGTAGGGAACATCAAGTTTTGTGTCACACTCCAAGGCCGCAGTGGAACAACGTACCAGGAGCCAAGTTCTACTCGGCGGGATGACCGTCCGCCGAGCTCAGTGGGCAAGAATGCGCTGATGGACCGCTGAACTCGGCTGATGGTGTCAGAAACTCAAGGCACACCTGGTGACACGTGGCAGACCCAGTGATGAAGACCCAGCCGAGTTCAGGAAGGCACTGGACAGATCATGGGGGTTCAAGCCGCCGAGCTCAGACTAAACGGTACCATGTACCGTCCGATACGGTAACCAGGCTCAATTGAGTCCGGGAGTTGCGCAGTCGAGTTCGCGGGTCGCTCTGCCGAGTTCACGAGTCGCCCCGCCGAGTTCACTGGGTTATCCGGCACCTTATCCGGCTCAGCCGAGTTCGCCAGGTTATCCGGACACGCCGTATCCGGCTCAGCCGAGTTCAAGGGATTATCCGGACAGGTTATCCGGCTTAGCCGAGCTCAAGCGTCGCCGAGCTCGGTGAAGAGTCGGCCGAGATCCAAAACCGCCCACTTTCATTTGGTATTTGTATAGGAGCTTAGGAATAGTGGAGGCGCCCCTTCAGGGCGCCCGACAGAGATAACAAACAACAGAGCAGAATTTTCTAGGTCCACAACACGTGCGCGCGCTTCCAGTAAGCCCCTGCACGGGCCGGATTATGTCTGCTGTCAGCACCCGAGAGGCATAGCTTGTAGGGTGTTGACTGGTAGCACCAAGAGATTAAGGTCGGCCCGGGTTGGGCGCGTGTCTCGCCAAGCGCGACGGAAAAGTCTCGCCACCGCTGCGAGCCAGTGTTCCCGTACGTCCCGGGCACTGATTGCTGAGTCGAGAAGCCTTTGCTCTCGGCGACCCGTAAAAGCCCGCGAGGGCCGTCGTCCGTCCTTTGGCGGAGAGCACGGGATTTCTAATTCCGGAGTCAGGTAACTCAGCTGGCTTCCGTGATTGACTGGCTTGGGGTACTTGGTCTCGGCGAGGACGAGACATCACTGTCCCGGAAGGGCCGGACCGCTGGGGACATCTCAGCGCAGGCCAACAAGGGCCGACTAGCTCGGCTGTTGTTGTGTTTGTAGCTAGGGCGCCACATCTGACGATTTTGTGCGTGCTACTACACCACAACTGGTGCCGCGATCCGGGAGCAGGGTGATTTGTTTTCGTTGGTACCAAGTCAACCAAGTTTCGAGTACTGAGCAAGGTGGTCAAGGGGAGAACGTTGCCGAGCTGGGCCAGCCCAGCGTCGGCTGGGGGCTCGCTTCACGCGAAGCCGAACTCAGCTGGTGGAAAGATCGCCGACATGACGATGGAAGCGGTCCCAACCGTTCGGTTTGACGACGACCGCACCCAAGACCGAGGAAGAGATGGAAATATTGGAGATTATGATGAAGAATGGAAGAAAGCCGAGTTGCTCAGCGGGGCAGCTGAGTTCTCGCTGCATGTTGGGCGCATGGAGAAACCTCGACGAGCCCAACAAAACCTCGCAGCCGAGCTCGGTGGCGATGCGGACGACGACAGTCAAGACGTCACTTCAGGGGACCGTCTGCCTCTGATACAACGAGCGACGAGGGCATCAAGCGCGAAATGCCCGAGTTGGGATTCGGTGCCGAACGTCTCGTGGGAAACCTTTCCACTCGACTAGGGGCAATCGAAGAAATACGAAACCCGTCTGCAAATGGTGCAAGTTGCAGATGCGGTCTAAGGCTATTGCACCAAAGAGATGATCCGCCGACTCAGTGAAGACAGCAGGCTGGGTCGAGTCGAAGAATGATACTGCGTCAACTGTATGGATTATATGAATTACATGATATCGAAATAGAGTGAGCGAAGATGGAGCTGGAAAGCAAGAAGCCCATTCGCCGGGTTAGCGTTGGAATCGGTACGGCCGCCACAGCCACCAGGCTGGTGGAATCCGCATCTCGGATCGAAGTCTCAGCCGATTTGCCGAGCTGAGCGATTCAGCCCAGCTGGTCTGACGACGACCCTGTGAAGAAGCTGAGGGAGGTGATGGTGCGTCTGCACAGATTGCGCGAGTCAGCTGTCGATGCCGAAGCTGTGTCGACTCGTCACTGGGCCCGTGAACACGCTACCCACTGGGGCGCTGAGTGTGATATGCGGCGGTACGATCGACACCCTTGGGTACGACCGCCGGGACCTCCGACCAAGTCCGTGAATGATCTTCCCGTTGTGCGCTCAAGCTGAGTTGGAGCGCATGTGTGCTGACGCGAAGCCGTGCTGATATGGAGCCACGCTCAAGCAGGAAAGCCGAAGCGAAGTCGAGTTCGCACGATGTTCCAGTGAGGCCGTATTCACTCCATGTTTACCGAGAGGCGACTAGCCGAGTCGGTCGATGCGCGGCGGCGGTGAACAAACCGAAGTTGCAGCAAAGCTGGACTTCAGCAAAGCTCAGCGGAGGCACGCTGGGCAGGCGCGTCGTCGAGAATGTCGACGTGCCAGCGATCTCGAACGGGATCCGAGTTGATCCGTAGCTGAGCAGAAGCAGACACCTGCTTTGAAGATGGACTCCGACTTCAATCGATCCGACGTAGGGCTACCACAGAGTTTAACTGCGGTCAGCCTGAAGCCGAGTCGGTGAAATCGCCGAGTCACGGCGTCGCAAACGTGTACCCAACATCCAAAGCTGGACTGAAGAGGAATGGATTCCACGCGACCGCTGTCTTATTCACATTGAGCCAACATGAGCAGAGCTTGGTCAGGGGTCGAGCATAGCCGAGTCGAAACACGCCTTCAAAGCGCGGATACTTCCGCCAAGGGACTGAGCTGGTCAGCCAGCCAGCTGTGTCGTTCGCTCAGCCGAGCTTGCCTATCACCTTGCTCAACTGGGCTAAGCTGAAGCGGAATCAATGCCAGGTGGACATCAGTCGAGCTAGCCCGGGTTGATTCGTGGCAGAGCCACAAAACATGGGGATCAAGTGGCGCCTAGGCGAATTGCAGCAGAGGTTTGTCTTGAATCCGAGCTGAATCGAGATCAGGTACAAGTGCAGCCGAGGTCAGCACCAACTGAGTTGAACCACAGTCAAGCTAAAGCCGAGATGCGTTCAAGCAGAGCCGAGTTGAAGCGAGAAAGGGCACTCTGCGTGGAAGCAGTTTGACACCGAGATGTCGTAAGGCCGAGTTCAACCAAGCCGGAACGGAGCCGAGTTCGAGCAACGCTTCGAAGAAGCGCTGGTCGTTGGAGTGGAGCCGATTGAAGAGCAACCTTGCTGAAGCAAAGCCACGATCAAGTTGAGCCGCCTCCCGTCCAGTTCCAGTGGGAACGCATACATCTCGGTCTTGCGCCCGGTTCTCGTCGGATTCCAGCCGAGACGACGTAGGTTGAGCCGACGTTATGCGCAGCCGAGTCCGAGCAGAGCTGAGCTGAAGCGAGACCGAGATCACGCTGCGTCCGAATGAGGTCGCGTTCGCACTGAGTTGCTGCGAAGCCGAGAACATTGGAGTGCGATCAAGCTGGAATGGGATGCCGAGTTCCAGCAGTGCCGCGGATTGGATGGCGCCAATCTGAAGTGTACTCACTTCAACGGAAGGAAACACTGGACTGAGTTGCGGTACGCCGAGTTTCAGTGAGATCGCGTTCGGAAGTTCGCCGAGTTGAGTGCTGGTAAACGCACCATGTTCCGATTGGAGAGCGCTCACGCCGAGTTCGAGGTGTAGCCGAGCTGAGTCTGAACACGCTGCACAGCTAAACCGAAGATACCGAATTCAAACCGAGTTTGAACGCAGCCGAGCTCGCGGCGAGCCGAGTTGGAATGTGACCGAATGAAGTGCTGTTCCAGTCGAGCTTGCGCACCACCTTCCCAACCAAGCTGAGCCCAGTCGGGGTATGCTGGTCTAACAGAGCTGGAGACATGCCGAAGTCAAGGTCTGTTTACCAATGAGCCCAGCTCGGCCCGTTCAGGACAAATCGACTGGAGCATCAAACGCATCGAGATCGCCTTGTTCGTTTATAAAATGACACAGCAACGGTGAGAGCTAACTCAACGCACCAAAGTGAGTGGGGCAAACACTTACCAGGCTAGTTGAGTCGATGAAGCGGAGGCTGTGTTCAAGTCCAGCCGAGTTCAAGGTCAGCGGATAGCAGCTAGTCGTCAGGACAGCCGAGTTCGGACAAAGCTGAGTTCAACTTGCTGCTGCACTTCTCGCCAATAAGCTCAGCTGGGTTGGATTTCGAGCTCAGCGCGGCCCGATCGGGGAAGCGTTTCTTGACCTGCCGAGTTCCCGGTGCCTTGTAGCATGCCAAGACAACTATCAGGCTTCACTCGACGCACCGAAACGAGAGGAACGTGCTTACCCGGTCAGCCGAGTCGCTGGCAGCATCCATGGCTGCTCATTTTGACGGAGATAGCGATGCTCGGCTTCGTCGGTATTGCAGCCAATCGAGCACTTCCCCGACACCTGCGTCACCTACTCGCTTTGCTGCGACAGGCCCAACATCACCGCTAGTACTCCGAGCGTCGACAGGGGCACCAGCTGACTTCGTATGGTTTAGTTCCTGCTACCGGCTGCCACGCCGAGACGACCATCCAGGCTGATTCGCTGCTGAAGTGATCCGACGACGGGGTTTGGTGCGAGCGATAGGGGCATCTACATGTGTACAGACCCATGAGGCGCGGAGGCCACGCATCAGACAAGGCCTATACCAAAGATCAAGGCTCAAGCAAGTCTCACCTTCACGGAACGAGGGCGTCGAGATGGCGTTGCGGGCGTTTCTCGTCACTCGAATTCGGGAAATGTGAACTCAGAGTGTTTGCGACAGAGCTGATTGGACGAAATCAAGCGTGCGACACATCCGGTTGGCCAGGCCACTCACCACTCCTGCTCGTAGCATGGCCGGGGCAATTGTGGTGTAGGGAACATCAAGTTTTGTGTCACACTCCAAGGCCGCAGTGGAACAACGTACCAGGAGCCAAGTTCTACTCGGCGGGATGACCGTCCGCCGAGCTCAGTGGGCAAGAATGCGCTGATGGACCGCTGAACTCGGCTGATGGTGTCAGAAACTCAAGGCACACCTGGTGACACGTGGCAGACCCAGTGATGAAGACCCAGCCGAGTTCAGGAAGGCACTGGACAGATCATGGGGGTTCAAGCCGCCGAGCTCAGACTAAACGGTACCATGTACCGTCCGATACGGTAACCAGGCTCAATTGAGTCCGGGAGTTGCGCAGTCGAGTTCGCGGGTCGCTCTGCCGAGTTCACGAGTCGCCCCGCCGAGTTCACTGGGTTATCCGGCACCTTATCCGGCTCAGCCGAGTTCGCCAGGTTATCCGGACACGCCGTATCCGGCTCAGCCGAGTTCAAGGGATTATCCGGACAGGTTATCCGGCTTAGCCGAGCTCAAGCGTCGCCGAGCTCGGTGAAGAGTCGGCCGAGATCCAAAACCGCCCACTTTCATTTGGTATTTGTATAGGAGCTTAGGAATAGTGGAGGCGCCCCTTCAGGGCGCCCGACAGAGATAACAAACAACAGAGCAGAATTTTCTAGGTCCACAACACGTGCGCGCGCTTCCAGTAAGCCCCTGCACGGGCCGGATTATGTCTGCTGTCAGCACCCGAGAGGCATAGCTTGTAGGGTGTTGACTGGTAGCACCAAGAGATTAAGGTCGGCCCGGGTTGGGCGCGTGTCTCGCCAAGCGCGACGGAAAAGTCTCGCCACCGCTGCGAGCCAGTGTTCCCGTACGTCCCGGGCACTGATTGCTGAGTCGAGAAGCCTTTGCTCTCGGCGACCCGTAAAAGCCCGCGAGGGCCGTCGTCCGTCCTTTGGCGGAGAGCACGGGATTTCTAATTCCGGAGTCAGGTAACTCAGCTGGCTTCCGTGATTGACTGGCTTGGGGTACTTGGTCTCGGCGAGGACGAGACATCACTGTCCCGGAAGGGCCGGACCGCTGGGGACATCTCAGCGCAGGCCAACAAGGGCCGACTAGCTCGGCTGTTGTTGTGTTTGTAGCTAGGGCGCCACATCTGACGATTTTGTGCGTGCTACTACACCACAGTTGCCTCTTCGGCAGAACCAGCGGTCCCTTGCTGCCGCCGTGAAGGTCTCCCGCACCACCCTCCGGCGCTACCTTGAAATGGGGTTATTGCGCCGGAGGTTTTCAACTGTCAAGCCTCGTCTCACGCCTGAGCACAAGAAACGACGTCTGGCATTCGCACTACGCCACGTTCGGCAACCCCCAGGTATGAGCATTTTTTTATTTTGTACAAGCGGTTGGATATCTAATAACCTTGTTGCTGTATTATTCTTTTATTTTGTACAGGTCTTAGACGGCCAATTTTCGTCGATATGTACGACATCGTACATATCGACGAAAAGTGGTTCAATATGTATAAAGGATCAACCCACTACTACATGGCACCTTGCGAAGATCTACCCCACAACACATCGATCAACAAACGGTATATAGTGTGAGATCGGGAAATGACTGCGGCCGGGCGAGTTCCGGCTGAGGTCTAACTGCCTTGAGCTTGCGAGTGATGGCTGACCGAGGGCTTTGATTGGTCGGTCACATTCCCCGCGCTTTAGTGCCCAGACGATTGATAGAGACTACGGAGTGACAGGAGGGTCTCGGCGGGTCAAAATAAACCGCCTGCCGAGGCCTCCGAAGTTTCATAGTGGGTACACTTTATGCCCAGTAGGAGTTCGGATTAAGGAGAAGTTTCGTCCGGTTGTAGGATCAGCTCGAAAGCTCGGTCCACACTTGATATTTGTATAGACCTTAGGGATTAGCTATAGGAGAGGCCCGACAGCCTCTAAACCATTAAACAGAGCAGAATTCCCCCCCCCCAAGCCACACAAGGGTCAAGTCCGTCTACGGTAAGTCGGTAAGCTTAGCGTAGGGTCTGGATACACTCGGCTGCACGGGGTATGTCTGCCGGTGAGCATAAGGTGCATTGACCGAGTGTTCATCCTGGTAAGGCCAAGAGTGAGTAGGTGGCCGAGTGTTGGGAGGTATTAGAGACCTCTGTGTACAGTTGTACGTTTGACTGGGTGTGAGGCAAGGACCCCCCAGTGTATTTGACTTCTAGCCGAGGCTTCGCCCGGCGCCCCTGTAAGAGGCTTCGATTGGCCTGGTACCCTTCCTTTCTGAGGGACCACAGAGGTTTAGTGCGAAAGTACGAATTACACATTGCATCCTAGCCGTAGCTCGTGGCTAAGGGTGCTCTTATATTTTAACGAAGGGTAAACCTACCTGACCCGCAACACACAGGGAGGCACAGTCCAGCCCGTATAAGGGATCGGACCTGGTCTTCAGGTTTATTATCCCGACAATCTATCGCCGACTCTTCGGAGACGGCGTGTGTTGTTGGTAGGGCTCGTCCTAGAGACTTCGGTTGATAGGGCGAGGACTCGTAAACTCGTGTTTTCCTACACGACAACTGGTGCCGCGACCCGGGACTGGTGTGACCGATTGTGTGTTGTGGTCTGTGTAGGTTTTGCCCAACGATCATTGAGGAGAGAAGAAGTGAAGAAGGGAAGAAGAAAAAAGAATAAGAACAAGATGGCGAAAGGATCCAAGTCAGCGGTACCAGCTACGCCGGTGAAGTCGGGACGAGGATCGGCCGAAGGTTCGAGTGACTTAACGTCTCGGTTGTCGACGATCTCCGAAAGGTCGGTCAGTTTCGAAGAGTCGGTCGACGAAGATTCGGACGCCAAGGATGACATGATGATGGACTATGATGACCTGGAGGAGAAGACTCCAGCGACGACGCAGGAGTTCGGAGATGAAGAAGATGCGATGCTGTCCGCGGGACGTAGCGGAGGCTCGCGCTCCTTGTCCCGGAACCTCGTCGCGGAATTTGATGAAGTGGCGAAACCCGACCATGCGGATGACGACTTTGAGGATGGCACCGAGACCTCGGCTTCGAGGGCTCTGATGCAGGTTACTAAGGGTCCTCCAGAATCCCGCGGAAGTCGGCCCGCTATGAACAGCAGCACTCCAGCTGCGAACAAGGTGCTCGGTGGAGTCGAGCGAGTGGATATGGCCGTTCAATCCCGAGATGACGCGTCAAGCGACTTGGGCTGAGCTGAAGGAGGAGTTGCAACACCCCGTTGAGTCGACCTCGGTTACTCAGGTGGCCGAGGACACGGTATGCCTCCTACGAGCGATGGGCTGCGAGCCAAGGACTCGTCCGTCCGAAGTCTCGATCAAGAGTTGGACGCCGGGTCTCGCCGGCAAGGAGCTGCATAAGTGGAAGAGGAAGCTTCGCCTGAGCTTCGGGGAGTCGGACCTGACTCTGGGACGCCCCCCGAGTGCTCGCCCCGCGAGGGAGCAAGCTGATCCTTCGAAGATCTCACTGCCACAGACACCCAAGAAGTCCGCCGAGCGGTCAAACCAAAGCCAAGCGACGGACGGAGTGTTCTCCGCCAAGACCGAAGGTTCGCCGTACTTCCAAGACTCGCACATGGTGACTCCTAGGTCGGCGAATCGAGCTGACCGTATTGCGCGTGAGTCCGAAGGTTCGCGACGCGAGCGGAGCACGCAACGAAGCTCCACGCGACGCTTAAGCCGCCGGTTTACACTGCGTGATGACTCCTCGTCCGACGAGGACGACAAGACAACATCGACTATGAAGATGGGTTTGACAGCCCGAGCGATGAGTTGGCCCGTCAAGTGCGCGAAGTGAGTGAGATGGAGCGACTGAATTCGACTCCTCGGCTCGAGATCGCTACGCACCGGCCGCTCGTGCAGATCAAGAAATTCTCAGGGGCCCGCAATCGGAGCGAAAACTTTATGCAGTGGCTCCGAGCTTTCGTCTACGAGATGAAGGGAACGCACACTCCACCAAACGAGTGGTGCATGGCTTTCGAGCTGAGCCTTCGGCACGGTGCCCTTCACTGGTACCGTCAACTCCCGAAGAGGACTAAGCGTCAGTGGAAGCGACTGAGCGATGCGTTTATCAAGTATTACTGCTCGCAGTTTAGCCAGTCTGCGAAGACTCGCTACTACTCTGCGAAGCGCGAGTCCTCTGAACACCTTTGTGACTACCTCAACTGTAGTGGGCCTACTTTGGTTCACTATTTAGCTTACACGTGTGCGCGTGTATGTGAGGAAGCGTAGCTCAGTTTAAATTAGAGTTAATTATACTCGGGCCTCCGAGTATATATTAATCTAAATAAACGATCCAAATAATGTTTTTGGGTTAAAATGAGAACTGCTATTTTTGTTTTATGTTTCTGACTTCCTCTAAATGTAATATTCTAACCTGGGAATCTGCCAACGGCTGGTTGGCAGAATTCCAACGCTATGCATGTCGCTCATTGGCTAAGAGATGCTGCTCTCAGCCAATAGGAATCCTAAGTCTCTATGGACCACCCGTCGTGGTGATCCTAAATGTATGTAGCCTTTGGTGTGTCTATACCAAGGTCGAGAAAGTCTTTCGATCCTCTAACAGACGTCGTGTCTGTTTGAGTTACAAGTGTCTGTAGCCACTTGTGCGTGTAACCCTGTTACACCATCCCCCCCTCAAGATTAGACGCGCCGAGTCACGGCACGTCAATCAGGAAATTGACCATTCGTCAATTCTTCACGTTGGGAGAAAGAAAACTCGAGCTCATTCCGCAATGAGCTCGCCGCAGAAGAAGACCGCCGCCGCAACGGAGGGTAACCTCTCTGTTGCTCAGTACCATGAGCGCCAGCAGGCAAAGCGCGACGCGCTCGCTGCAAAGGCCGCGTCGAGGACAACTCAATTACCTTGATTATTTTTACCATTAGCACGTTGAAAACCCGTCGAGGACAACTCAGTCGGAGATTGTCCTCGAAGGTTCCTCTGTAGTCAACGACGCCGTTGACTATGGGAGTGACGACGTAGAGATGGAAGAGGGCGAGGCCTCTTCCAACAAGCGCAAGGAGTCTATCGACAGTGATAGTCTCGACCCGCATGCCGGGTCGAGACGCCCTCGTGAAGGAGACGACTCGGACGCTTCGAGCTCGAAGCGTTCGCGCGGCGAGAGCGACACCCCGCTCTCTGCTGCTGGGGCTTTAAGCTCCCCGCGTGAGGTGGCGCCTTCAAGCTCTCCGCGCGCTGCTCAGGCAGCGCGCGATCCGTGGATGCCGTCTGCGTCAGAGATCGCAGACCGTGTGGGCAACACCGTGCCTCCAAATGAAATTCCGCTGTACGTATGCAGCGGGATCCACGATGATGCTGTGGCGGAGGAGCAGCACTTTGATCCGTTAACAAATCAAAGGCGCGATTACTATATCGGGCTCTTTCACGAGCTCCGATACTTCTCCAGCAAGAAGACCTCTTCTCGCAGCAAAGTGCCTGAGTGGCAGGCACTTTGTCAAAGTTGGAATGCTTTTGTTGAGAACTTCAACAAGAAGCCGGCTGCTTACCGTGAGCGGGTTAAGCACGCCCGTGAACGCTTGAGACATTCTCGACGCGCGGGAGGTTGGAGCAGCTCCACAGATCTTCTGTGGACGCTGGTATTCCATGCGATGTGCCCGAAGGCCAACAGTGCACGTTGTGTCTTCCGGGTGCGGCGCGCTTGAGCGACCGCGACCTAAACGGGTACACGCCACGACTTACGGGTGACCAGTTTCGACGACACATCCTTCAGCCTCGCGATCAGCGAAGTATCGGGTGACTCGGAGCTGATTACGCGCATCAAGAAAGCGTACAAGAAAGATCGTGATGTCCAAGCAATCTTGACAGCAATCAAGCGACGCAAATCCGACTCAAAACCAAAGCGCGAACACCGGCAGCACAAGAAATACTGCTGCTACTCCGAAGCGAACGGGGTACTGTGGTATCAAACGCCTGCAGATGACGCTCCACGGGTTGTCGTACCCAACGATGTGAAGTTGCGACAGACAATTATCAGCGAGTGTCACGACACCAACTACGGAGGTCATCCCGGTGCGGGACGTACGTACTTGACACTGGCGCGCCATTGGTACTGGTCAAAGATGTTGAAGTCCATCCAGAAGTTTGTCGCCGACTGCGAGCCTTGTCGGAGGAACAAGCCGCGATTGACGAAACCTCCTGGGTTGCTCGAGCCACTCAGTATTCCAGACGAGCGTTGGAGATCCATCTCCATGGACTTCATCACTGATCTGCCGCGAACGGAGCGGGGCGTCGACTCTATCTGGGTCGTCGTCGATCGGTTGACCAAGCGGTGTGATTTCGTGCCAACCACCAAGAAGGTGAACGCCGAAGGTGTTGCTCGACTCTTCATCGACAACATCTGGAAGTTACACGGCATGCCGACGAATATCGTCTCCGACCGCGACAGGAAGTTCGTGTCCGCCTTCTGGCAGCATGTCTTTAAGTCCATCGGGACGAAGCTAAGCATAACCGTTGCACATCGCGCTCAAGGTGACGGACAAACGGAGCGCATGAACCGAACCTTGGAAGAGTATCTTCGGTGCTTCGTCGGTCCACTGCAAGATGATTGGGACGTCCATCTCGCCAACGCTGAGTTCGCTGTCAACTCAACTGTCAACTCCAGCACGAAGCTTGCGCCGTTCGAAGCCGATCTGGGCTACATTCCGCTGAATCCACTTCAACTTGCATCCGAGCAACTTGAGAGTGTCCCCAAGAGTCGCCGCGGAGCAGAGTTTCACGAGCGACAGGCGGCGATTCTCTTACGCTGTCGCGAAGCGTTAGCTCAGGCCCAAGAACGGATGCGCGACGTCTACGACCGAAACCGTGTTGAACAGATCTTCGAAGTTGGTGACAGGGTATACTTGAGCACGCAGAATCTGAACCCGAAGCACTCCGGCTTGCCCAACTCCACCAAGTTCGGACCCAAGTGGATTGGACCGTACACCGTGGTGCGGAAGATTCATAACCACGCGTACGAGCTCAACATCCAGGCTAGCAACAAACTGCATCCCGTCTTCAACACTGCGTCATTGAAGCCGTACAAGGAGCTCACTCGCTTGTCGAGGCCAAGCGACGTAATCTTAGCGGACGGCAGCATTGGCCAGATCGTCAAGGCATTACGTGGAAAGCGAACGCGAAAACGGCGGATCCAATATCTTGTGGAGTGGGTGGGCGAGGAGAAACAAACCTGGGAACCAGTGGAGAACTTGTCGCAAGTCCCAGATCTCATCGCGGAATTTGAATCTGCAAGGCGAAAGAAGCGTCGAAAACGGTGAAGCAGGATCAGCTGAAGGGGCGCTCAAAGGCCTACATGTATTCCCGTATTACATCCCCTCTTGTTGCAGAACCTGCTGCTTCATGCGCTTCTCCCGCTTTTTCTGCGTCTTCGACTTGCGCTTGCCGTGGCGACACTTGTATCCTGGTTGCAGCTCCACTTGCGCCATCCATTTCACGTGCTGAATCCACTACTGGTAACTCAGAGGAAGAACGTCCACCGGCGGGTTCTTGCGGGCATTGAAATTGTCAAGAGCCAGAAGTTGCTTCTCCGGACGACGGTTAACCACGACAAAGCAGTGCCCGACATCATTGCGGCCAGCGCTGACGACGTAAACACCGGGTGCTTGTTTGCGGCAAACACCTTGGAGCGTCGTGATGTTGGCACTTGACTCTGGAAGAGCGTTTCGGAGAAGGACGTCGTAGTTCAGTGACACACTCTTGCACTGCAGAACTTTGAAGAACTCCGTCACGTCGTCGCGAGACACTCCGTACTGGATGGCTTCAGGTCGCGTGTCTTCATACACATCCCACATCTCCATTGTGACTAGATCCGGCTGTCCGAGATAGTACAAGGCCGAGCGGAAAGCATCCATGAAACAAGTACCAGCCTCCGACGCGGAATCACCCTCCGAGTACCAATAACAGAAGGTGCGCTTGTCTCCCGATTCCTTCCAAGCGTCCACCATCCTCATCATGTAGCGCGTCGACGGTTTGTCGAGCTGCTCCATCCAGACCCAGCTTAGCTGTAGCGGATTGCCTTCCCATTCCACCAAGTAGCAACGGCGCGGAGCCTTGCCCTAGACATCCAAGGCACGGACGATGTCAACCTCAGTGTTGTAATCCCAAGGCTTCTTCGGGTCGTAGTGGTTGTTGCGGTTGTTCGACGGGTGCTTTTTGGGCGCCGGAGGAAGCGGCATCGGATGCCACGTCGATGTCTCGTCACCGCGACGCAAGCGCGAGCGGTCAACCTGAGGCAGGCCTTCATCATCGTCACTATCATCGAAAAGCCCGGATTCATCTTCAGGCGAGGCCTCAAAGGTCGCCCCAAGCGCAGGCTCAGCAGCTATCGCCTCCTCGACAGACAACCCTTCCACATCGAGCATGAAGATCAACTCCTGGAGCCGCGTAGGTGGAGAAAACCCACCAGCCGAAGCAACAACATCACGCGGCGCTGGCGACGCAGGCGGCGGCGCCGGGGTCGCCGAGCCCGAATCTGGAGAGCCAAGACCGGGAGAGCGACTGGTGAGCTCTAATTCTTCCCACACACGTACCATCTCTTCGTCAAGACCGGAGTCAGCATCGCTGTCTTCACCAGCAGCGGCCACAACATCGACAATCTGCGCGAGCGCGGCGGCGCATTCAGAGTCTGCCGGCGCGGCCGGCGTGGCGGCGCCAGGCGGAAGCATGTACGGACCATCGAGATTTGCGGTCGCCAGAGACGACGCAGACAGCGGAGCCTCAACATCATGATCAGCCATCGCTGGAGGCGAGGCAGAACGCGCGGAAGCAGGAGACTGCATTCCGGCAGCAGTAGAAACCGCTAGCGACACAGCCATCAGCCCAAGGAACCAATCCAAGCCTCCAACAACCAGGCGAGGTCGGACTAATTCCTCAGGCGACAGCCGGAAGTGTCGCGGTTCTCTGTCTCTTTCGGGAATGACAAGTCGGATGGGCGCGCAGCCAGAGAAGGGGTGAGTGTATATGATTGGTAGAAAGGTAAGCCAATAGGAGGTCAGTGTAGGTACGACTCACCGTAGGTATAGTGAAACCAAGTTAAAATAGATATGCAGATGTAGGGCGGCTGTGGAGGCTTCGCGAAGCTTCCATCCGCTTGAACTGCGGGCGGCACTCTTAGTTCCGCACGCCCTCCCCCAAGACAGCACTTCTTCCTGCTAAATAGCAACTATGTGTTTGTGGTGCTACTGCATTGCAGTGCTGCTCGCTCTTCTTTCAACTGTCAGTGCTGTACCGGAATCTACTCCTATTGAAATAAGCTCTCCCAAGTCACCCCTCTCCGTTACCAGCCTAGGCCGCGATGATCCTCACGCGAGACTGCTGAGGGCTGTCGATGACGAGGAGAGAGCCATTACTTTTCCCGGCAACTCGAGGCTTGTCAAGTGGCTGAGTCCGTCGACAGAGGCCAAACTCCCCCGCGCTGACAAACTGAACGTGAAAAAGTGGGTTAAGAACCACGACGAGATGGACGACGTCTTCGCGCGACTGGAGCTCAATGCTGGAGTGGAAAAGGTGCTGTCCAACCCCAAGCTCAACACCTACGCCGCCTACATCGACCGCTTCAACAAGCAGAACCCGTCCAACAAGGTGAAGATGATCGACATGTTCACCAAGACCTACCAAGTGGACAAACTGGCCGCGGCACTCGAGAGGGCAGGAAACGTCCCAAGCACGAGCAAAATATCGTACCGATTGCGGAGGGAACTAATCGACTCTTGGGAGTCCGCGGCAGAATCCTCAGATGACGTTTTCAAGATGCTCAAGCTCGACGAGGCCGGGATCAAGCTCTTTGTGTCGCCGCAGTTGAACACATGGTATTCCTATGTGAGAATGACCTATACGATCAAACCGAAAGAGGAAATGATCAGGGTGTTGACAGATAAATACGGCTACGATGGGCTATCAAAGATCTTCCTTGCTTCGACGCCCCGAGTTTCACGAATGAGGGACATTGCTCTGGAGCTGGAGACCGCAATGGGCAAAATGTGGGGGAAAACCCCTGAGCACATTTTCAAGCTGTTGAAACTGGACGCCGGAGTGGACACACTGCTGACCAACCCGAACGTGAAGACGCTGAGCGGCTACATTGAGCGATACAACTTGAAGAATCCTGACCAACACACGACCTGGATGGAGCTATTCACGAAATTCTATGGTACCAAGGCTATGTGGAACATGATAGAAAAGGCGAAAAATGTGCAGCAGACGAAAGCCATTGCGGCGAAATGGCAGCCTCAGTTGAGTAGGCAGATCCTGCTGGAGAAGGGCATGACACCCGCGGACTTCTTCAAGCGTATGGACCTTGATGGAGGAGTGGAGAAGCTTCTGACCAGCCCGAACGTCCAGTCGCTGCGTGACTACGTGGATCTGTTCAACCTCAAGAATCCTGAACAGAAGACGACTGTGATGGGGGTATTCACGAAGTTCTATGGAGTCAAAGCTGTTTCGGACATGCTGGAGGCGGCTAAGAAGGTGTCAAGCACGGATGACATAGCGAATGCATGGATCAAAGAGCTGAGGAGTGTAAGGTTGAGAGCTGGGAACATCAAGATTACACAATAGAGAAGCCTGGTCGGTTTTGGTGCCTGCATGCTTTTGTACGTGTATCCAAGGTGTAGGTCATCCAACAGATTTTCAAGTAGAGGCATCTCACAGACCCACCCAGAAAGAAAGAGGGTGGCTCGTAAACAGATTGACTGAAGAAAACGACTGGGTACTGCGACTGGCAGGAAGTATCCGCTTCAACTACATGTAACAAGACAGATACTGTGAGGATGTCGCTGCACTCATGGGTCTAGCAGCAACTGTCATCGCACGAACAGAGGATACGATAAGAATACTTTCCATCGTTACGGTATAACAGAAATGGCAGTAATCCTCGCTGCAGAAGACTCATACAGTAAGACGAACATCTCCAGCGAGTCGCTGGAGATGATCAATCCCTGCCCAGAGCTGTCTAAATGGATGAGGTCTTGATGGTCGGGGGTGTAAGTCTTGGCTGGGTCAAAATCTTCGAGCTGACTGGCCAGGTCTCAACCATTGAACGAAAAGAGTTCAAGGGAAGAGAACTACTATAAAACCCGACAAAAAGGCCTACTATCTCTCGTAAAAGATATAGAGGCACCCGTTCGCACAACCAAAAACTAGGACTAGTAGTGGTACTACTCCGCAGTACATACGCACTTTAAACTACAAGAAGATGAATACACTTCAATCCTTGTCCAATCCTTTTTTATGAAAAAACTTTAAAACGTAAAGAATTCAGCACTCACGTGGCGGAAGATGGTTGTCAAATAAATCAGACTCGCGTTTCGTGGATACAGAACACTCCCCGCCTGTATATCAAGACATTTCAGTTTACGACAAGCTTGTTTCTCTTTCTGCAACTCAATTATCTCGCGCTGTGCTGTACTGATATGCTCCATCTAGTGTACCCCTGGGTTAAGAGGCCCTCAATCTACGTTTATCTAGAAACTATAGAGTCCTGGAACCATCTAGTGTACTCCACAAACATGTTCACAATTTTCACAATACACTAACTCTTTGATTGTGCTGCTCGCAAACGCGTTCGTAGTCTTCTGCCCTATCATTAGCGTTCGAATTAGTGGTTACCCATGTGAACTGTTACCGCTTGTGAACTTCATATTCCAGGTACGCACCACTGCGTAGCCAGCGTATTCTGGCATAAGGATACAATATCACTATTGGCGGAGGGAAGAAGAACTTTTCGTACAGGTCAGCTCTTAAAAGAGGCTTCAAGACGAACAATTTGAAAGCCATCTAGCTCCACAGACGTGTTTTTTAAACCAGATTCGCAATAGACTAGCAAACAGCTTGCGAACGCTGGTGTTAGTTGTACAGTTCTTCTAATAGCGTTGAGTCAAATGTCATATTAAATAATTTATAGTATTTAAATTTTGAATGCTTTAAATTGATATTTGACAATGAAAGTTGCAATATACGCAGTCACGGGAAGATTTTTGGTGGACGTTTTCCAGGTTCCTGGCGCACTAAGTAAGCAAAAAAACTCGGGCTTCGCGAAGGCTGGGATAGGATTGGTTAACCCACCTTTGATCGCCATTGATAAACTCAATCCGCACGCTCCACGGGCATCTCCTGCGCCTGCTTCGCAGCCGCAGAATCTGCCCGACAATGTATCGCCGCTATTGTCACGACGTACAACCGATTTCAGAGCAAAATCAATGACGAATCTAACTCGACGAATTTGCAAATGAACTGGAGCAGCCTCCATCATTCTTGAGAAGTCTAAAACACTCGGTCAATAGACATCACTTACTGTAAATTGACCTAAAGACGTTACCGGTTCATCACCGGTGTCGATTGGACGGGGGGACATCGCCCGAATTAATCCTGTTTGGGCTGGGCTATCAGCACTTCGTCGCTTCCTATCCCAGTAAAAGATATCAATAGCGGTGCCGCCAGTCATCGGAAGAAACAAGACTAGCAACTACGACTCTCGTGGCTAGCCCAGAAGCGTCAACTTGAGTTGCGGACGCTAAACGACGACGACCGATGGAGGAAAGGACATTGGTCGGGCTCTGGCCAACATAGCTGTGGACTCGCGTCGGAATGTCCAGCAGAAGCCCGATAGGGTGCCAGGTTCCCAATGGGATCAAATATTCCGACTAGTGTACAGTGACATCAGTCGAAACACTGATGGGAGTTCTTCGGTACTCCCACCTCCGCGCTTTAAGATCTACGAATACTCTAGCCTCAAGTTTTTATAAGAGGGCACGTAGGATAGAGCCCGACCGCCAACTAGGTCATGATCTATCGTTAGTGAATACTAGGTTAAGGGGCAACAATGTACATTTTCGAACAAAACCACACAACCATATTAGTTATTTTTCACACAAAACCACACATCTATATTAGTTATTGGTTTCCATAAGTTACCATATCGCTCCTATAATAAGTTAGACCAGACTTGGCAATTTGGGCACTGTGGTGCAGTCCACGTACGATTTTGTTGAGTATCCAAAAGATGAAATCAAAAGGAACGGCATGAATCCACTCACCGGCTGCAATCACCACGCCACTCGTCTTTGCTTGATGGCGCCAGTATATTCTGCCCCACAGTGTGGGGCCCACGCCCGCCGAAGACGTAGTGTGCGTCGCAGGATACGACAGAGGAGCAGAAGTAGTCTTCAGTCTACCAGTAGACACCTTTTCCAGGACATCGAAGCTCACGGACACACTTACTAACCTCCTCCTGCCTTAAAGTTTAGGCTTTAGATATTTTGTAGCTAGCAGAGACCTAGTCCAGCAACGATCCCGGGTCGATATACCACCAAAAGACTTAGGCAGTACACCTATGCGCATTGATGGTTAGAAGGCTATCAGTTTCGGCTACATGCGAATTAAAAACCAGAGTTGTACATGCACTAAGCCCAAGAAAGGTGGAAAAACAAGAGACAACATCATGCTAGTAGACTACTGGAGCCTAGCTTAGTCTCGCTCAAACTCTGGGATTCTCACATTTAATGAAGTACTTCGTAGTGTTTCGATGTAGCACCAAATATTTCACGCCTGGTAGTGAAAATCCCCGGCATCAAGATTCAAGTACATGTACACGAAGAGATTATCGAGCTAAGCTTAGTTTTCAAATCTGCCGTGGTGACACTAACAACGAGTGTACATTTACAGAGCCATACCATCTCCTTGTTTTACAGCGCCTAAAAGCGAAAGATGAATCCACGCCTAAGATGTCCAGCACGGGCTTGGTGAGGGCTTTGTCAAGCTACAACAGCCCCAGCGTTATGATTTCGTCCGTCAACTTCTTCCTGCGCGCAATGCCGAATCTGTGCAACTTGGAGTTTCGAGGCGATCTCTTTCGTACCCGGGGCCTTCTTCGCAGCCTCGACAAAGTGTCGTTTCTGTAGGGTGTGACCACAAATTCGTGACAATAGCCGTCGGTTTCAGGTGTTTTCTGTTGGTCTTGGTCATGAAGGATACCCAGGGGGCTATTGAACAAAGTCGCCCCCATAGAATAGTCTCCACTCCCCCACAAGAAGCTAAGCGAAACTTGTGGGAGGCAGCTGATTTCCAGACGCATGCAGTCATCCGGGGAATGGCTTCGCGCCCAGCAACCAAAGAAGCGAGTTTTCGGTTGGACCAGTGCTACGCGGTTTTCTTTGCAATTCAACCTTCAGACAGGCCGATCGCAATTCAGCGCTGGACTCTAACTTTTCACTCTGTGAAATTGGACAGATTGCCAGGGCGAAGAGGTATTTGGGTGGTGTTGGGGAACGGCCCACAAGAAATAATTGCCATTGGTTTCGCCCAAGTGAACGAGCCAGTCAAGGAAACTAGTATGGCTGTTCAGCTCATCGTCCGAGCCATGCATCAGCTAAAGGAGCGAGCTCAACTTTCTACAGTCTCTCTCTGTGTCCAAGGCATCCAACCAATGATCAAGTCGGCTCGAGCCCAGAATGCCACGCACCAAGCGCTCAAAGACGTTGTCTCGATAGCATGGAAACCAGCTTCCAAACGCATCTACAAAGCGATCGGGGGATTTCTCAAATTGCGACAACTATCTTAGTTTACCAATGCTGTACTACTTTCGAGAGCACCTGCCTGTCAAGCTATGTGACTACTTGCAAGAACAATTTTCGCCGGAGGAGGAACCATCCCAACACCGTTTATCCATTAGGCTCAGTCTACAGCGATATCAGGACTCTATAGTTCAAACAAACGTAAATAGAGGACCTCTGAACACACAAGAATAGTCTCCACTCTCTTCATTGTCACCGACTAGTTTAATAGCCCCCACGTATCAGTACTACCGTGGTGGGAGTTTAATTTTCGGGAGTCTTTGAGGGGAGAACTAGCTACTTCGAAGTATACACTTACATTAGTGTTACTGCAAATACTATTCAGCTCCAGCTTACTGACGATGCGTTTCATTTCAGACGTCCTACTGGGTGCTATCGTCTGTTCGACTACACTGAGATACTTTGGCGGTCGCGGATTCAAAGGTGACGACATTGAATACAGTGTAGCGAATCTGGCAGTCATGTTATGGTATTTAATCGTATTAATACATCTTGGAACTCTTTTTAGACACCGAAAGCTGACTGATACGATATGTTCTTCTTCTCTATTTATCCAACATGCTTACGGACTACACTATCTCGAAGACATAGATTCTAGTGCGCATCAAGTGAGTTTTTTTTGTTAATATCAAGGATTTTGAATATCTGAGCGCGTAGTGGCAGGCATCACACGCTTTCTATATAGACCGTACTCGACACTTGCAACAATAGTTTGGGTAAAATTATAATGAAACACTGCTGATGTTATACGCTAGATATTCTCGTTAATTCTTCAAGTTCAAATAGAGAAAACAACGCGTTCTAGTTGATCCGCCGGATTTGAAATAGCACCAAGGCGAACTACGGCGTTGGTAGTTTCGCCGTCAACTTGTGCGCCTTGTAAAAGGCAAGGTATCCGCGCCATACATCCGCATCCGGGTTCGTCATCCAAGTGGCCTTCTCCATCTTGAGCATTTTCCAAATGTTGGCAGGCTTTGCCCCCTCCTTCAGCCACTGGGAGAACTGCGCAACCTGGAGCTCCTTTGCCAGCGTCTCCGTGCTCGGCACCTTTTTGGCCGCCTCGAGCATCTTTGCCACCGCTTCGTCTCCGTGTTGCACCATGAGCGTATTGATCGTGGTTGTCTGCTTGTCAGGGTTGAGCTTATTCAACTTGTTGAACTGGTTGATGTAGACCTCCAGCGTGTCAAATGCCGGGTTCGTGAGAACCTTATCAACTCCGTCGTCTAGCTTCAGCAGCGCTAGGACGTCGTCCATCGACTTCTGCCTGCGTAGCCAGTCCCGCATCTGCGCAACTTGCAGCTTCGTGGCGATCTCCGTCGTCCCCGGGGCCTTCTTTGCCGCCTCAAGCATCCTCGCCAGAGTAGCGTGAGGCCAAGTTCGTGACAATCGCTGTCTTGGGGTGTTTTTTGTTGGTCTTCGTCATGAAGTAGAACCACACTGGAAATTGGGGGCTGCTGAGCAAGTCGTCTCCGGCCTTGTGTCCAGCTTGAGCTGTAGGAACGCTTCATCGGCAGTTTTTCCCTTCAGCTTCAACATCCCAGCTTGTGCTCTGTTGGTGACCTTCGACACTCCAGCCTTGGCCAAATTTTCCAGTTTGTCGAGCTTGTCGCTGCTTAGAATGTTCTTCACATTAATCATCCTCTCCTCGTCGTCGACTGCATCCACTGGATTGAGAGCCCTCAAGTATCGGTTCTGCTGCGCAGGAGGCTCTCGGGCATTTGACGAGGGATTTAGTGCAGTCACCTGCGTATCCGCGGTCGCCAAGTATTCCAGAGACGTACGATAGCAGTCAGTAGAAAGAGACGCATCGTCACAAAGCTGGAGGCTCCAAGCCGAAAGAGTCCTGAGGTGTTAAAGTGGAAATGTAGTCAATCCCAGACGGAATCTCTGACGTATGTAAGCTCAGATTGCGGGATTGCGAACCTATCCAATACTGTACACTCCACTGTAGCTGTATCGCAAGCTCAGATGACGAATTTGGTCTCACAGATGGTCGACGAGATGGCAAACTGACTATTCACAAAGTCTTCGAAGCAAACTTTTCTGTCCAAAACCGATCTTAAAGTTGAACGCGGTCTCCGTCATGCGCACCTATAACCGTTGTTATTGCCCTAGCCACCGGTACAAATAAGCCAGTTATCTGCCCCGTGTCCTCGCACACCCATTGGCTGAAATGGAGGGGAGGGGGCGAACTTCCAGCACTGAAGAACAAGAAGCAGCAGCACTGAAAACAGGAGCAGCATGGCCGAGGAATCTCTCATGCGTGTAGCGTTAGATGAGTCTGTGCGCCGCACCTACGAAAAAGCTTCTAACATTCGCCCACAGAACACTTCGAGAGCATATAAAAGCAAGCAGGACGAATTCAAGCGGTGATGTGACGGCAAGGGCGCGGCTTTCAGTGATCTCACTCGGCACACAGTAACGGCCAAAACTTCACCTTTTTCTTGTGGAGTGCGTGATTGGGAGGGAAAAGCGACGAAAGTGAGACGGGGTCACACAGCACAATGCACAGAGGAAGTGCGTGCGGATATTACTATCCCGGTGAACAGCAGTTCACCAGTTCCCGGCCTCAAAGGGAACGGTTTGTAACAAAGGAGTAGGTTATAAGACTTACTGTATTATGTGTATTTGGTAGAGGTTAACTTGGTCGTAATACAAACTACAAGTTAACTATACAAAAGCCCACACAAACTCAAATGGTTGGCTTGCGGAACTACTGGTACCATGTACCATGTACTCGGGAGAGTGACACCCGTCACTCTTCATGTAATGGGTACACTTGATTGTACCCCGTTACATCCTCCCCCACTTATCTGAGAATCACATCTGATTCTCCAATTAGCTTCGAGAGAATCCGAACACCCAAAGGTCGGATTCTCGGGCGCCGCAAGGCTGGCGCGCCTCATCGTCACGCCCACAGTGACTTGTGCCCGCAGCGGGCACCCCGCGCGGAACCCCCCTGCCCTCGACGATGTTGGCCGCGAAGCCGACGCGTTTAGTGGCCGTATTCACAGCGCTAACAGGCACAGAGAGCCTCGGCACGGGATGCATGTGCCTCCAAACTTGCGGTGTCCCTCGTAGACAACCAGCAGTTGGCGTCGCATGGCCCTCGGGCCCCGCTGGCACGTTCGTGCTGCAGTGCCTCCCGCGAGGGACAGCACCTTTCCGGTCAGCGCGTAGCGTAACCATGGAGAGAGCTGTGCTGCTCATCTCCGGCCATGACAGCGGCCCGACAGGGCCCCGTTTGTCACAGCACGGTGTGCCGGTCGGCCGAATACGTCGGCTCGACCCATGGCCTATGGTCAAGCGCTGACCACAGCCATGAAGCGTCATGCTTCAACGTCGTGTTTGCTTGAGCGACCATGGCTGCTTCCAGCAACCCGCTCATCATACAGAGCAACGCGGCGGACTTGTCTAAAGCCCTGCAGTGCGTCACGGCCATGACGTCGCCGACGCTAAGGTGTCTTCCTTCGACACCAGGGTACCGCAACGGTACTTCATCGTGGTGTGAGGTGTATTGCCCTCCGTCACCGGCGATCGCATCCTGCGTCGCGGTGACCAACACCAGGTAGGTGTGCGTGCAAGACCGCATGGCACACAGTTCATACAGGACCTCAAGGTGTACGAGGGCACCACCTCATACACCAAAGGCACGTCGTGTATGGCACGTACCACGACTGCCATAAGTGCCTCGTGCACCTCAAGTGCCACGTGTCGCGTGCACTAGGGGTACCTCGCGTACACCAAGTGCCACGCGCACAGTGAGCGTCACGCACCGCGACTATCTCACAGGTAGTATGTGCCACGTGCACGTGTATGGCTTCGCGCCTTACAGGTGCGGCATGTGCCGCGCCAACTGTGAATGTCTGCAAAGGCAACACGTTCGGGTTCTCCCCTCGTGGGCAACACCCATGCTCGGGACTGATAGCTACCTGGCCGGCAGACGTACCGCGTCCAGTGTTGCAACAGCACCACGCTGCGGCATGGTGTTGCGTATGTACACATGCCATCGTCCGCGGACCAAGCCGCAGACTGGCTGCCATGTCTTTGCCTGACAGAGGCAGCCTTCCAGCAGCGAATGCGCGCGCCATCTTCGGCCCAGCAGCGACAGTAGCCGCTGCCAAGGTTGCTGGCCATCGGTCACCATGACCATGGGACCTGAGCAGCGATGCATCAGGTCCAGCACCTTCATGCAATACTTCGTGAGTGGCTACACCATGCAGCCACTACACTGGCTTCTACGACGAAGCAAGTCTCATGTCAGAGACCTCGGGAGGAAGGGCACTTCCGATCCCCTCCCCCACTTACGATTTGAGCCCCGGCGGGTCAGGCGCCAGCCGGCCGCCTAACCTCGCGCCGCCCTGCAGCACCGAGTCACCGTGACAGCAGACTCCGGTGGCACGGGCAGCTACCCTTCTTTGGCTCTGGGTCAACATCGTCGACCAGGGCTTGGCATCTACCAGCCTGGATGCAGTTTGAGTCTGCGTGACTTGACGTGTTACTCTGTTACCCACGTCTTCGGGCAATGACACCCATGACAGCGTACGGCTTGTCCTGCATTCAGAGTAGCTGCATGGCATGCACGCATACTCAGACTCAGCCATCTCGGCACCGAGTCATGGACACTTGTTGTCCCAACGCCGCACAGTGCTAGGCGCGACAGACCGTACCAACGATCCCTGCCGCGCAGCGGCCTTTGCCTTTAGACCGAGCATGCTCCTGCATATGGTCATTGAGGTGTCGCCCTCCGGCAGACACGTTCCAGTCGTGATCGACCATGCTCGCCGAGTCGGCGGCGACGCAACATGCATCACCGCAGGTACGTCGTGTACCCAAGCCACGTCTTCTGTGCGCATGGCCACAGCTGCGCTGGTCGACACCCAGTCGAACGTCATCCATGATGACCGGGTGCCAAGCCCTTGGAGGAAGGATGTGCTTCCGCGCACTCCTCTTCTGCTTAAAATCAAAGCCGCGCGGCGCCTTCAAGAGGCCGTGCGGCGATGACATCGTGACGGTGTCACGAGCCCCTTAAACTCCGTGTGGTTATCCACCACACACGAGGAGACCCAAGTGACCTGATCACTAGTCTTGGTCATACTGACCGTGCGTGGAACTAAGTTACCCACGCTGAAGTCGCTTCGGGCGACTCCTTCCGGCTCATGCAGAGCCTTACGGCATCGTGTGGAACTACGTTACCCACACAAGAAGTGTATCGTGCACCTTCCTCATCAGTTTAGGTCTGATTGACCTGGTGTGGTACTTGGTTACCCACACAGGAAGCGCGTGCAGCGCGTTCTTCTCCAGTTAAGGTCTGGGCGACCGTCCGCGGTACTTGGTTAACCACGCCTGAGGTGCCTTGAGCGGCCTCCTCAGCATTACATGCTCTGTGCGGAACTAAGTTACCCGCTAGTCAGTGGTCCTTGGTTACCCACCTGGTGGTGTCATCGAACACCACCCTTGTCAATGCTCATGCCGAGCAATGACTCTCAGCACTGGAATTGCTTGTTGAGGCAGCTCCACATGCCAGGCATAACAGCCCTCGGTTGCAGATACACTGCACCTTCTTCATGGAGATCAGCATGTCAATGATGCCTCCCTTCTTCTTCTTCGTCTTGTCGGACGCATCCAGCGCCCTGGCGGTCCCATCGGACGCCCTTGTGTCTGTCCAGAGGTGGGAACATGACTCATCAATGCTCTGTCAGACACAGAGGGCCGACTTAGCCTCAAGGCGTTGTCGCGCTACTCGACCGAGAGCCTGTGCAGCTTGCACGGCGCACTCAGGGCCAAGCCATACTTGCTCAAGCCGAGGGCATATACGGTTCCATGCCCAGGGCCGGCTTCGGCACGATGTCCGGTTCCATGTCCGGTTCCATTGCTGTCAGCGCCCTCGAGCGCGGCAGCCAGGGTCACCGCGGACCCCAAGGTTCTTCTTCGGTCCAGCCTCAGTCAATGAGACCTGACCTTGCGCTTAGACTCTCTCGCAGAGTCTCGGCACTTGTGTCGTTATTCCAACCGACACATCTGGCGACGTGCGAACATCCACGCGACGTCCCAGACTCAATCATGTCTAGGGATACCATTACCCCCGCACACTCACGTGTACTACCGACAACCCACCGTTGTCCTTCACCAATGCGAGCGTCAGTGTTCACAAGGGACCCCGGGTCTCTGTCGTGTACGCCTTCCGTACACCCATCACAAAGACTCGGGCCAACCCCAGCAAGGCCCTCGTCCTTACTGGTGGTTGTGTCCCCCTTGAGCACCTGACGGTGCATGGCGTCGGCGCCCCCTTGACCCTCTGGTCTTCGGGTAGGTCTTCTTCCCAGACCCAGGCGATGGGCAGACACGTTGATAGTGTCCTAGTCCGCCGCAGCCGTAGCAGTGGACTGAGTACTGCTCAGCCGAACTCACATCCATGGGTTCTGGTTCGCTGTCAGCGACCACAGGCTGTACAACAGCCAGAGCACCAGCCTGCTTGTGGCTGTACTCTTCCTGGAGGGCGACTTGGATCGCCTCCTCCATAGTGGCGGTGCGCACGCGGAACAACTGCGTGCGCGCAGGACCGACCTTCAGGCCGTCCACGAAGACTGTCATCTTGACGTCTTCCGACTGTGGGTTCCCCACCAGCGAGGATGCCAACGTGCGCATCTCCTGTACGTACGCGTACAGCTCGCGCTCCCCTTGATTGCAGGCAAGGAAGCGCGAGCGCTAGCGGAACTCGTTGTTCGCCGGGAGAAAAGCGGCTCGAAGCTGCTCACACAGCTGAGCCCAGGATGTGAAACATCCAGGCGACATCGCTTCGCGCGTATACGCCCAAGTCCTGGCACGTCCGCCAAGATTGGAGAGCGCGAAGGCGACTCGAAGGTTCTCGGCCGAGATGAGACCTGCGCTCATTGCGATCTCGGTCTCCCGGATCCAGAAGTGAAGGTTCTCACCTTCCTCGCCTTCGAACAGAGGCACAGCTAGCCGCAGAGGCTTAGGCTGCACCCGTTTGGGCTCACTCATCTGAGCCAGCAGGTTTCCCTGCACATGAGCGATGAGCCCGCGTTCGTACTCGTCAAACGCGCTACCTGCTCGGCTGGCGTCGCCGCCGCCAAGCTCCGGAGGGCATCTCTTCCGAAGATGCCCGCCATCTTCCGCACCGACTCGAACTGCGAGTCAGTCAAGTGAGGAAACTCACTTCGGTCCATCGTGGCTCACAGACCTGAGCCACCGAGGATTCAGGTAGACCAATCTACCTGCGTAGGCGTAGGATTGGCTACTAGTGCTACCAAGTGAGACGGGGTCACACAGCACAATGCACAGAGGAAGTGCGTGCGGATATTACTATCCCGGTGAACAGCAGTTCACCAGTTCCCGGCCTCAAAGGGAACGGTTTGTAACAAAGGAGTAGGTTATAAGACTTACTGTATTTTGTGTATTTGGTAGAGGTTAACTTGGTCGTAATACAAACTACAAGTTAACTATACAAAAGCCCACACAAACTCAAATGGTTGGCTTGCGGAACTACTGGTACCATGTACCATGTACTCGGGAGAGTGACACCCATCACTCTTCATGTAATGGGTACACTTGATTGTACCCCGTTACAGAAAGGGTCACGGGGGGAGAAGCGAAAAAAATGGTAAACCGACTGTCAACAGCTATGTGGCTGCCATGGTTGACTTGTGGGGGCAACAGAAACGACTGAATATCAACAGCAACCCATCTCCTCGAGATAGCGCTGTTACAGCACTTCTCAAAATTACGACGTCCGAGGAGGAACAGCTGCGGCGTAAGAACTTTGCCGATCGAGGAGCTGATACTTTACTGGATGGCTACACAACAACGGATCAGCTACAACAGATTGCTCGCTACTTTTGGACCTCGTCGCACGACCCTGGAACTAGCATGAGGAATTTGCTGGCGTTCCTGTTGTATCACTATGCGCTAATGCGTGGCGAGTCTGCTCGTGTGGTGTGGTAATTCCACTAAAATCCTCCTCTACCAAAAGATATTAGAGACACCAACAACACGCTAACCCGCAAAGGTAAGCGCTTATTGGATCAAAACCTGAAGACCAGGAACGATCCCTTACACCGGGTCGGTTGCAAGCGCCTCTGTGCACCTTAGGTTGTCTTCGGTCAACCCAAAAACCTGTACCACTAGCCACGAGCTAAGGCTAGGATACTATGTAGCGCTTTCGCGCAACCCCACTGCAGTCCCTCAGAAAAGAAGGGTACCGGCGTGTTAGGCCTTATACAGGGGGACCAAGGTAAAACCTCGGTAGGTAGACTAATACACTCAGGGATACTCTAATCCCACAAATATATACCGAACGATACTCTAATACCGTTCCTGCCTCTCCGGCCACGCCAACTCTTTTCGCTACCAAGGAAACTCTCGGTCAATGCACGATAAGCTCCCGGACATGCATCCACACGCAGCCGAGCGTGTCCAGGCACTACAATAAGCTAGCTACACTTACCGAAGTCGGACTTGACCCTTGTTGGCTTTTGGGGAAGACTGTCTTTTTATTACTGAGTTTTCTGAGGCCCTGGGGGCCTCGTTCTGGTCATCCTATGATGCGTCCTATGTCCCTATACAAATATCTAGTGTGAACGATCGCATTAAGGCGATTCCGGACACATCAAATGACGACCGCGGCTACACTAATAAGTGGGGCCGAAGTACGTAACTAAATGCATCTGTACCTAAAAGTTGGTACCATGAAGCCTCGTTCGGGGTTCTATTAGGACCCGACGAGGCTTCGGCCACTGCCTGTCACTCTACCGAGGATAATGTCATCATCCAATCAGAAGCAGCCACCTCCGTCTCTCGCTTGACCTCGCCTTGATCGCCCCTGGATTGAACCTGATTGTCGGGCTGGCGGGTCAACAGCGTTGGAAACTGCCACTTTCCAATACCACAACTGCCCCCGCCTCGACGCGAGCCTCCCACGCTGGTGAGCGTCTAGGCGTCCTCCGTTCTTCGGCTCCATGGCTCCTCCGTCGCGTGCATTCGCCGACGCGGCTGCCGCTGCTCTTCGGGGTCTCCAGTGCTCCGGACCGGTACGTTCGTCGCTCCCGCTGCTCCTCACTGTCATTTGGATCCTCGTTGTTGACTCCATCTCTTTCTTGACCATCTCAGGGAGCTATTGATGTCGCCACCGACACTTCGGGTCGTCGTCCGGCGCGCCAGGCTCGTTCGCCGGGTGCCCCCGCCCCTATCGCCGCTGGTGCTGTGCCCCAGCCTCGGCCGCGCCTACAGGTGACCCTACGCTCATTCCTGCCGCCTCTGGGACCTCGGTCGACCCCCCACCGGCTCCTCCAAGTAGTCCTGAGTCTGGTGCTGGGGCGACCGAGACTCCCTCGCCGACAGATCCCAGTGAAGAGGCTCCCGACTCGCCGCCGACACCGCCGCCAAGCGCCAGCGCTCCACCGTCGCCAACTCCCGCGCCTTTGGTCACGTTGGCAACTCGCGGGGCGTCGGTGGGGGGGGGGGGGGGGGCGAGGCAGCTGTAGGGGGTCGCGCCGGAGCTGGTGCTGGCCCGGCCGAGGTTCCTCCGACAGCGGTCGTCTTGGGCGAGCAGCAGATGCTGGAACTCGCTCGTCTCGTCGTGGGTGTTGCCCGTTTACCTCCAGCTCGAGTCAACGCTGCTCTCGACCACAGCCTGCAAGCTGCTACTAGCGTCGGTGAGGTGCTGGCTGATGAACTGGTGGCCCTCCGCCGCGAGAACGACCGGCTGCAGTCAGAGCTCTCCGACGCCAAAGATAAACTCGCTGAAGAGATGAACCTGCGGACCAAGTCGGACTACTTCCTCGTCTCGGCCAACTCCGAGTGCGACCAAGCTCTGGACCTCGTCCAGGACATACGCGTCCAGCTCAGCAACGCCAGCGCTCAGTTGATGCAAGCGAACGCGGCCATCACTCACCACGCTGACATCACTCAGTCGTTGGAGAAGCGGACGCTCGTTGCTGAGGCCGATTCGGCCGCTGCTGTACGTCGGAACACCCAGCTCCACGAAGCTTCGTTACCTACAACACTCAGTTGGAGAGGCTTCGCAAGCAGTTGGCCGACCGCGACCGAGCAAACGTCATCCCCGCACGCATTCAAGCGTTGACGGACGAGAACAACAGCTTGCGGCGAGCGAATTCTATCCTTCGTCGGCACTCGGCAACACACGGACTCGACGTCCTGGCCTCAGCCGGCATCTCCGCCGCAGAGATTGATTGGAATCTACTCGGGCTGTCCCCACCGACGGTCACTGTCGAGAGTCCACGCCATGACGAATCCTCGTCAGAGGAGGGAGAGGAGTCCAAGACGACCGACGTGCCGATAACTGAGTCCACCGAGGCTACGTCCGCTCCCGCTGCTTCGGTGGGCGCTTCGGCTGGCTCCCCGGTCTCCACTGAGTCGTCATCGCGCAAGCGGGGCCGGCAAACCGAGTCTGCTTCCGTCGGGAATACGGCATCCCAGCCTCCTCCTCACAAACGCTTCGGCAGACCGTCAGTCGACCTGAGGGCCAGGGTTGCAGCGGCCGCCGCGCCATCTAGTCCTCGTTCGGCATCAGGAGAGATTTACCCGCCTCCTCGGTCGATGGTGCGTCCTCCAACGACGGCTCGCTCAAGCTGGTTGGAGTCTCAGCCTCTCCCGTACGAACACTCAGACGTCCCCTTGTATCTTTGGCTGGCCAGTCGTGCCTCGCCTCCCTCGCCAGCCCCAGCCCAGCAGCAGGAATCGTCTGACGTGGAGTTTGGAGGGGGTATGAGTCCTAGCGACACTTCACAAGATAACCTTGAGCCCGGCGAGGTTCCGGGGGTGTCGGCCAGCGCTCAGGGTGTTCAAGGTTCTGCTACCGAGCCTTCCGGTACTGTCATCGAGGTTCCTTCCGAGGTTTCGCCTCCGGCGGCGACTTCCATTCCTTCACCAGTCTCGTCTGGTACAGCCGTCGTTGGCCGTGCCCCTCGAGAATCGGCTGCTGGGGTCACCGAGGGCTCTGGCGGCCCGCCAGACCGTTCACCTAGCGGTGAGTCGCCTCATGAGTCTGAGACTTCCGAGGACCGCGCAGCGTTGTTCCTGGAGATGTTCGGCCCCGACGAAAGAGAGGAAATCTCGGTGGCGCAACCTGTCACTCCTTCGGAGCCTCCTTCTCCTCTGGCTGCCGCGAACCGGGTTCCTCTAGCTTCACAAGCGGCCACCGTGCCACTCCCGAGTCGACTCCACACTCGGTCGGCCTCTGTTCACGCTCGGGCGATGGTAACAGCAACGGTGACAGCTTCACCGAGGACTGGACCTGCGTCGATTGCCCCAGCAGTGGTTGACGCTTCCGACGTAGCTCCTGGATCGCGTAAGCTCAGTGGTCTTGCTACCCTGTTCTTGGAGCCGGGTTTCACGGCACCCGGAGAGTCGGAATGCTGGCATCTCATCCAAAACGCCAGTATCCCCCTCGTCTTCGAGGACGACTTGGTCGCCCCCAGTTCAGTGGATAGAATCGTGGGGTTTGGCTTGTGGACGGATCCTGCTCACCCCTTCCAAGTGTTGCGCCAGCTTTTCTCAGACGAGCCTTGTTTGATCGATACGACGGGTTTTCCATCCTCGGTGGCTATATCCCGTCGTGCAACTGGTCGGGCTCTTCTCGTTCGCCTATGGTGGCAGTTCCAGGGGTACTCCTACCACTCCACCGAGAGGGGCGACCTTGGTTTCGCCTTGTGGGAGTGTCGCCACTGGATTAGGGGTAATGCTGTCAAGGCGTATATCGACAACCTCTCCAGCACCCTCGGTCAGCGCAACGTGCAAGCCCTAGCGCTTCGACAAGCGTGGTCCAAGTACCACCGAGAGCGCAGTTATCGTGCAGATCGCTTGCGAGACCAGATGCTCCACAAGGTGTGGAATGGGGCCATTACGTACGACGGACAACCTCCACAGCACCGCACCGAGGTTTTGCTGGAGCCGTCGTACCTGCAATACTCGTTCGAGGAGATGGAGTGGGCCCCCACTACCGACGACTGGGCCTCCGAGGTGGCGGACGTGGATGCCCGCGAGCCGTGGCGTAACGGTTGGTTCCAAGCGCCGGCAGACCACCCCTACAAAACGGCTTTCGCCCCTTGTAACAACGTCCCGTTGTTGGTCCCCAACGGATCGACTCGGGAAACCGTGGCGTCGTCGGTCGTGGTCGAATCTTCTCTGCGGACTTCGATGGTGGTCGCTCCATGGGTGGCCGAGTTCGCAAACGCTCGTCGTTCTCGCTCTCCAAGCCCCGATGAGGAGACGAAGGAGTCGGGTGAAGCTTCTTCCGCCGCCGGGTCAAGTTTGGGCGTGTTGGCTCAGGCTGTGATAGAGATTTAGCCTCGTTTGGCCCCGCTCCAGCTTCACCGTTTCGTTCACGTTCTTTTCCAATGTCGACTGAGGTCCGTGGCGCTTTAGGCGATGCTGCATGTGCTATCCCAATCCAAAATAACGTCATGTTGTTCGTTCCATTTCATAATCTTTTCTCGCGTCAACGCACATCGCATTCAATACTCGGTCGCGGTTCCCAGAGCTTCTTCTCTGCCCTCGACCGCTGTGGCTGCCTCAAACGAGGCTTTGTTCGTAGCTGCGGCAGCCGGGCTTCGTCTTGTCTCCCTGCAAGAAGATCGGGCTTATGCTCGTTGAAGACCGGACTTGATTCGCGGGAGACCGGGCGTACTTACGCTAGCTCCGTTGCGGGTATGTTTTCGCATGACAGCCCAATATTGACAACTGTACACCCGGTCTGCTGCGGGTATCCGTTGTCGACAGCTTGCATACCCATTTCATCATCAACTCCATACTCAAGCACGAAGTCGAGTGCACTTGTTCGTGCTACTTCCATGGCAATCAATGCGTCCGAAGCCTCGGTCGCCCTCCCATTTGCTTCATCATCACTTGTTTCGTCTGTTGAGGGTTTGACCGAGGCTTGCTTGCGTCTTCCGTTGTCCCAGGCTCCATTCCGATATCTCCATTCCATCATGACTCGTTCACTTAACACGTAACATGCAGATTCCAGTAACTTTCTTCGTCTGTCACTGCGAGCTGGATAGCCCTCGCAGGCAGTTCAATCATCATCGCCAGTAGCCTCGTTCGTCTGACATCGCGGGCTGGATCGCCCCCGCGAGCAGTTCAATCCTCGTTGGGGCGCAGAATTACTCCTCGTCGGCCACATGGACCATTTGCAAACGTCGGTCGCTTCGCTTCCGGCGTAGGTAATCGTACAGGAGGCCACCGCACGAGAGATTGGACGCTGGTTCCCATGTCGGCTTGTCATAGCCGACCCACTTCACCTTGAACTCTCGGACGGCCCGGTGAGTGATCGTTGACAACGGTGACCGGTCATCGAGGATAGCCTCGACTTCATACTCGCCGCCCAGGCGGTCCGGCTCAAAACTGTCTTCAGGCAGTAATTCCTCGTCGAAGTCAAGAGGAGTGTCTTCGGTGACCTCACGGGCCAAACGAACCCTCGGTCGGCCTTCGAACTCGTCCACTGACTTGAGTCGTAAAACATGCACCACCGGGTAGAACCGGTATCCACTTCGGTCGGGTAATTCCAACTCATACGCAAATTCGTCGACCTTCTTCTTCACGCGGAACGGTCCGTGCCACCGATGGGCTAGTTTCTTGGTCAGTCCTGGTCGAACCTGCTCCATGTACAGCCACACTCTGCTCCCGGGCTGCAAAGAAAACCTCGTTCTCGTCACTGCAGCTATACTATGGTCAGGGGAACTCGGTGCCCGGTCGACCGAGGTTCTATTCTCGTTGACGCCTGCCATGGCTTCCTTCTCCTTCCTGCCAAGCGACTCTCCGAGCCTTTTCCGCGGCTTGGTACTCCTTAGCTCGATTTCCTGCTGTCGGTTGACCTCTCAGCGCCATGCTAGCGCGTTAGTTTGGCTACCGAAGCCTCGTTTGAGTGACGAGACATTGCCTTGAGCGTCGACTGTGCATCCCACCCATGAACGAGGTAAAACGGAGTTTCCTTCCTCGTCGTATCACGGGAGCTATTGATGGCGAAGATCAGTCTTTCGGCGATCTCGTCCCAATCCTACCGTAGTGGGTCTTCAGCGTATACGCGGACTGACTGCATGATCGTCTTCACCGATCTCTCCTGCTGGCCGTTGGCCTGCGGGTGGTAGCTCAGGGTCGCTCTCGACCGAGACTGCATCATTTCCGCGAAGGCTTGGAAGATCTCGCTCATAAATCGAGGATCTCGGTCATGACGGATCAAGGACGGTGCTCCAAAACGTCGGTAGACACACTCCTCGAAAGCTTGCGCAACGAGTAAGGCGGTAGTGCCAGACATGGCTTTGCCCATCACGAATCCCGTGAACGAGCATTGGAATAGCAGGAGAGCCTAGTTGCCACGGCGATTCTTCGATAGCGGTATCACGAAGTCCATAGAGACTAGTTGGAAGGGTCTCTCGGCTAGGATGTTCCCTGGCGAGTACCCGCGGAACTGAGGTCGGCTCTTACTTGAACTGCAGTCAGGGCACGACTTAACGTGTTTCTCCACATCGGCATACTGGCCGACCCAGTAATAGTCTCTCGCCGCTCGATGTAGCGTACGGGTAATACCTTGATGACCGCCTTCAAGTGAGTCATGACAGCTTTGCAGGACCTCTTGGATCATCGTTGTGGGCACCACGAGTCTCATCTTCAACTCGGCCTGCTCGCCGTCACTTGAACGACTGCTCGTTCTTGTGTAATATTGTACATCGTCCTCGCTCAACACAAATTGGTCCGCCATTTTCCATGCATCTCGTGCTGCTCTGTATCCAATCTTCGCATCATCTCCCCGGAGCACTACCTTCAGATTCGACCACCGTAACTCTTCATCTTGAGCGGAGGCGATTCTCCTTCGGCGTTCTTCCTGTACTACCAGCGGGTCAATGTCTTCTGCGTTCGGTGGGCCTGGTGACGTCTCGGCACGCAGTGGTGAAGCTTCTGCTTCATTCTGAGACTCGTTCGGCACACCATTGGCTTCTACTCGGTGAGATACATCTCCCTGATCGGTGACCGAGACTTCATCTGCAAACTGGACGTGTTTCTCCTTTGCTCTCGTTTGACGTCTGGTCATCACAGCTACGTGTCCGGGTTCAGTCTCGTTCTGCCGTCTGCGGTCGGTTTCTCTTCGCACAAAATCGAAAGAATTCTTGCTACGAGGTTTAGCAGAAGCTACCACGGCCCATACTTTGTTGGCCGAGGGTATGTCCTCGACGACGCACCCGTTAGCAGCCTCGTAGATGACTTCAGCGATACGGTTCTAATACTCGGTCGTCCGACGATACCACCGTAGACTCCTTGCACTCGAGAGTCTCGCTTGCCAGACAGTCGACCGCAGCGTTAAACTTTCTCACCACATGCAGGTACTTCACCGACCGAAGCTTGGCCGTGAGTTCTTGGTGGTGGCTGAGTTGTTGCAGCAATGACTCCTTCCGACAGGCTATCACCCCTAGGGCTTGCTGGATCGCGAGCCTCGAGTCGCCGACGACAACTAGATCGTCGGCTCCATGCTGTAATGTAGCAGAGACGCCGTTGTTCATCCCGATGTACTCAGCGAGGTTGACCGTGGTGTTCTCGGGGTAAGCGCTCGCAGCAAGCACTACTGTCCACTCTGGTAGTTTCCATAATATCCACGAGCAACTGCCGTATCCACCGTTCTTCTCGGTCTTCGCAGACCCGTCAAACGACATAACGAAGCCTCGGTAGGACCGCCGTAGGCGTACGTAGAGCAGATGCGGGTCCAAACGAGCAGTTGGTGACCGTCGTGTCCGGGGTGTGACCAACGCCAGTGACTTATCCAAGTCAACAAAGTTCGTCAAGCCGGCTTGAAGTAGCTGAGCAAACGAACAGTCGGTTTCTTTGACTCGTTCGACCAACAGGTGCCACGGCGACAGCAAGACGCAAACTGGGTAGCCCGACCGAACAATGTCTTGGACTTGTGGACCCAGTCGAGTGTCGAAAACCGAGTGTAGACCCGGATTCGCTGTCCAACGAGTTGAGTATAACACACCTTCAGTATCAGCAGAAGCGCGAGGACCTCTTTCTCGGCCGGGTGATAATTCATCTTAGCATCCTTCAAAACACGTCCGCAGAAGCGAACGGGGTGTAGTTTGCCCTCGTCCTCTTGCATCAACGTGAAACTTTGAGCCCACTCGTTGGCGAACAACATTTCCTTCTTCCGGTCGAAGTGTCGTAGTATCGGTGCTGCCGAAACCTTCTGTTGGAGCATCGCGAAGCTGTGCTTAACCGCGGTGAGGTCACCCCCGGGCTGGAAGTCCTCGTCCTTAAGCTGGTACAGCGCTGCTCCATAGATCGCGAAGTCTTGGATGAAGCGACTGAAATAGTTGAGTGCCCCAAGGAATGACTGCATTCCTTTCCTCGTTGACGGGAACGGAAGCTCGGCCACCCCAGCCAGCTTCTTAGCGTCCGGTCGGATACATTCTGCCGAGACTTCGTGGGACAGGAAGTCTACTTTGGACTGCACAAAGATGCTCTTCGTGAAGCTGATACTAATACGGCACTCTTCAAACCGTGCCAGCAATCGGTCTAGCGTCGCCAAGCACGACTCGAAAGTCTCGGCACCGAACCAGATATCATCCACGAATGACCGGCGACTGAATACTGGTGTCAACGAGGAGTCATCGGGCTCCCCGTTGGCGAACATGTCGGCGATAGGGCTGTTGACCAGTTCGGCTACAGCTCCCTTACCAAGCGAGTTGTCTCGGTCGGCCTCGAACTTGGTCCGGAATGGCTTTGCCGTGCCAGTCGAAGCCTCGTTCACCCCAGCATGAGCTTCCTTGTCATGTTCTTCGGCTAGACGCATGCGCACCGAGAATTTAAACCATCCTCCCGTCGGTTGGACGAAGCCCCAAAGCGCGTTGTCAATCATGTGTTGATAGATCATCGGTGCGTTCTTCAGGCCGAAAGGCATACGCAACCATTCGAAGTGCCCCAGTGCGCAGACGAAAACAGAGATCTTCCGAGCTCGTTCGGTCATCATAATGGCCCAGAAGCCGCTAGCGGCGTCAAGCGAGCAAAATCACAAGTACGCCTCCATGTCCGTCAGCAAGTCATCCACCAGGGGCATGGCGTACTCCATAATCTCGTTGATCGCATTAACGAGTTTGTAGTCGATACACAGGCGGATATCCACCCCATTCTTCTTCAGGACGATGACGATTGCCGACGCCCATGGGCTGTCCGAGAAGGAGATAAGCCCGGCCTTCAACAGACCCTTCAGCAATTCGTACAGCTTACCGAGGAAGCGAAGCGTGGTCCGCCGAGCCTTCTGCTTGATTGGCGCGTGCCCCTGTACATTGATATCACACACGACCCCGTAGGCTGGAGGCGGCAGGGCGTTACCGCTCGCAATCATGATCTTCTCGTGGCTCTTCAGCACATCGACCAGGGCCGTCTGCTGCTTCACGCTGAGTTCGTCACTCTGGACGTTTTGCTCCGAGTAGTCCAGCGTCGTCTCCGATGCTTCGGTTAGGTCCGGCAAGAACGCCAGCTCTTGCGCGTAGTCGGTAAGCTCAATATCGTTCGCGACGTGCTCCGAAACGTCGTTCACGGTGTCATCACCTTCGCCAGACCCTTCTGCAACCATGGCATGCATGACCGAGATATAGGTCGCCTCCAGTAGCTGCTCGGGGTCGTCGATCGCACTTAGATCCGAATCATGGAATTCAGTGTCGGCGTCAGCGGTGGAAGTTCCGGCTTCAGTAGGAACATCGTTAGGCCCTGGGTCGTGTTCACCCCAGTCGACTTCGCTACTACACACCGCAACCGACGTTTCCTCTGGCTCCAGGCTGGACGCAGCGGTCCCTGTTGGCAGGACATCCCATGTAGTTGTCTCGGCCACTGCTACCACGTCGCGGTCATTCTCCGAACCGTCGTTCGTCACGCTGTCACCATCACTTAGCTCATCACTGGCTTCCGATGCGCGTATGTCGCTCCCTGGCCGGTGGAGTCAGCACCACTGTACGGATTCACGGGCTGGCAACCCGCTCGGCTAGGCGGCGAGTCTCCGGGTACGTCCGAGTCATACGACGTGCTGGCCTCGTCGTCCGAACCATCGTTCGACCCGCCAGCACGATCCACATCGGTTGTATCAGCTCGAGCGACATCGACCGAGCCTTCACTAACCCTGGGGTCGTCGTCGTAGCCATGTACATCGGGTGACGAGTACTCATCATCCAACGGAGCTTGTTGACGGCCTTCTGGCCATGGCGGTGCATCCGGTGGCCTCAGCAGGATCTTTCGCGGCGTCGGGTAAGTTCAGCGCTCGACCGCAGGCGGCTGTTCAGCCAACCATTGCTCGTAGAGACGACGTTCTCGTCCTTGCAGAGTCTCATCACGACTCGTTGAATAGGCCAACACCTGCCACACTTTGTACTTGTTAGAGTCCAACCTCGCGTAGCCGGTCTCTCGCGGTAGTTCGCCATGCGGTACCCACAGCACCACGGAGTCATGCTTGGCGCACTGTGCCACTGTGGTCGTAATATTGGTGAGCCGTATCCACGTCCGCTGCCCCCGTCGAAACCTCGTTACCGTCGGCACGAGCTTGCCCGTGCGTCGTACCCACACATCGTACTCCGAACGAGGTAGCCGCTGGCCGCGGAAGTCGAAACTCTCGCCACTCGCGACCGGGTACGTATAAATCCTCGATCGGCCCACACGAAGGCTGCGTGTCGTAAGGTTCGTCATCTTGAGCACTCTGCGACTTAAGCAGTGGTACCATGACCTCGTCCGTAAGGCGTGCGGTGCCATGAAATAGATCCAGCCGGATTCCAGCCGGGATCATGAAGTCCATCCCAAGGACCACATCCACCCCGGCACTGTGATCCATTATCCACATTTCAAATTCGTAGACCTGCTCCCACCCGAGGGTGATCTTGACGAGCGCCCGTCGCCGGGTCTCCATCACCCCTGGGTTGATGCCGCGGACTTCGAGACTTCGTCCGTGGCCCCGGACTTCTCGCACACGTATCCGCTTGGCGACGCTGGCAGAAATCACGCTAACATTCGCTCCAGTGTCAAGGAGTATCCTCGTTCGCGCGTCGTCCACTGCGCCATTGACCAAAGCCCTCATTCGCTTCCTCTTGTCGTATCGTTGGGGCGACCACCACCCAAGTCTCTCACCGTGCAGTGATTTCACCGGCCGAACGAGATTCCGAGGTGGCCCCCTTATCTGGGCTAGACTTGTGATCAAAGCCTCGGTCGGGTGTCCATCACGTTCATCATCATCATCTTCATCAATACCAATCGCAACGAGACTTGCGTCCCGGTTCTCTTCATTTTCCGTCGGTTTCACACGTTCATTGTTCTTCAGGTCGTCAGGCCGTTTGCTGTCGCCCGTGAACGCGAACAGATAGTCCGCATTAACAGCAGGCTCAGCTAACTGTGGCAGCCCGATTGGGACCAACCCAGTTTCAGTTGGCGGGCTGCCTAGTTTAAATGGCTTCCATACACCAGGCTTTGCAGCTCTGGCGACAGATCCTTCTTGTTGACCTTGGACTTCAGGAGCTTGGTGAGCTCGTGGAGTGCTTCACACTTCCCAGCGTCCTGCACCTGTTTGCACAGTTTGCACCACCGGTAGCAGAAGTGCACCGAGTGGGACGGGCTTCCGCACGCGGCACACGGCTCATACAGGCGTCGACCATCTCGTTCACGGTTGGACGGGCCTCCTCCGTTCCTGAAGCGTCGCTTATCAGACCGAGCGAACGTTCCTTCGGCTGCGGCCCTACGCTCAGCATCGTTAGCAGCAGCGACATGTCCGGTAGACCCATCCGAGTCGTAATTAGCGTCTGAATCCTCGTCCGAGCGTTGGTCGTCCGAGTAATGGAGCTCACCCTCGAAGTAACCCTCGTTCGCCTCAGCATCACGTCGGGGGGCGTATGGAGCCTCGTTGCGTGCACCGACCGAGCCTCCGACGTTCCATTCCGCCATCACATCGGCCAGCGCGTCAACCAAAGTGACTCGGGACTGGTACGGCGATCCATCGCGTCGGTCACGGCGACGGTCGTCTTCACTGCGGTCGTTGCGGCGGTCGTTGTCACGGCGACGTCGTTCGCGACGGTCTTCGTCGTGGTAGCGTCGTTCGCGGCGGTAGCCACCACGAGAATCCTCGTTCGACCTCGCATCGCGTCGACGTCCATCATCTTGACTCCGACAGCGGTGGAACGACGATTCTCGGTTCGATTTGCGGTCACCGTGACGCAGGATGTCGTTGATCATGTCTTCGAGGTCATGGATGGTCTTGACCCGGACGTGGCACAGACGGTCTTCTAAGTTTCGGTCGTCACACGTGACCAAGAAGTGGTCCACGTGGGCTTTCGCGTCACGACCACCGTTTTCAAATTGCACACCGGTGTTGCCAGCGTAGCCGTTGAGCCGGTTGAGGTAGTCACAAACGTGTTCCTTGTCTTCCCGCTTGGCCGAGTAGTACCGAGCCTTCGCAGAGTGGGAAAACTTCGAGCAATAGTACTTGATGAACGCCTCGCTCGGCAACTTCCACGTGCGTCTTGTCTTGCGCGGGAGCTGGTGACATCAGTACAGGGCTCCATCCCTGAGCTTAAGTTCGAACGGCATACACCACTCGTTGGGTGGTGCATGCGTTCCCTTCATTTTATAGATGGACGTTCGGAGCCACTGCATGGAGTGCTCGCTCTTGTCGCGCGTTCCGTAGAACGGCTTGATGTTGGCGAGAGGCAAATGCGTGGCGATCTCGAGCTTTGGGGTTGAGCTCTGGTTGTCGGTCGCGCTTAGCTCGCGCACCTGACGTGCCCATTCGCTCGGTAGGTCCCCTTCGTAGTAGTCGGGCCCGAGGTCGTCGTCGCTGTCCGACGAATCATTATGGAGGTCGTAACGTCGGCCCGACCGACGACCGGTCGCTCCGCGCCTGCCAGGCGTGGCGAATGAAGACTCGTTCTCCCTAGCCAGACGTTCACTACGGTCCGTAGATCGTGGAGTTACCATGTGCGAGTCTTGCATGTACGGCGAGGCTTCGCCTTTGGTTGCAAAGAGTGGCTCCCTTCCGAGGGGTCGCTGGTAGCGGGACCATCGACGGGTCTACTGCCTCCGAAGTCGAACGAAGCATTGTTGGGCCTCGCGAACTGATGTCCGCCACTCCAAAGGCGTTACGCAGCTTTTTCCTCCACTTGGTTAACGCCGTGGCAGCGGCGGTCGGCGTCCAACTCGCGAGCGCAGCCTCCGTGGGGAGGATATGGGGCTCGCACCCCATAGCTCGCAGGAGGTCCACAGTATTCTGCGCAACGTGCCGAGTGCTCGTTGAGTTGATCGGCGTAGCCAACGCCCCTCCGAGGTCCATCCAGATGGCCTGGCTGACTTGCTTCGGGGAGAACAACTGCATCCATTCGCTCTTGGTCTTCATCAGGTCTAGGCACCGGCCTAGGACCTTGTTGGCCGCCGGAGTATCCCCGTTGAGGGGAGGACGAGTATGGAGGTTGCCCCTCCTACCGTCACCGAGGGTTTGAAGTCCTCGGTGGCGCCGTCATCCGTGTCGTAGGACATGAACGTGTCGGAGAGGTCGCAGGTAATGGACCTTGATCCTACGCTGCGACCTGCCGACACAACCACAGCTTCCGAAGTCTCGGACATCGCTGTCCGGACATCCCAGTCATCTTCTTTGGCGTCCGAGGAATCAATCGCCGTGTCGTAGCTCACCGAACGCACGTCAATCGACTCCATCCGATCCGTCGTTGGGGTCGAGAATGAGCTTCCGGAGCGCACCGAAGTCTCGTTGCGCGTTCCACTCGACTTGGCCGGCGTTGCTGGTACCGCTGACTTGACTCCCTCCGCCATCTTCTCTCTTCTTCTTCTTCTTCTCCTCTTCGCTCGTTGGGGGTAAAGACCTACAACAACCTAGACACACAGAAGGTCACACCAATCCCGAGTCGCAGCACCAGTTGTGGTGTGGTAATTCCACTAAAATCCTCCTCAACCAAAAGATATTAGAGACACCAACAACACGCTAACCCGCAAAAGGTAAGCGCTTATTGGATCAAAACCTGAAGACCAGGAACGATCCCTTACACCGGGTCGGTTGCAAGCGCCTCTGTGCACCTTAGGTTGTCTTCGGTCAACCCAAATACCTGTACCACTAGCCACGAGCTAAGGCTAGGATACTATGTAGCGCTTTCGCGCAACCCCACTGCAGTCCCTCAGAAAAGAAGGGTACCGGCGTGTTAGGCCTTATACAGGGGGACCAAGGTAAAACCTCGGTAGGTAGACTAATACACTCAGGGATACTCTAATCCCACAAATATATACCGAACGATACTCTAATACCGTTCCTGCCTCTCCGGCCACGCCAACTCTTTTCGCTACCAAGGAAACTCTCGGTCAATGCACGATAAGCTCCCGGACATGCATCCACACGCAGCCGAGCGTGTCCAGGCACTACAATAAGCTAGCTACACTTACCGAAGTCGGACTTGACCCTTGTTGGCTTTTGGGGAAGACTGTCTTTTTATTACTGAGTTTTCTGAGGCCCTGGGGGCCTCGTTCTGGTCATCCTATGATGCGTCCTATGTCCCTATACAAATATCTAGTGTGAACGATCGCATTAAGGCGATTCCGGACACATCAAATGACGACCGCGGCTACACTAATAAGTGGGGCCGAAGTACGTAACTAAATGCATCTGTACCTAAAAGTTGGTACCATGAAGCCTCGTTCGGGGTTCTATTAGGACCCGATGAGGCTTCGGCCACTGCCTGTCACTCTACCGAGGATAATGTCATCATCCAAACAGAAGCAGCCATCTCCGTCTCTCGCTTGACCTCGCCTTGATCGCCCCTGGATTGAACCTGATTGTCGGGCTGGCGGGTCAACAGCGTTGGAAACTGCTACTTTCCAATACCACACTCGGATGACGGAGCTAGCTGATCTTCACTCGATTGTACTGGAAAATGAAGGCTACAGTGTTTGTCGGGCGCTGGTGATGGTCATGACACAAGGGAGAACCAACCAAGTTGGTCGTATTGAAGTGGGTGCATGTATGCGCAGTAAGAAACTGGAGGTTTGTGGTCATGGATTGCTGGGATTCTATATGTTTTGGCGATGGCATGTGGATAAAGAGTCGTTTCCTGATTTCACGAAGTCGGAACAATGGTATCCTATAAAACTGCCAAAAAACCGGGAAAGATCCAACCAAGCCAATGGCGTACAAGGTTCATCAGGCGGCTATTGTTGACGCGCTTGACCACATCGGTCTACGCAGCAGGGCCAAAACACATCTAGGCAGAGGATCGGGCTCCCGAATGGCAGACCTTGGAGGTGCCAGTGAAGCTCAGATACGGCGCCTAGGGAGGTGGAATACCCAGGCGATGGTGAAATGTTACCTCACCTCGCTCCCGCGAGAAGCAATGCGAACGCTTGCGGGCTTTGAACCAGGAAGAGGTAGTTATTTTCTGACGCGTACTTGCGTTGATCCTCTTCAAGCTCTTCAGAAATTTTCCGTTGGTGGAGGAGTGGCAGTCGAAGATGATTTCAGGTGAATGTGAACAGTCAATCGCGGCTGGTGGTTTTCTCGAGCTGCTTCAGTATCTGCGCACCGTAATTCTGCAGGATGCTACCATTTTGTCCGAGCAAATGCCGGGACATCCGATCTGGAACAATGAGATCTTCAGGAGCGATGATTTTAAACAATTTCAGCTGGAAATGAAGAATGCCATGAACCACGTTAGTGGCCCCACCGAACGTCAGCTTGAGAAAGCCATGCCCGCGCTGAAGTCGACGCTCGATGGTGTTCGACAGGATATGAGAGCATCATTGAGTGGTATTCGAAACAGCCTGGACACGGTTGGTGAAAGTGTAGCGGATGTCATGGAAGTTCTTGCCCCACTCAAGAATGGATCAGCATTTGTGGAAGTTAAGATCGTGAATGGCTTACAATCGACAACCCCCAGCGCCACCCAAGCCGCCTCCGGAGCTAGCACAGGTAGCGGTACACCGAGTGACCCCTCTGCGATTACCAGTTACAGACTCAGTCGGGGCATTCAATCGGTTCGTGAGTTGCGGACCGAATGGACATGTGGCCTCCCTGGTGGTTATGCAGTTGAAAAGCTGGAGCAACAGCTCGGTACCAAGTGGTGTGGCCATCACGAGAGACGCTTCTTCAACCGACGACGAAAAATTATTGATCTTGTAAAGACCATCGCTAGCTGGGTTTGCAATCACGAGGCGTTCGACAATTATCAGGCAGTCGAAGAGGCGATTTCGCGTGTTGACAGCATCCGCTGTATTCGAAAAAAATCGCTCAATTGGGTGTCTCAAAATGTAACTGCAATTGCACATGAGCTCGGAGTACGAGACTAGGACGTTTAACACCAAGCACAGCCGCGGTCATACGCGATAACTGCGCGCTTGAGATAAATTATAGCGGTAAATACAACTCTCAACATTGTGACTTTGCGGTAGGTGCCGCAGTGTAACTACCGCAGTGTGACATAGCTACCGCAGTGTGACTTCGCGGTAGGTACCGTAGTATGACTTCCCGGTAGGTGCCGCAGTGTAGGTACCGCAGGGTAGCTACCTAAGTGTGACTTCGCGGTTTAGCTGCCGCTTAGGCGAGGTGGTAGTTTTTGAGGCAAAAGAGCTGTGATGAGGATCACATGCGAGGTCTCGATAGATGCAAATTACGTATATTGTTTTAAACATCTTACTTACCCTGTTGAGGCCCACGTGCGACTCTGCTGTGGAGCTTGGAGCGGTAAGAAGCAGCTTTTGTAGCGTTAAAGTCTGTCGATATGCATTCACCCAATTTGTCCTCAATGGATTGTGGTTCGGCTGCCGCTACGTGCTTCGAGATTACATCCATGTAATGAAGCAGGTATAGTCCACAATCCACACTGTTTGATTGCTGTGGCTTCGTGTTGAAGACAAAAGTCTTCCATTCAAATGCGTCAAATTCCTTTTCGTGAAGGTTAGACAGAAACCACTTGGTGACATCGAAGGCGTAGGCGGAACTATGAGCCCTTCGCAGCGAGTAGATATGATGCACCTTCGGCGGCGCCGAATGCAGCGGATTTTCAATTACGAGGAGGCTCCAATGCATGCGGCCGGATACGGGAACCAGCATGTAGCGATAACGTTTCCAGTCGAATTGCTCAATCAGAGTTTTGAGCAAGCGGCGTTTTTTTGCGGTTTCAGTGTATATCGGGCCACCTCCATCGACAAGTAGAGTGTGGCCCCGTAACAACATACCAACCCATCTTGCTTGACCATGTCCCGATAGATAAAGTAGTCAATGGCCATCGACGTCATGAAAGAAAGTGGCAGCAAGCTATCCAAGTCCTTGCGGTAAAACCGGAAGCTTTTAGCGTCTCTCGAACCCTGGAAGTCCACTCAAACGAACAGCGCATCATCGTGCGACTTGCGCTGCCTCAAAACGCGACGGTTGGGTACACTGGGGGCGGAGGCTGGTCCTTTCTCGCTCGTTTCCTCGTATACACTACCGTCGGAACAGATTGAGCTTTCTGATTCCGAGCTTTGATATTTGTCACCCTCGAATCCCTCCTCGTAATGTGCACTCTTTCCGTTCGCATCATCGCTATCGTCCTCGTCATGCACGCTATCACTGCCCACATCTTCTCTTTTCATCCACGTATTCATTGCTCCCATTGCCACTAGCACTTGCGTCATCATGGTTCTCACTGTTCACTTCGTCACTAGCACTTGCTTCGTTATGGCACTCATTGTCCACATCGCCGCTACTCCTCTCCTCCTCAGCACTGGCCATATGTACATTGGCTTCACCACTAATGCGTGTACCAACTTCACTAGCCGCATCCCCAATAACACCACTAACCAATCGGGTACCACGAGCTCCGCTAAATTTGTTCACAATTCGAACTTGACCGACGGCAGTATCGAGGTCTTGTTCGTGCTCAATAACTCGTTGTCGTTTCCGTGCAAAATCGCCCGTATACGGAGTTGCCTCGATTGCGGTAGGCTCTCCACATGTAGGTACGTCGTCTTGGCTGCACGCACTACACTCAACCTGGGTACAGTAGCCAGCCAGTAACAGTGATTCAGGTGAACAGTACTGACAGCACGATACTTCTCACGTTCTTGATACGTAGTCTTCAATTTGGGGTCTGAGTGCATGGCGCTACGAATGTAACTGCAGAGCGCTTGATCGGCGCTACGAACCCTCATCACGCTGTCCGCAATGGCTGCGCTCACCTCAGCATCGGTGTACATTTTCATCTGTGTCGTAGCAGCCCGTACATAAGCAGCCACATCACTAGAGATGCCGACGACCCGCTACCGGGCCGATGGATACAGCTCTGACGCGATCTGCGCTCCCATGCATTCCACTATAGCCGCTGCCTGGCTCACAACGTCTTCAATCGCGCCCCCTCTAATCGCTCGAGCGAGTGCGGTAACCTCGGCGGCGAGTGCGGTACGCACCAGCTCCCCTCGGTACGTATCCAGCGCTTTATCCACAGTACTGTCCTGGTCGTTGGAGCTATTGCCGGCCTGCACTGCCGCCGAAGCTTCGTGCACAACCTGCGGCGTCGATACGTCTGCACGCACCATCCAAGGGTATCACCGACGGTCCTTGCGGCCATCCACGATGCCTTTTGGGTAGTCTTCCAGCGGGAAGGTGTCGTCAGCGTTGTTGAGAATGTATGTCTGTCGACGCGGCGGTTCTTCCGCCAGCCACAGCGAGCGCAAACCTCTTCCTGCGCGAGTTCGCAACCAGTCTTGCGCGGCTTCGTTCGCTCCAGGTGCATCTTGGGCGGCTTGCTTCCGCGCAAACCGGGCAGCGCTGTCAGAGATCTCAGCGCTGGCTTCACCGGCATAAGCCCAGAAGCCTCTATGGCATCTCATCGGAGCTTGGTGGCTTGTGCTGCAGAGCGGATATGCGGCTTTGACCTCTGTTCAGTCCAGATGCATGTGATTGGCTAAAATACAACTGGCTGTTATTACCCCCAGGTCCTCAACTGGGTCCAATCACGTAGAGACCGGGTCCCGGACTCAGTCTGTGGCTGGGTTGATAGATAACCCATCCGTATTGGAACCCGGGGCGTTCAATAATAAAGCTTTTTATTGGAAAACCAATTATTTACTGTATTGCCATATTTGTTTTCCGACCACTGGTGAAGACTGCCGCTAAGGCTCTGTCCATTACGATGGTGATCTCAAAATATATGTGCCGAACAACACACAGCACAGCTCGCTACAGTAGCTTATTAATTAGGCTGATGTACTTGGTGTTAACCAGCATAATACAGCGGGACAGTGCACTTGACACTCGGGAACTTTAAGTTGCCAAGCTTTGAAGGAAGCTCAACCACTGACTGCACTCCCAACACAACAGCTATTCATTCAACCCCCTGTTGCTTCTATTCAGCACTAACTTTCTGTTGGAACCGACCTAGTCCTAGCAACGGGCATTCGTTTAGTGGTAAGCTGAGGTGCACTACAGTCATTTAGCGTTCCTAACGACCTTAAAACGGCTCGACCCTCTGATGCTTACAGATCATCGGAGGGTTTGCTAGCTACCTCTACAGTAGTGGTACCAGCAAATGCGTACCAGTTAAGGTGCGCTAAGATATTAGCAACAGGCATTCCTACAAAAAAGGTCAGCAACAGGTGAGTCAGTGTTTGGGCACGTGATATTAATTAGCACCCACCAACACCCCATCTGCACCCTACGCCGTGGACTCTACCACGATCTACAACTGCGCGAGGTCTTCGATAAACTATTCGAAAGTCGCGATCGAAAAGGTTGCAACGATAGCCAAACTTCTCGGTCGAGCATGTTCTCGACAAAATGGCAGCAGGCGCGACTGCACACGCATCGTGTCGAACAGCTCAAATGCAGCAGCCTAAACAAATATGGCTGCATGACGGAGTTTTGACGTATATTCGGACAGCCTATCGAATCTACACAAGAACTTTGAGCCGGCTGGCCCTCAAATAGGCGATTTTCATACCAATTTTGTCAGCATCAGCAAGAGACTATCGAGCACATATGGTGGGACACGTACGCAAGCGCAAGGTTTTCGTGGGGTCTAATGCTATGCTGTCTTCACAGCAACCAATCCTTCAGATCGACTGGTATCTCCTCCTATATGGCAGATGCGTTGTGGATGGCAAGAGTAGGAGAGGAGCGTGGATTCTGTTGGGCGGCTACCCAACTGAAATCGAAGCAGTGGGCTTTGTACACATGAATGAAGCACAAGATGGAGACGACAGCTTTGCTAAATCTCTTGACAGGGGTGTTAAAAGAACGTTTATATTAAGTGAAAATCTTCTTTTTCTTGGGCATTGAAATCTTCTATATTTTATTTTATTATGGGCCATGGACAGTCTACATCTACCAGATGGTGGTGGTGCTGGACGAAGGGTACTCGAATGACCTGTTAAACGTAAGGACTTTGCGTTAGTTTTTGAAGGCAGTCTTATGACGCGGTGGTGAAGCTAGTTTTACCGAGTTACAGCTTGAGATACTTAAAACGAGTAATATTTGTAACCCAATAATAACAGAAAAAATGACTGTGGTGCAACTTCTTTTAATATAAAAGAGCATTAAAGAAAACTCAACTAGCGCTCCGCAAACCCCGTCTTTTTATTTTTATTATATTTTTCTTATTAGCAACGGTTATGCTTCGCAGCCGCAGCATCTGCCCGGAAATTTGCCAGTTCAAACTGTCTACCGGCAACTTTACAATATTAAAAATGCGAACCTTGGGTAGAAAAATCCAAATTCTGACCTTCAGGCTTAGCTTCATTTCGTTCGTACGTACCTAGACATACTGATTCATACCAGTGTTGTCGGTAGTGCACCGGTTCGATCTGCTCACGCATATAAACCTTTTGGAGTGGCCAGTGTGGCACCGGGTCATACCAGTGTGATGAGGGGTGGGGCTTTTCATCAAGGAAAATGAGGCGGTTCAGCAAGGCGATTTGAAAACGGTGGTTCATCGAGGGCTTTTCTGAAATTGACGATAAATCAAGTCAAAAAGACCATGCTTACAAATTGCTAGGCTTGCTCAGTACCCGATGGGCTGCATGCAGCTCTTCGTGCAAATGAGACTTCGAGAGTTAGTTCTGGGACGACGTGCAGATACTGCATGGCCTGAGGTTAGATAAGAAAGCGGTGACTCCTGCGCAGAGTTCAGAGACCAAGTGTAAATCGCTGGCATCCACTACATACGCATAGCGGCGTAGATTGTGCTCCATCTAGTCGGCATTGACCTCGTCGTGCGTCTTCTCCATCGGCGCTGTCGCGCTGGGCCCGATTAGCGGAGCCATGCACTTGTGTTTGGTGGCCTGGTGTTGTCGTCGCCGCCAAGTGCGCGAAAGACGGGCCCGCAAATTTAGTATACCTTCCAAGGCCAAGTAACCTACGACGCTCTTTGCAAGCAATATATTGCGTGCATATAGTGAGGTTGGTAGCCTTGTGTTAAGAGGTCGACTATTCACGTAGGCTGGTAGGCACGATTACCACCGCTGTGAGTGGGATCCCCCCCCCCCCGCCTAACTGATCAAACTACAAACTTGTAATGCGCTGAACTACATCGAGTACAGGTAGTCGGTTAACAGTGTAACAACCTGTGCCGCCTATAACGAAACCATTTTACGCAGGTTAGTGATACATCCCCAGCCACCATTATACAAGTATGAACAAATAATAACATTGAGGTTACGCCTACTAATAAGTAGCCACCGACCAAGTTTCTTACCGTGGGTCTACCGATCGCGGATTGTGAGTTTAACGGCATAGAATGCCACTCATGCTTCACACTTCTCCTCTGCATAAAACCACTCTGGGCATGCCGCTAGAATACGAAGAATTATGTAATTATGTTTCAATCCCGTTCTATGTAATTTCCACTGTTGCTGCTGGTACGAAGCGAGAGAATGCGCTTATAGCGGTGCGTGAAGGCGAGCACAGGTGCGGAATGCAGCGTTGGTTGTCTTCCACGCATCGCCGTGACGTACGAGTGTCCTAGTTTTTTCTGGTGTACACTACAAATCGGCAGACGGCCGCTCACAGGAATACATATAATAGCCTCGACTACTCTTGAACAAGTACCTGATAGCGCTCCTCGACCATGCCAGCTCCGACGGCCAGCTCGTGCTTCAGCGACCCGCCAAGATGCACGCCCGATAGAGGCTTTCAGAAGCACGTGTTTTTGGCAAAAACACGTAGCGAAAAACACGTAGCGATCCGATGTATTTTTGGCACGGGGACGCTACGTGTTTTCCGATCCCGTAAACCCGTGAGAGGGGGGTCCGCTACGGGGTAATTAAATCGAAATATCCGTAAGGAAGCAGCATGCCTAAGCTTCTTCGTTAGGGGGGGGGGGGCTGGGTGACAAATAGTTGGTCGTGGGCGCATGTGCCGTCTGTTAGAGGCCGAGTGCTCCTCGTTGGCGACCTTACCTTGTGTGTGTACTCCGTTATCTGTTGCTATCGACCTGTCAAGACCCCATCTGCCCACTTGCCATCCAAGGACCAGCGTGGGCGACCGGTAGGCTCCTCCGCCGCCCTAAATCAAGGCAAGGGGCGAGCAGCGCCGTCCAAACCTACCTGGGGTTTGAAGAGACCACAGCCGACGCGCCGTATTGGGTCCAATACAGCTACAAATGCCAGGAAACCATCATGCAACCCCCAATAAAGTATGCATCCATTTCTTGAACTTGGTGAGGCGTCGATTTCGTTGCTATCAATTCCGGTGCCAACTCTAGGCATGCTGGAAGTATCGAGCATCATACGCCAGAAAGCGAGTAGACCAAACTATCATGGACCCACAAAAAACTTTACAAATCGAAACTTACAACACACGCAGGTAAATTAGATGAAGACGCTGCAGACAACCGAGACACGTGCTCATGGTGGATGCAACACCAACAGATTCGTCGAAGGCACGGAATAAACATGGCTAACAGTAAGAAGGCATTAATTAAAAAACTGAACAATTTTTACTTTACTTCACTATACTGTAGATCTACGTTGGCCCAGCGATGGCGCGTGGGCGTAGGCGCTGCCGATGTGTTCGCCGAATGACGGCGCTCACAGCTAAAGTTTGTTGAGCCGAGATTCCAGCTTAAAACGTTGCGTGCACTCGGAAGATTCCACGCTACGTAGTTTTGCCACGGTTTTTTTATTTTCCGTATCGCTGAACAGCCGACCACAACGGAAAACCCGTAGTCAAAAACACGTATCAGCGCTACGTGTTTTTCACTACGTATTTTTAGAAATACCGTGCTTCTGAAAGCCTGTAATATGTCCTGAAAGTTGTAAATGCCGCGGTTTACAGTGAACAGCCGACGCTGCAAGTGGACGGCATACTATACCCTGTGACAGGCATAGTAGAGTAGCGTAGGTCCCGGCGACGGCTGAGGGGGAAGATGGTGGGCGGCTTATCGTGTCTGGGTTTAGTTGAGGTAAAGCCCGGATGTGGCCGGCATCGCCCAGGATGCCGTCGCAGTACTGGACGTCGCTGCTAATGCAAACTCGATAGATCAGATCTGTTCTCGCCGCGGCTGTCTCGGTGACACGCTTGAGTTCCTAACGGACTGACAGAACGATAATATGGTGAGCGCAACATCAAATTAGAAGTACAGATATACGTTGTTCTGCCTTGTATCATAGCAACCTATCTAGCAAAGATGTCGTGCTTGTGGTCATTGTGTGCTGTGCTGTGACGCACAGCACCCGCTATCGCTCGATCTGTTCCTTGCCATGCTCTCGGAAGAGCAATTGGCGCCGCTTCATTCCCGTTTGTCCAGCCTCGCAGCTCCACGGGTACCGCAAGTCACCCGTGAACGTGTCCAGCATGACCTCCCCAGCCACGGTATTATTATGCGCTGAACGTCTCCGGCAGCATGCCGATAGACGCCTAGGTGCAACGTGATTCAGAGCTACAGCACTAACTAACACGTAAAGAAACTTGATGGACGACCGAAGTCCTCACGGTGGACTTCCGTCGTGATGCCCTCGCTGAACCTACTCTGTTATGCAAATCCTCGACGAACCCCTTTTTTTGCGGTCCTTGACGAACCGCCACGATTACTCGATGATAAGCCCGTCCCTGTGATGAGTATCCTACCGGTGCGATCTGCCCACGCATATAAAGCTTTTGGAGGGCCCAGTGCGGCACCGGAGACGTACCGGTTTCAAGAAAATGTACCAGTTAGATGTCAAGAGGAGTCATCGTTTGACTTGATGTACCACGGATATAATCCTATTTGGTCTGCGATAGCAGCACAGCATAAAAGAACTCTTAACATCCCTGTCTCTTGATCGTGCGCTGAACCAGTTGGCACAACGCACCTTATGGTCGACAGTTCGACTTACAGTTCAAGGCACCTTTTCGGCTACGCCCAGTCGTTCAGTGCCGCCAGTCCCGGGTATAGGGATGCTGATACGAAAACAGCTTACGGAAGGACCACGAAAAGCCGTAAAGCTTTGGTGAAATCACGCCAATTGGCAAGACATTCCGACGCAGTGCTCCAGAGAGAAGATATTCCTCAACACTTTACCGGTACCATCAGGTTAGAGACCGATATGAAGACCAGTAGTAGCGAAAAGGCAATGCTGGATCATCATTCGATTCGGAGCACCCTACAGCGATTCCAGGACTCTATAGTTTCTCGATAAACATAAATAGAGGACCTCTTAACCCCCCCCCCCAATACATGTATTGTGCATTTCAGAAACTTTGGCCAATCTCACCTCAAAAAGGTGGTCTTAAGAAGGAGAGGGTAGGGTTAAACCTAGGATTTGCTGCTGACCCTGCATCGGATTACGGAAGTCCTACGTAGGAGCTCCGTCTTCATCTAAAGGGTACCGTTTTGGAAATAAGGACCGAATGGCCATGTTAAGCTGGCCATTCGGGTCTTCGTAGGACTAACGAGCCCTTCGTAGGCCTAGATCACGTCAGTGTGCCTGACAGCATCTGTGACAAATGCATAGTTTGGCCACACTAGTACAGGCGGAGACTCAGGCAGCACCGCAGCTAGGTCACCATGCCAGCGTGGAGCTACGTACGGGTACATGTGCTACAGGTATAACGGTCAGAGGTCCGCCAATACAGTATCATATTGGATTGCACCTGACACGAAGCACTAATAAAAACTGCAATTTCTTAGCAAACAATAATAAAAATTCCCGCAATTTATATTGCAATTTATATGGTGCGCCTGGCAAGTCTACCCCTGCCACTGGTGCCGGTAGGAACCCCAATTGGAATCACCGCTCGGTAATCGACCGGCTAGCTTACACCAAGCGCAGCACGTTCAAACTCACTGATGAGAGTTTGAGGCAGGTCAACTGCGGGCTGCCATGTTAGCTCCGCATAGCCCACCCAGCCAACAAAATAATAAGCGGCACCTGCTGGATTAGTTTTTTTCGCGTAGATCGCGTCTACTGTGTAGAGATTGGGACCTTCGCCGAAGTCGGATAAGTTGTCTTCTAACGAAGTCGTATCACTCTCGTCCACGGCTGGACGTGGACAGCACCATGGCGTCGACAGCGATTCTTGTCGGAGAACTTCAAGAGGGGCTGGAAGAGCTTGGTGGCGTGCCTGCCGGTCGCGTGCCCGCTTAGCTGCCGCGAGAGCGGCAATTTGCTTGAGCCTCTTGCCCTTCTTCGGCATCTTTGTTTTTCCCAAGTGCATAGCTAGCTAAGCCAAGAATCTAAGGTAGACGTGTGTTGAAGTGCGTGCTAATTGGCTAGCTATTGTAGGAGTATTTCAAGGCAGTATATATTTACACTCACCAAAGGTAAGTTGAAGATAAACAAGAATTGATCTATAATTATTTATTTCGGGCCGACCATATCTTTTTATAGGGGGATACAGGTCAAGATAGGCATACACTCGATATGAAATGCATCTTCTTCATCAATATGCCTCTGTCGAGGCTGGGAATACCTGCGTTGAAAAGCGGACATAATTGGTTACATAACTACGATTTGACTTGGATTGAAAATACAGCATTAGTGTCGTGTCATAATTTTAAAAAATTCTAAAAATATGAGGAGTGTAAACTTCAATGTTAGGGATGGTCTTATTGACTTATGTAGCTAGAACGCTCCCCACTATCAAGGCCTCTGCTAGTTTAGCTACCCTGCTGCTTGCTAACTCGGGCTACTGTGGAAACGTCCCACATGCCGCCGTTGACCTGGAGAAACGCAAGCTGCTCGAAGTTGGCCGGAAGCATAGATCGACGGTGCGGTGTCAATACCAGCTTGCACTGAGAGAAAAGCCGCTCGACCGTGTTTGACGTCGGAGGAACCATTTTCACGAGCGGCATGTAGCGTGTGGTACTTGGCGCTTGTTTCCTCTTCTTTCCCTTGCCTTGGAGCAACATCGTCGTGTAGTCTTCTTCCCGCTCCTTGCGCTTCTTTCCTGTGGGTTGTGCCTGCTCGAACCGCTCCAAAGCTGCTGTCTCCGCGGACGATAGAGCCGTGCCAGAGATGACCTTGACAACACCCGATTCGAATGCAGGCGTATGGACGATCTTGGCGGTCGACTTCAGATGCTCTGACATGACAGGGTACTCCGCGATGAGGGAGTCGAACATCAGGCGTATCTCTCCCATATCGGTGTCCTCGCGCTGAAGCCGCTTACAGACGCTCTCGAACTTCTTGAGGTGCTCAAACAGCGCGACCAACTTCCGGTGCTTCCCGCCGGTTGGGACCATTTCCTCCACGGCGTTGACCGTCTTGATCTCTGCGCGAATACGAATGTACCTCTCCACCATTGTAAACGTCGAGGACCAACGCGTGACGTTCCGCTTGATAGGGACGAGATCGGTGTACTTCTTCAGCTCGGCACGGTTGTTTTCATGACGAAGTTCCACCGTAAGGCTGTTGACTTCGTCCAGTAAGTCCCCATACGGCTCCGCGAACTTGCTCACAGCCAGGTTGAAACGATGACTGGCGCAGCCGACGAGGGGGATACCCATCTTGGTTGCAATGGACTGGTTAGTTGCGCAGTCGTCCCCCACCAGAAACCCCACCATGTCGCTGGTCTGGTCGTACACATCCAAGATGTTCTTGAACAGCTTGATGTGGGCGTCTGCCGTCTGATCGCCATCTTCAAGGGGAGACATACCAAGTAGCGGTATGCGCAGCTTACAAGCTGTCTCGTAGACGGCGTAGAGAGCAACATAGTGAATGCCAGCGTGGGTCCAGCCGTCAAACATCAGGGCGAAGAGCGTTCCCATCTCTTTCCCCAGCTTCTCGCCGACTTTAATTGCGATCCCCTCCATGCACTTCTTGACGGCCTTGGCGGTCACAGGTCGGAGCTTGCTGATGGCCCGAGATAGTGCATCTTCGACTTCGTGGACGCGCATGTTGCGTTCGATGATCCAACGGACCCATTGGAAGAGATGGCTGGCTTCACCTGCGACGAAGCCGAACGCTTGAAGAGGTCGGTCCGAGCTGGCCTGGAGCGATGCGTACGTTGCCTCGTAGTCAGCGTGCTTCGATGCCAGGTGTGCCACCAGATTGGAGTAACCTGACCCAGCCAACTGTTTGCGCACGCGGTTACATAAGTTGCAGCTGAAGAGGCCTTGGCCACGCGAGGTGTAGAAGAATGCGGCGAGTTGCTTGTTGGCGACCATTGCTATCCTGTGGAAATGGAGATATGAACTGCCAGTGGAGCCGTATTTACAGGCTGCGGAGTTGGTTGGAGCACGTCTCCAAGCCAGTCATTTGCCTAGGGCGAAATGTGGTGTGGTTAACGCCGTTTTTGATGTCATCGGAGGCTGGAGATGACGCCATCAACAGGAAGCTTTGTACAAAAACTATAGGAGTCCAATAATTGGGCCAATTTAATATTGTACGGGGACCACTGTAGCCCAATAATAAAAAATAATATTGAAAAAACTGATTATTTATTGTATTGCACTATTTTTTCCGACCTCTGATAACGGTACTGTGCACAATTTGTTGGCCTCCCATCGCAAGCAATTCGCTCAGTTTACATTCAGTTATTGTTTATGCACGGTTTTACTGGCCTTGGTACTAACTTTTATGAGGTCTTACGTAGGAGCAAGAGTCCTACGTAGGACCTCAAATCGGAGGGCGTTTTGGCAGAAAGGCACAATAATAAACTTTCTCTCTAGAAGATCAGAAGAAGAAAAAAACTATCCGGATCTGCGCGATAAACTTTTCATCAGCCATCAGGATGAGTTCCCCCATACTCACGTACACAGATTGATGCAGTAGATGGAACAGAATAATTAACGATAATGCATATGGTGGACCCTCAGTACTGCATTGTCCTGAACACTGGGCCCGTCAGCGGCATCCTAATAACGTACTCGCCCGAATATAAGCCCCCTCCCCAATATTAGCCTATCGCAAGAAATACCAGTACTTAACGGTTTGAACTTACAAACTCCAAGATATAAGTTTTAGAGCTAATAAAATATCTGATAATCTCGAGCTTCTAGGCCTGTACTATAACATAAAGTCCGGACTTTAATAGGGCGAGAACGGTATTCAAACAACAAAAGAAAATAGTCGGACTACTCCTATCCATATAGTACGCAGCAACTCATCTCTTTCGCAGCGAAACCAAATGCGGTAGCCATCTACTACCACCGGAATCCTTGCAATGATCACCAGCGCTACTTATTCGCTTAAGGTTTCTTGTACAAAATACGTGTCTGATAAACGTACCAGATGTCCAATTCTCTTTTTTGAAAGCTTTCTGAAGTTCTTTATAGAGAATATCTAGTATGTAGTAGTTTTCGATTTTATGTGGCTTTTGGCCATTAAAATCCTGGTGGTGATCATACCTTGTTCTTATCGGTGTCTCGTTCTGCTGGTGATCCCTGGGGGTTCTTTCCGATACTCTGTCCTATACTAGATGTCCGGATCCGTCCGTCTAATGTATAGAGAACATCTGCACGACAACCAACCCGAAGAATTTACGAATTTACACTACGAAGTACTGCGTAGGAAGGAAGTACTTAAATGTAACCATAATTTTACTGTATGTTTACCTGACACCTCTTGATGCTAAAATGATGAAAACCCGAACAGGCGTCACACTTAGAAGTAAGGAAAAACTACAGCATCGTATGGATAAAAAGCTGGGAATTCTTCGGCAAATATCAAATTCGCGACTTGACTGAATAGTGTTAGCTACTTCTAACCCCTTCTAGCCGCTGCCGCTGCCAGTGCCTTCACCTTCTTCGTGGGCTTGTAGAACTGGTTGAACTGGTGCGCGATAATCGCGGCGGGGTCGGATTTCTAGTCGGTCGACAGCTTGAACACTGAGCTGAAGACGTACTTCGGATTCATCCGTTCGTCGATCCACTGCTTAAACTGCTGGACCTGCAGCGCCTTCGCCAGCGATTCCGTTTCCTTAACCCCCTTGGCAGTTTGCTGGATCTTCGCCAGCTTCTCGTCGCCGTAGGCCTTTCTGAATATGTTGGACATGGTGGCTTCGTTACCCGGGTTCCGGCGGTTGAACGGCTCCGCCTAGGTGAGCCAGATCTCCAGCTTGGGGCTGGTAAGAAGGTTGTATCCAGCCTTGTCGAGCTTCAGTAGACGGAATACGTCGTCCGTGGACTCGCCCTTCTTGAGCCAGCCGTCGATCGTCTTGGAGGTGACCTTGGGTCCAGAGAGGGACCAAATGTAGTTGGACACAGTTTCGAGTCCGGGGAGATACAACCGGTCTTCGTCGCTTGCGTCATCTTCGTTCTCGTTCTCGACACCCCTCAGAAGCCTCGCGCCGGTAGTGTCGCCTCGGTGTGCGCCCAAAGCAACCACACCCTTGCGACCATACGTGGGGGTCGAGTCTGCATTACCAGTCGACAGCAGGGTGGCCACAACCGTCAACGCAACTAAGCGAAGACGCATAATGATTCAGTTTGATAGTCGCTTGGCCGCCCACTGGCGATTGGAGAGGAAGTTGCGGAATGAACAGGAAGTGAGCGCACCACGCGTTGGTGCCTGCAATTCTCGGGCAAAAAGCAAATCGGACGCATCCTTGCACGACTGCCGTAGGACCATATGGTGCAAAGGTGATAAAAACGATCACACTCTCCAAATAGTTATACAGTAATCTGCCCGAGTAAGGAACGCCTGATAAATATAAAGACGCAGAATATATAAATTGATGTTAAGTTGAGTATACTTTTCCAATGTACTGATTTAGTTATTTCAAAATGAACTGAAGAGCAGCTTTACCTACGAGTCCGGGATGATGCCAACAGTGGCGTATGGTCGAAGCACTAACCTTTGACCAGGCATCCACGCACCACAACAGCGCTGTCAAATGGGTGGAGTGGGGGAGGAGGTGGGCTTGTGGAGCGAGGTGCAAAAGCAAAAGTGCGAGTCTACCACTACGGTACATGTAGTTTGAAGTCTAGTAAGATCGCTAAATGCGCCCCATTTTTCAAACGAGGGTGGAGAGCTGATGATTGGCACTGGATTTTTCACCTCAGTACCTTCCACATCCCCCTATCGCCACATCGACTGGAAAATAATATTAAATATGTGAGGCTATTCGTTGTACACCCGTTCCTTATTCGGGCAGAATTGTGTAGTATATTCGAAGTACGAGATTGACCAGACAAATCTAAAAAAGGCTGGAAGAAGAAAAAGTTGATTAACTAGATAGTGGACATGCGGTTTCGCTAGGTACGGTAAGCCATGGTAATATCTACTTGGACAACTCAATTATGGCCGCGGAATTTAAATTCGACAACCCTGTTGGGGTAAACTAATTGGTTTGGGTGCATCAAACCCAAGTCGCTGAAGCACCGAGTTTATTGCATCACCGTCCAGTTTCAGCTCTTCAGAATGCAGGAACATGTATTGACAATGTCGGTGAAATGAGCTCATCAAACCTTGAGTGCTTGGTTGCTCTGTTGCTGCTTCCTCAAAATGGATATCGTTGCGTAGACGCCATGTAGCATGGAACACAATTGCTGTATGAACTCTCCATAGTAGCAAAATGGTTTTATGTTGTTGCTTCCAATCTGCTTTGATGTCCCGTGGCTGCGGAAAAAGCAGTAGCCTCCAGCTTAACGCGGCGTGGAACGTCTTGCTCCATCGCGCCGACAGTGACAAATCTAAAAAAGGCTGGTAGGGCTTAGAGACCAACTAAGCTTTCCAAACATGGAAAACATGTCTGAACCAAGATTTAAGGCCGTTTCACCCCATCCAATCCGAAAACATGGGCTATACATTGTCTAAAAAACGCTCACATAGCACCTACCATTTTAAAAGACCCAACTTTTTGCTGCATTATAAGAAGCACTATTGCTATCTGATGGCAAAGCCGCCTCTTAGCTCAGACTTGCGGTATGTTCAACATTAAAATAAACATGAACACACGAAAAGATGAAATATGCATCACGGCGAAGGTTTCTGCGTACATGTATTCCCCCTTAGTTTCCGGGTCCGTCACGCAACAACAATTTCACTGGCCTAAAATACGCACTTGGAAGGGTCCCGCAGGGCCCGACTATATAAAATATTTGGCCCCGCGCTGCAAGTAGTGCAGCGAGCTCCGCGAGCGCAACGGGTGCGCCCTATCATTTCTAAATCCCCCAATACCCTGACGCGCCTACTCAGCGTCGCGCTGAGCCCTAGTCTCATCAGATATTACTATTTTTTCACGAAGTTAACCTACCTGCTTCATAAAATAGTGGCATTATCACCAACCCAGCACGTACTAAGTTCAGTCATTTTTAGTGCGTAAGGACTTAGATAGCGAAACGTTTAGTGTGGAGCACGTGCTGACTGTACAGCTCTCAAACAGAGAGTAACTACTCTCTATTTGAACTGTATTTGTGTGGCTTGGTTCCCCCTTTTCAAGAATAAAATGCCAGTCACACATGTATTACAAGCTAGGAAATTGCCTGTAGACTCATCTTGACTCGAGACGTCTCGTTTTCTGTCCGATGGAATCCAAGGATCAAACTGCTGTTTGCAAGTGAATCCGATCGGGGATCTGTCGGGGATGGAGCTGAACCAATCATCATGAGGAAGTCAAAACATACGGTTCACATGTCAACTAATTACTGTACTTAGTAGACTCTCGTTACGGCACAGATAACTACGACAACACGATATTGATACGGCGCAGATAACTCGCTATGGCACATATAATCACTTTATGTACGGGCACACACCAGTACGGCGCAGATATCCCGTCTGGATCTCTACATTTTCAGAGAACCTTAGTAGCGTCTTGATGGCTGCGGCCAACCTGAGCGTGCATACATCTAGTGTCCATCTGCGACGATATCTATGTCTGCATATACTGGTATATTTTATCGCGACAGAGCTCTGCACTCCCCGACTTCTGTAGTAGAAAAGCTAGCGCAACGGCCTGGATCGCCTCCGCGAATACATGCACCGCACTGCCCTGCTTTGCAGGCATCCCACGCAGGCATACAGCCGCAATACATGCGGCTACGCGGCCTCGCAACCGCTCACTACTGCGCCCAATTAATGCTAGTATTGCTTTGCGTTTGCAGGTAATGCATCAAACGCATACCAAAGATGCTTATCTTTTTGACAGGCAAGACGAAGCCCGGGTAGCCTTAAGGCTTCCGTCTGACAGAGCTGTTAGGCAGCACTGAGGCTTCTGGCGTGGCGCAAGGAGGAACGCGTGGGTGCTGGGAGACCGCCTCCGCTACACGTGCGTCGAGCGCAAGGAGATGGGAGATGCAGCTCTATCAGTTTTCGAGAAGAAATACATTTACTACTAGAGTCTGCATGGCTCATTATGCTGCCTACACACAAACGCAACAGCCCTCCTCTCTCCCCCCGCCCTACCGCAGCTTCTAGCCTCGCAACCGTGCCGCAACAGCACGCTTCCTCGCACCGACGAGCTACCTGCAGCGCGATATCCGGAATGACAAAATCAACGGCGGATAGATGACACGAGGCGGTCCCCAGAAAATTGCCGACGATGTGCCGTCACCTCTGTGACCTGGGGTTTGTATCGGATGCTGATTGGTGGATGACTTGGATACGGCGCGGCTGTACCCGTGTGACATGGATGGCGATTGTGGGAGAGAAGTGATTTCTCGGGATGAATCCAGCGTCTGACCGCAGATGGGCCCAACTGGCTGGAAGTGTGAATCCTGGGAGTGCACGCCCAGAATTTCAGAGAACACTCAGTCCAGCCGCGGACTTTCCCTTACGATGAGTGCCTAAAGACTGGCGGAAAGTGTCTCTGGAGTACGTATCCCAGAGTACACCTCATCTTGCTGTGGCTCAGAGTGCCCCAGAGGGTCAAACTACCCTGAGAATCAACCCACTACCGCCGTGATCATGCGCAGGAGGCCGCTCAACCCGCTAAAAGTGTGGCTTTGTGGAGATGCACGCAGGCCTGCAATGTAGCAGACTTGTTACCCATAGTGCTGCACGGAAACCCAGAGTGTCGCACGATGACCCAGAGTTCACCTCCCTGAGTACAGGTGACCCAGAGTTCCAAGATGATTCTCTGGGTTTGGATCAAGAATCCAGACTCTCCATACTGAATTAAAGTGTTTCCCAAGCCAACATCCAAGAATCCCTACAGTTCCCCAAGATTCTTCGGAATTCCCGGGATTTCAGAAGATGACCCTGAGTGTCACCTGATTTTCAGGGATTCGAGTCAGTTCGAAGCCAGTCTGCAATCAAAACGATGCGTGACCTTGAAGAACCGTCATGGATGCACAGACTGGATACTTTCGAGGAGTCGAGAGGGAGTCCTGCATCATACTAAACCAAGTCTAAGGACCCACTATTGGCACTTTCGACGCCGTGCGACAATGGATTCGCAAGCCGATCGCAAGTTTGGACCGCTGATCCCAAGGTATACTCAAGACAAGACATTTTGACCCCAAGCATAGTGAACAGAAGATATTTGCCCGAAGAAGAGAGAGAGAGAGAGAGAGAGAGAGAGAGAGAGAGAGAGAGAGAGAGAGAGAGAGAGAAGTAGCTGATAAAAACCAAACAGAGTTCCTTTTACCCTGTACTGCGCAAGTGACTTCGGCCAAGCCTGCCGACGGAAATCCGGAGGACCCGAGACTACGACCGCGGGACGCTAAGGGCACATCAACGGCGAAGGACAGCCGTCTGTGTGGGCTCCATCAAACTCAAGTCCAGTTAGGTGGTGACCAGCGACGGCCTTGAGCTTCCTGGGGTGATCCATCTATTCCATATCCTAGTTGGGTCACTTGCTGTGCTCGTGGTAGCCCATTTCATATTATTCCAGAGGGTATTCTGGGGTGCTAGGTAGTCGCCTCCAGGATTTTTGTATTGACGGCTTGTGTGAAGGGAAGGTAACTGATAGTGATCGTATTTTCCTCCTTTATTGGAGGTGGTGCGCGTTTGGGTTAGTCTCAGGGGAACTAGGCCCCTGAATTTCAGATTCGAGTGAGCCTAGTCTGTGTGACCCACGGTCCAAGGGTCCAAAAGAATAAGTGACGGCTAGTTGTAGTGTTTGTATACTCTGTATTTGTTGGTTTTATCGAGCTAGGAGGGCATTGGGTAAGGCGTCTTCTGAGTTCCAAGTCCCAGAGTTGACTGAAATCCTGGACCCTGAATTAGTGATATTCTGGGTTCCAGGGGATCTGATTCTCTGGGTTTGCCTTTTGGTGTGGAGGTGCGTTCTGAAGTAGACGTGCGCTCCCGCACTTCTTTGAAGCTACATTTTCAACCGGTGGAGTGCCGTTCCGTCGAAGACAAACGAGCCGACAGGGATTACACAAGGTACCCACGCCAACCAAGGAGTGTGATTCTCAGGGTTTAAAGCTTTGCGGCTGCGAATCTCTGGGTCTATCTTCTTGCTGTTGACTCTCAAGTCGATTCTCTGGGTCTACCCCTGGGGAACAGTCTTGGGCTGCGCTATACGAACCCCCCTGGGCGACAAAGGTTTCATCGGCCTCGCCTCATAGAGAGCGTATTTAAGTGGATCGACACAGTGAGAAGTTATATACGCCGTAGGCTTACGGCGCATATAACTTCTTTTCGTCCTGTTGTAGTTATCTGTGCTGTAACGACTGCGGTACTTAGAGCCTGTTCGCGATGTACTAGAGATGGAGATGATGCTTGATCTCCACCTACAGTTCGTTCGCTATGTATCCATCTCCAGACAAATTTTAAGCCAATCACAGGACAGATATGGGATGGCTCCCCTCCCCACTTGAGAAAATGCCGACTCGCCTCACCAGTGCGGCCACGCGTGCGGCACATGCCGCTGACCAAGGCTCTTCGGTTCCTGCGCCCCCCGCACGTCATGACGAAACGCCAGCGTCCGAGCCCCTCGTCTCGCTGACACCACCTGCCGGTGATGAAGGTCTGCTGCTAGAAGGCGCCGAGACTGCGTCCACATCTGTTCCGCTAGCTCAAGTATCAGTGGCGATGTCTGCTACGCCAGAGCCTACTCCCGCTCCATCTCGCATGCTCGAGGGTCTGCAAGCCTCGGCCGCACCGCAAGCAGCACAGGGCCGACGCAAGTCTCGTCTGAAAGGAGCTTCTAACGTCAAGCCGTCGTTTGCCTGGACACCGAGAGCGGCCGAAGTGCTGTTGCGGCTTCGCTACGATACCATGAGAGATTGGTTTCAGGGAACGAGGAGCCCCAAGCAGCTTACTGCGGCATGGAAAATGCTGCATACAAAGCCACAGCCTGTGCCACGGCGGAGCACGCAGCGAGGACAATTGCATCTTCGTCTCCCATGTTGTGCCTGGCCCTGTAAATCTCTAGGTAGATCCGCCCCTCTCCACCTCAAAGAGCTGGAGACGAATTCACAGTGCCATCTTTAGTTGTCTTGTTATGTGCTACCTACTTTGACCAATCCGGTCACACTTTTGGTTTTCGTCTCCATCTCCAGCTACGTAGCGAACAGGCTCTTAGTACACATACCTAGGTACAGTACATGAATACAGTACAGGCTGTATAACAAAAAGTACCCATGTACAGACGAACCCCCCAGTAGTGGCACCTGGTTATTCGCTTACCCCGATCAAGTCGATAGCTGATTTTGTCTATATAACAGTACTTTTGTAAGGGTGGACACATTTCCCTTTAAAATCCCATCCGAAACCCGGTGCCACTACTGGGGGGTTCGTCTGTACTTACTTGATGTAACCTACGTGTACAGGAGATGTTGGCATCGGTCCACGCACCCTGACTGCATGCACAAGCCCACGCAACAAATTTATAGTAATTAAGTAAGAGATTCTCCAAGGCCACACCACTTTTAAGCGCGACGAGGGGCAACATTTTTTGTGTCAGAGTACAGTAAACTCCACAAACACGCTTGTACTTCTCTGGACCACCTAAGAAACAACAACTCGTTCCCGACGTCGTATCTCAGCCTGTTCGTGCATCTTATACGCAAGCAGGGCCTTAAAATAAAGCCGGGCTCACGCTGCTCCCCACTGTATTTTTTAAAGCTCAATAACAAGCAATTTGAGCGAAATAACACTAACTTTGAACACGCTCATACGCAGTGAATAAGGTTTTTTTGCGCATCTTCGTCAATATTTGGCGATAATAGACAAAGCGCATACGTGGTCAATTTACACGACTGGGCGATCGTATTCAACGCTTATCTGAACGCTGGCGAGGTAGGGATAGCATCGTACAGGCGCCTAAAGAAGTGAGGTTTTTTACCCTGATAAGTAGATATGTCACGAAAAACATTTAACGCGCTCCAATTTCAACCAATCAAGGTGAGCTCCGAATTAAACCAAGAAGTAAACAGTTGATGGGGGCGAACTATTTTAGATTTTATTGCAACTGTTTTAATGTTACTTTGCCGGCTTCGTAGACAGTGGAATCACATGCAATTGAGCTTGGTATGATTCCTCTCGTGATGTACAGCTTGCTCACGCGAGGTAGCTGGAAATTGTTGTCACCCGCAGCCTTGATGATACACTCCATCACCTTTTGGAGCGTTTCGAAGATTTTGTCCAGCGTTCGACTCGGCAACTGCCCGAACGCAGCTAGTACTACCCCCAATGAGGGCGTCCACCTTGTAGGTAGGCTGTTGATATTGCGCCGACTGGATCGCGGAGAAGACTGAGAGGTCTAAAACATTGAGGTCCGGCGACTTGGGCGGCTGATACTCCATGCGGATATCCCATGGACGTTCTTGCCCGGCTAGTTGAACTGCTGCCCTCGAAGCCGCTGCGTGAGGACTCGCATTGTCGTGCTGCACACGAATTGGCCGACTTCTGCCTCCTGCATGAAATAGAATTAATGTACATGTCGTTAGCTTTAACAATAAACACTCAAATACAAAAATAATGACAAACCTGGCCACTTCGCGCGAATTGCTGGAAATAATTTTGTCACCAAAATATTTTAGTACTCATCCGAAGTCATCGAAACATTTTTAGTCTCCCAGGTACCAGCTAAACGGTTAACCGAAGTCCGTTTTGCTTGTACGCGCTCAACCACAGGCCAAATGCCTATTTTCCATCGAAAAATTTACGGCGGAAAAAATCATAGCGGGGCCTAGCGACTGCCGCCAAGAACATTATTTTACCTATTGTCGTGTAGGAAAACACGAGTTTACGAGTCCTCGCCCTATCAACCGAAGTCTCTAAGACGAGCCCTACCAACAACACACGCCGTCTCCGAAGAGTCGGCGATAGATTGTCGGGATAATAAACCTGAAGACCAGGTCCGATCCCTTATACGGGCTGGACTGTGCCTCCCTGTGTGTTGCGGGTCAGGTAGGTTTACCCTTCGTTAAAATATAAGAGCACCCTTAGCAACGAGCTACGGCTAGGATGCAATGTGTAATTCGTACTTTCGCACTAAACCTCTGTGTTCCCTCAGAAAGGAAGGGTACCAGGCCAATCGAAGCCTCTTACAGGGGCGCCGGGCGAAGCCTCGGCTAGAAGTCAAATACACTGGGGGGGGGGTCCTTGCCTCACACCCAGTCAAACGTACAACTGTACACAGAGGTCTCTAATACCTCCCAATACTCGGCCACCTACTCACTCTTGGCCTTACCAGGATGAACACTCGGTCAATGCACCTTATGCTCACCGGCAGACATACCCCGTGCAGCCGAGTGTATCCAGACCCTACGCTAAGCTTAGCGACTTACCGTAGACGGACTTGACCCTTGTGTGGCTTGGGGGGGGGAATTCTGCTCTGTTTAATGGTTTAGAGGCTGTCGGACCTCTCCTATAGCTAATCCCTAAGGTCTATACAAATATCAAGTGTGGACCGAGCTTTCGAGCTGATCCTACAACCGGACGAAACTTCGTCCTTAATCCGAACTCCTACTGGGCATAAAGTGTACCCACTATGAAACTTCGGAGGCCTCGGCAGGCGGTTTATTTTGACCCGCCGAGACCCTCCTGTCACTCCGTAGTCTCTATCAACCTTCTGGGCACTAAAGCGCGGGGAATGTGACCGACCAATCAAAGCCCTCGGTCAGCCATCACTCGCAAGCTCAAGGCAGTTAGACCTCGGCCGGAACTCGCCCGGCCGCAGTCATTTCCCGATCTCACAGCGGCCCCCAACTCGGCCCGAGCCGTCCCAAGTGGTGAGTGCCGTGTTGCCTTCGTGCCTCTCTGCGCTCCGGCGCCATGCAGTCCTCTGGCGGTCCTGGCAGCGCGCCGCCCTTCACCTTCCCGGACCTCGGTCCAGTCGTCCAGGTGAGTCTTCGTGCGAGGTGCTTGAGTGCTGTGCTTGATCTCTTCATCGCGTCTAACCGTCTTCAACTTGCTGCATCTTGCTGCAGGACACTCAATTGCGTGGCCCCACGGGGCAGGTCATCGACTCGTCGGCGCCGGCCTCGGAGGCTTCGGCGGTGCCAACTCCCGCTTCTGCGTCAGCAAGCGGGGCGTCCCGACGGCCGCAGACTTCGGCTGCAGTTCCTGTAGCTTCAGCGCCATCGTCTGGTGCTGCTGGCAGCGCCGGAGCTGCTCCGTCACCAACTCCCGCCTCTACAGGAGCACGTGGAGTGGCGGGCGGTCTCCAGGCCGCACCATCGGTCGTCGCGCACCATGCTTCGGCTGCAAGCACCGGATAGACCTCGGCTTCGAGTGCAGTGGCTCCGACGTTGCCAACTCCCGCTATGCAGCCCGCTAGCGGGGCTTCGTCGGACCCTGCGTGTACTCAGCTGGTCCCCAGGTCCTCGCCCGACTCCAGTCCTCTGCACGAGCCTTCGGCAAGTGCTGCGCACTTCTGCCGCACCGGTGATCCGCTCTCTGCCACTTCGCGTTAGGCTTCGGGCTCCCTCCGCGTTCTTCTGCGCAGTGGTACGCTGTCGAAGACATCGTCCACCACGAGGTGCAGGCTGCGGTCGAAGAGCTCCGCGAACATTCGGAACGACGCTTCGCAAACTTCGCTTAGCTGATGGTCGGCTTGGTGCGTCACCGATGTGCCAACCGAGCACCCGTACAACATAACCTTCGCTCCGTGTAACCCCAGGGTTCCCCTCTTCGTCCCGCGTGGCATGACTGTTCGTGAAGTCGCGACAGCTATTACGGTCAACCCAGTGCTGGACACTCGCCGTGTTACGGCTCCGTGGGTGCGTGAGTTCACGAACTTTCACGGGCCTCCTTTCGGTCTGCAGGAGGAAGAGCAGCCAGGTGAGGACGATGTCTCGGAAGAGGAGGAGGTCGAGGAGCTGAACGAAGAGATCGATTCTCCGATTGCTGAAGAGTCTTCGGAAGAGGCTCAGGACGAGTCTCGCCGCGCCATGGATGCTCAAGAGACTTCGGACGAAGCTACACAAGCGCTAGGAGCTCAAGATGCAGCAACGGCAACGCAGGACTCGGTTCAAGATCGCGTCGCGGCTTCGGAGGCCCCTGTTGAGGAGGCCCCAGTCAGCGAGACTCCGGTTGACGCGCCACGTTCGCCTCCAAGTGTTGCTGATCAATCTGTCGCGCAAGCCGATGTTTCTCAGGCTGCGCGTCTCCGCGTTTTGGCCAAGGTTGCCTCGTCTTCGGACGCCTAAGCCTCGTTCCAGTTCTCCATTGTTCCTTCATGTCTAGGTCGAGCTAGATCAGGGTATTCAGACAGTTCGTTCGTAGTATAACTAGCTCGCCCATGCAATTCAGTAGTCGTTTGTCCCTCTTCAGCTGTTCTCCATAGTTTCTCATCTCCACCTCGTCAAGTCTTGTCCACTTCAACATACAAATATACAATCTTCTTTCCGCAGTAACATGTTTCGTCTGCTGGGTCAGGCTGTGTAGCCCTGCCGGCAGTTCATCATTGTGAGAGTGGTGCACCTAGTCCTCGTCAGCGACTTGGACCATTTGCAACCTTCGGTCACGTCGTTTCTCGCGTAGATAGTCATACAGCAGTCCGCCACAAGACAGATTCGACGCGGGCTCCCGCGAGGGTTCGTCATAGCCGGCCCACTTCACCTTGAACTCTCGGACGGCTCGCTCAGTGCTCGTCGAGAGACGAATTCGGTCATCCAAGATGGCTTCAACCTCATACTCGCCCGCCAGGTGGTCGGGTGCCCAACTATCCTCCGGGAGTAACTCCTCGTCGAAGTCTAGTCGCGTCTCCTCGGTAACCTCAGCGGCGAGTCGAGTCTTCGGTCGATCGCCAAACTCGTTCACCGCCTTCATCCGAGACACATGCACCACCGGGTAGAACCGATAACCACTCTTGTCAGGCAAATCCAATTCGTACGTATACTCGTCACCCTTCTGCTTGTTGCGGAAGGGACCATGCTGTGGAGAAGTGCTGAATAAGAATTGTTCTCTGAGAAAGGCGGCAGGGCCGATCGACTGGAAGTATGGGAGATCAGCGATCGAGAGACAGGCAGCAAGGATCTGTGGATCAGAGGGAGTTCTTTGGGAGATCTCAAGTGGCCCGATGACGCCGGCGCGTAAGGCAGGACATGTGGCAAGCCGGATTGTGGATGATCGTGCTCGAACCGTGGCGTGATTCGGGGTCAACCCAAGCCCCGATCGACGACAGATCTCGCAGATCTAGGACGGCCGAGGACGGAAGATGATGGATCGGCGGCGTGCGGCAACCGGCACAAGTCGTCGATCGAGAGTTGATCGCCGATCGGGAGGCGATCGTGGGTTGATCGGGGATCGGGGATCGACCACGATGGGATGCACATGGAGAACGAAGTCAGGACAAGAATCCAGTGGTTGTGGAGTTGTAGGATGGTAGATGAGATGGTAGCGGTAGAGAGACACCAGCTAAACATAAATCAGAACGCAATTTGCACAGAAGACCACAAGTACCCTCAACTCGTCAAGTCCCAGGAACTGCATTGGCCTCGGCAAGCGTTGACACTTCGGGTAGTGAACTAGCGGTACGGTTAAGACTGGATCAATACATTGGCCAGCTTGACCTACTCTAGTGATCTTTCTCTCGTGTGCAAGTCCTCGATCGACCGGATACTGCTTGCCCGGCGATCGCTGCGTCTCTCAATCGACCTCGATCCCGCTGTAGGAAGCGGCAAGCAACTCAGGAAAGGCAACTACAGGCCGTGGATCGACTCCAGGCCGACCGATCGGAGCGAACAACCCTCGATCGGAGCGTATACTCGGACGCAGAGCGAAGATTCCCGCGCTGCTCCACAACCTATCCCCGCGTCACACCAAGACATTCGATCTTCACCAAGTGCTGCATCTTCGGAGCCCCGAGAGAGCAGATCCAGCCCGCCGACGGGTACACAAGGTGGGAACAAGTTCAGCCGATCACGGATCGTTGGGGGACCCCCTCCGTTAGTCGGTGTCTGGGCGCTGGTGGGAAGCTCGATCGGGCCTTAACCAGATTTTGGCCGATCCCGCAACTCCACAATGCCATCGATGAGCCAACTTCTTGGTCAATCCTGGCTTGACGCGTTCCATGTAAAGCCACGCACGATCACCAGGCTGGAAGAGAGACTTCGGTGCGGGGTCTGGTGTGTCACCCTCACCCTCTGCACCTGTCGGATTATCTTCCGAGGTTTCACCAGTCGCAGAAGGTGGAAGCGCAGCACGTTCCGCTCGGCTCAAAGCCTCGTTATGATTTTGCGCACGTCGAGCTTTCTCGACTACTTGGTACTCTTTAGCCATTTCCAACGCAACCTCCTGTAGCCTGTTGACCTCTCGGCGCCACGCCAACGCATCGGATTGTCGCCCGACACCTCGCTTCAGTGATGAGGACATTGCTCGGAAGGTGGGCCTTGCGTCCCATCCGAGCACAAAGTAAAAGGGTGTGTCCTTCCTCGTGGCGTCCTGCGAGTTGTTAATCGCGAAGATCAACTTCTCCACAATCTCATCCCAGTCTTGTTGCAGCGGGTCCTCCGCGTACACTCGCACCGATTGCATTACGGTCTTGACCGAGCGTTCTTGCTGGCCGTTAGCCTGTGGCCGATAGCTCAACGTAGCCCTAGATCTCAACTGCATCATCTCGGCGAAGGTTTGGAAGACCTCGCTCATGAAGCGCGGGCTCGGTCATGCCTGATCAGAGACGGCGCTCCGAACCTTCGGTACACGCACTCTTCGAATGCTTGTGCTACACAGAGTGCAGATGTGTCCGCCATCGCCTTGCCCATGACGAATCCAGTGAACGCGCACTGGAACAGTAACAGTGCAGAATTGCCCCGCCGAGTCTTCGGTAGGGGTATCACAAAATCCATCGAGACAATTTGTAGCGGGCGCTCGGACAAGATGTTGCCCGGCGAGTACCCACGTAGTTGCGGGCGACTCTTGCTTGAGCTACAGTCCGGGCACGAACGTACGTGCTTCTCCACGTCGGCGAATAAGCCAATCCAATAGTAGTCAGCCTTGACCCGGTGGTAGGATCGGATGATACCTTGGTGACCGCCCTCCCACGAGTCATGACAGTTCTGTAGGATCTCCTGAACCATCGTTGTTGGCACCACTAGACGTAGTGTCGTCTCCTCGGCCCGGTCGCGACCCCACCGACGGTTCGCACCAAGGAAATACAGCAAGCCATCTTCGCTTAACACGAACTTGTCAGCCATCTCCCAGCCTTCGCGTGCAGCTTTGTAGGCAAGTTGCGCTTCTTCTCCCTTTAGCACCGTCTTGAGGTTTGACCACCGGAGCTCCTTATCCTGGGCTGTGCCAATGCGCCTGCGCCGTTCTTCCTGCACCACTAGTGGGTCGATGTCGTCAGCACTCGGTTCATGGACCACCGTTGCGTCAGGTCTCGGTTGGTCTGGAAGTTCGTTGGACTCTTCGTTGCTGACATTATTAGCTTGGTCTCCTTCGGTTTCCTCTTCTGGTTCATCACCCGAAGTTTCAATAGCAAAGCGTACTTGTTTCCCACGCGCGCGGGCTTGTTGCCTCGTTACCGCGGCTACATGTCCAGTATCCCGTACAAAATCGAAAACATTCTTACTGCGGTCACTGTCACGCGTATACATCACACATATCGAGTTCCCGTGACGCGTTACGCCTTCTCCAGAAGCTTCAGAGGCTTCGGCTGACGGTTCACAGAGCACTTCTCAGATCCAATTCAATTCCATCAACTCTCGTTTTCGGTTTTCGCTGTTCACCGTCATCGACACCTTCTTCTCTAAGGTTTCGCTCGCCAAAGAGTCTGCAGCTGCATTGAACTCTCGGATAGCATGTAAGTACTTCACGGACCGAAGTCTCGTGGTCAGTTCCTTGTGCTTGTTCAGTTGTACTCCTTACGGCAAGCGATCACCCCTAGGGATTGCTGGATTGCGAGTCTCGAGTCCCCGACGATGACTAAGTCCTCGGCCCCATGTTCTAGGGCGGCAGAGACCCCGTTGTTCATTCCAGTGTACTCAGCGAGGTTTACAGTCGTGGTCTCGAGATACGCACTCACAGCGATCACTACACTCCATTCAGGAAGTCGCCGTAGTATCCAGGCGCAACTGTCGTAGCCACCATACTTATCGGTCTTCGCCGAGCCATCAAACGAAAGTACGTAGCCACTGTATGTACGTAGCAACCGTGCATAAAGCAAATGCGGATCCATCCGAACACTCGGCGAGCCTTTGGCTCGAGGGGTCACTGGTGCCAACGAGTCTTCGAGGTCAACGAAGCTTGTGATCGTCGACTGCAAAAGCTGCGCGAAGGCGCAATCCTTTTCCTTGACTCGTTGCACCACTAGAATCCACGGAGACAGTAAGACGGCAAATTGCGTTGTACGTCCGAAGAGTGTCTTCGACTTGTGGACCCAGTCGAGCGTCGAAGACCGCGTGTAGACATGTATGGTCCGACCGGCCAGTTGGGTGTAACACACCTTCAACAGCTGCAGCAAAGCCAGTACCTCCTTTTCCGCCGGGTGGTAGTTCACCTCGGCGTCCTTGAGCACTCGGCCGCAGAAACGCACCGGGTGCATCAGGCCATCGTGCTCCTGCATGAGCGTGGTGCGCACTGCCCACTCATTTGCAAACAGCGTCACATGGACCTCTCGGTCACGGTCGAAGTGTCGGAGGGCAGGTGCCTCACCGACCTTTCGTTGCAATGCCGCGAAGCTTCGCTTGGCTGCAGAGAGGTCACCCCCTGGTGCGAAGTCTTCTTCTCGCAGCTGGTAGAGCGCGGCACCATAGACAGGAAAGTCCTGTATGAAGCGACTGTAGTAGTTCAGAGCGCCAAGGTAAACTTGCACTCCCTTCTTGGACCTGGGGAAGGACAGCTCGGTGATAGCCTTCAACTTCTTAGGGTCCGCTCTAATACCACTCCGGGACACTTCGTGAGACAGGATGTCCACCTTGGGCTGCACGAAAATGCTCTTGGTGAAACTCACGCTGATCCGACATTCCTCGAACAGGGCGAGGAGTCGATCGAGCGTCGCTAGACATGCATCGAAAGACTCGCCGCCAAAAAGCAAATATCGTCAACGAACGAACGCCGTTCGAAAACCGGCACCAACGAAGACTCGCCGGGCTCTCCATTCGCAAACATGTCCCCAATAGGACTGTTGATTAGTTCCGAGACCGAGCTTTCACTCGATCCGATTCCAAGTCCCGCTTCAAACTTTGTAGGCGACTGGTCCGGGTCG